TGTAATGATATAAATTTTCATTAAAAATAAAGATAAAGAATTTAATATATAATGGAATATGGTAGAATATGCAAGAAAAATATCTGACATATGTTTGCGGTCCGGATCGGAACATCCGTCCCTCGGTCACCCGCCGATGGGCGGTAACTCGGCAAGCCTCGTTACCGCCCAATGGGCGGGGTCACCTCGGGACGGATATTCCGATCCGAACCGCAAAATATGACAGATATTATTATTCTTGCAGGCGCGTAGCTAGCCTATAAAGAATGTGGATTCAAAATAATCTAGGGGGTCAGGGGGCATGCCCCCCCCCCCCCCCCAGAAAATTTTGAAATAAATGGTGCAATTTGGTGCGTCTTGGGGCCTCCGGAGAGCTTTCTTGACCAACGAATATCCATTTATTTTAGCATAAAAATGGAGATGAATAGCTTTACTTTCGTTTATTTCAACTAGTCTACATTTCACAGCAAGTCTAACTTGCGGCCTTTGCTGGCCGCAAACTCGTTAATGATAATATCAATATCTATTTCCATGTGTGAACAAAGAGACCGAAACAAATAAACACTAGGAATACATAGTAACATTTTAGTTATAATTACCTCTTTTCTATCGCTGATTCTGCTGATGACTTCTTTAAGAACTCGATGTAAACATTTGTTTACATTTCGAAAATACGGCGCGTGCAAACTTCCGACTTTGTTCAAAGAGCTGCAAAGGCCGACAACTTTTCAAAATACTACGGTATGGTGTACGATTTAGGCTATATGATTTATAAAGTATTCAGTGTGGTAATTATCAGATCTGGCGAACGCGGCTGAATTTCAAACCACATTTTTTTTACTAAAAAAATTTTTTTGGTCAAAATAACGTGGATTCAGCTGCGTACTCGCATATAGGCAGCTACGCGCCTGTCTTGCATAGCAGACTGGCGTTTCCGTGTGTTTTACCCATGCCGAAAATTTCATCTGGCATGGGGGGGGGGGGGTGCCAGATGAGTCGCGTGCTGTACAATGGCACGTTTAGGATGACGTCATTTTACCGTTATGAATGAAGTTGCAATTTCATGCGCTGTTGTAAGAAAATAGTTACCGCTATAACGATATAAATTTCCGTTGAAAATAAAGATAAATAATCTTAAATATAATGGAATATTGTAGAATATGCAAGAAAAACTAGAACTATCACTTCATGTGATTAATACCCCCACAAGACTGCTATGGAAATGAGGATGTTACTAGTAACAGAATACCTTGTAAAAGAATTGAAATATAGAGTTATGATTGTGGGCAATTTAAGATAGTTGTGGTTCTTGTATATTGCATTTCCTTTCAATGTGATACTGAAGATGTAGTTATAGTTCTTGTGCACTGCACTTCCTCTTTTTGTGCTTGACCATTGTATGAAGTTGTTTTGAATTTCAACCAGTTCGTTTTAAGTTATGCTCCAGACATGGAAAAGTATCAAAGGGCAGTAACTCTGTATTTTGTCAAAATGGAGTTATGGCTCTTATGCACTGCACTTCCTTTTAATGTCCTTGACAACTGTATGAAGTTGTATCGAATTCCAAACAGTAGTTTTCAAGTTACGCTCTGGACAAGGAAAAGTAACAAAGGGCAGTAACTCTGTAATTAGTCAAGATGGAGTTATGGGTCTTGTGCACTGCAATTCCTCTCAATGTGCTTGACCATTGTATGAAGTAATAATGATTTCCAACAATTAGTCTTCAAGTTATACTCCGGACAAAAGAAAGCAATGGAAAATTAACAAAGGGCAATAACTCTGTAATTGCTTTAGATAGAGTTATGGTTCTTATGCACTGCACTTCCCCTTACTTTGTTTGACAATTGTATGAAGTTGTTTTGAATTCCAACCAGTAATTTTCAAGTTATGCCCCGGACAAGGAAAAATAACAAAGGGCAATAACTCTGTAATTAGTCAAGATAGAGTTATGGTTCTTGTGCACTGCACTTCCTCTCAATGTGCTTGACCATTGTATGTAGTTATATTGAATTCCAACCATTAGTCTTCAAGTTATGGTCCGGACAAAACTAAGCAATGGAAAAGTGACAAAGGGCAATAACTCTGTAATTACTTTAGATAGAGTTATGGTTCTTGTGCACTGCACTTCCCCTTATTGTGTTTGACAATTGTATGAAGTTGTTTTGAATTCCAACCAGTAGTGTTCAAGTTATGCCCCAGACAAGGAAAAGTAACAAAGGGCAGTAACTCTGTAATTAGTCAAGATAGAGTTATGGTTCTTGTGCACTGCACTTCCTCTCAATGTGCTTGACCATTGTATGTAGTTATATTGAATTCCAACCATTAGTCTTCAAGTTATGGTCCGGACAAAAGAAAGCAATGGAAAAGTAACAAAGGGCAATAACTCTGTAATTCCTTTAGATAGAGTTATGGTTCTTGTGCACTGCACTTCCCCTTATTGTGTTTGACAATTGTATGAAGTTGTTTTGAATTCCAACCAGTAGTTTTCAAGTTATGCCCCGGACAAGGAAAAGTAACAAAGGGCAATTACTCTATAATTAGTCAAGATAGAGTTATGGTTCTTGCGCACTGCACTTCCTCTCAATGTGCTTGACCATTGTATAATGAATACAATAGCAATTCGGCAAGCCTCGTTACCGCCCAATGGGCGGGTCACCTCGGGACGGATATTCCGGTCCGAACCGCAACATATGACAGATATTATTAATAAAACATTTAAACTTAAGTCATAGCTTAAGTTACTGATAAAGTTCCAAAATATTGCATGAGGATATTACTCAACTTCCCTCAACAGGCTGTAGTTATCTTGAATTGAGGACAACAAATATAAGTTTATATTACTTTAATTATAACTGAATGTCATGATTTAACAAATATGTTGGAAACACAACAGGTACAGACAAAACTTCAATGGCTTACACAGAAACATTATAAATTCAAGAGATTTACATGTGCCAACACATAGAGCTCACATGGCAACTTGCCAGCTTTACTGGTGGAGGAAGACCTCAGGTGCTCATCTGTGCATTATTTCAGCCACAAACGGCACCTGCGTAGAACAACAAATTATCCATAAGCTAGCTTAATAGCTTCCTCACATGAAGGAATGGGATTTGAACGCACTGCAGTGCAGGCAAGTGATTTGAGGTAAAAACAAAAACATTATAATATACATGTATATAAACAATTATTCTTAACAATGATAAATACTTGATAATACAAAAGTTAAAATACAAAATATAATATACAATTTACACAGCAATTCCTTTATATGTCAATAATATCAAAATCATTAAAAAAAAGATCAGAATATTTCTTGAGAAAAAAAAACAACAACAAAACAAATATTATACAATGTATTTAGAAAAGCTAAAAATAAACTTTTTAAGCAATTTAAAGAGATTTTGTTCAATTAGGGTTTGGTGTCTATTTCTCTTAAAAAAGTTAGTTGATGCATGTATTACTTTACTAGTCTAGGTAGGTGAATCTCAATAATAAAATCCTCCAAGGCTTTTATGCACCAGTTAATCATACTGGCACAGGACTCTCTATCCCAAGGCCATGTGATCACAAAGAAAATATCTGGATCCTGATTTTATTTTCTTTGATTTATGAAACTTATGTTGATAAAATTCATTTAAAAAATTAAAACATATTAAATTAAATATATAACAAGAGCTGTCCGTAAGACAGCGCGCTCGACTTTTTTATTGCTTGCCAATAAAAAAAGTTTTTGCAGTAAAAGGCAATACAAGAATCTCTGTATTTTTAAAGTGAACAATGGCCATGAGCATTAAGATATTTAGTGAAGAATTATTTTACTGAATTTGTGTGATACCCTTGTCCACCAATCAAATAGGCGAGATAAAATGTGAAATATGCATATACTACTGATTTTAATTTCAAGTACAAAAAGAGAAAAATAACTAGTTGTTTGATACCCTTGAATATTACAGCAATGTTTATATGACATAATTTATGGTAAAGTGAACAAGTGGATAGGAATGAATTTTTTTAGATTTTTTAAGTTTTTTAGTGCTTGCCTATAATACAAAACATTGACAGTTAAGGGCCATAATTCAAATAAAATCTTTGACAGAATTACCTTCTCCTGGACATGTTTGGGAATCATGATTGTAAACAAGTATTCCAACTTTCAAATTAATATCTCAAACAGTTCAGTCAAAAAGTGGACTGGTACTAAAAACTTAACCAAGATTCTAAGTCGATAAAAGGCCTTAATTTTTAAAACAAATCCTTGACAGAGTTACCTTCTCTTGCGTACAGATGGGGTAATGATGTGAAATAGCATTAAAAGTTTCAAAGCAATATCTCAAAGGGTTAAGGCAATAAGTGGATTTTACCCATATTCAATGTATTTTCTAAGTCAAAAAGGGGCATAATTCTGTCAAAAACCTTGACAGAGTTATGTCCTCTTGTCTGTTGATGAAGGTCGTGATGGTAAACAAGTATGGTCAGTTTCAAAGCAATACCTCCAATGGTTTTGAAATAAAGTGAGGTGGTACAAAAAACTTAACCAAGCTCAATACACTTTCTAAGTCAAAAAAGGGCCATAATTCTGTCAAAAACCTTGACAGAGTTATGTACTCTTGTCTGTAGATGGAGGTTATGATGGTGAACAAGTATGGTAAGTTTCAAAGCCATACTTGTAATACTTCTGAAATAAAGTGGGGTGGTACGAAAAACTTAACCAAGGTGTGACGCCAACGCCGACGCCGACGCCGACGCCGGGGCGAGTAGGATAGCTCCCCTTTTCATAGAAAAGTCGAGCTAAAAAGTACATGTGTATATACAATGTGTAAACAAGAGGGCCATGATGGCCCTGAAATCGCTCACCTGTATATAGGCCCCTGGGCCAAGGCCAATTTAAACCAGGGGCTTTTATTTGAACAAACAGGGTAGACACCCAATAGAAGATGTTTCATGCTAATTATCTTAGCTCTAACTCTTAGGGATTGTTTAAAAGAAGATCTTTTAAGTTTCTATTATATACATGTACATAAAGGGAAAAACAATGACCCCCTGGAGTTGGGCCAATTTTTTCTCCAGGGCTTTCATTTGAACAAACTTGGTAGACAACCACAAGAAGATGATTCATGCTTTATATCTAAGCTCTAGTTATTCTGGTTTTTTAAAAGAAGGTTTTATATACAAATAAGGAAAATCAATGACCGCCTGGGGAGGGGCCAATTTTTACCCCAGGGTATTTATTTGAACAAACTTGGTAGACACTGACTAGATGATGTTTCCTGTCAAATACTTAAGCTCTAGCTCTTTCGGTTTTCTGAAAGAAGATATTCGAATTTTTTTCTTTTGGTTGCCATCCAACCAGAGTTCTGCTTGGAATTAAATTCTTTGAACAATTTTTAAAGATGACTACCAAAGGAACATTTCTGTGAAGATTGGATGAAATTGGCTTAGCGGTTTATGAGGAGATGTTGTTTAAAGTAAAAGTTTACGGACGGACAACGGCCAGACCCCGAACGAAAAGCGATCACAAAAGCTCACCATGTCACTTTGTGACATGTGAGCTAAAAAAATATGATGATTTGCAAAGAAACTAACTGATCTTGAGCTAAAATTCAGGAATAACAATACAATAATATACAAAAAACAATAACACCTGGATCAAAAAAGGGTCAATATCAATAAACTATATGGTTCAATTTTTAAACTCAAATATTTTAAAAAGTAAGGTTGGCATTAGCTAGATATGTATGTTTCAAACATTACAAGTGAATCTATTTTTATATTGAAAAGAGAAAGGGAGATTGATAAAACTATATAAAGATCACAACCATTTACAGATACTGTTAACTTATTCTCATAAATATTTTCTAAAATAAGATATACATGTATAAATATCAGTAAATTTTTGATAACAAGTAGCCTTACAAAAGTGTTTGCAAAAAGTATTTACAACATTTTAAAACTATTTACTAGAAAAACTTAATCATATTTTTAACTGAATTAGAATTTTTTAACATGTCAAATTGAACTTGAGAAACAACTTCTTATAACGAGTGCATGAATTTTTCACACACAAAAAATAAGTAGTTTTATTTTTTATTTTTTTCATATAATTTCTTTTGGTTGACATGTCAACCAGATTTCTGTATGGATTTAAATTCTTAGCAATTCTGGCTATTTGCCACCGCATCACAGTAAACTGCGGTGGCATAAAAACACCACAATATTGGTAGCATTTTATCAATCACAAGAGGTACATGTATTATGCATTTGCTTTCACAACTAAATAAATTGTCTAAAATAATATTGTATTTTAAGTATTTTTAAGTATCACAGGATAAAATAAATATGTAAATCAAATATTGGAACAAATTAAGGAAACCAAAATATCTACTGACAGACATTTTATTTAACTCAACAGTTCAACCCTGTTTCACCAGCCATATTGCTGAGCTGGTGCACTGGGCTGTCCACCCTGTCCTGGTGTTCCAGACTGCACAGCTTCAAAATAATTTGGCGGTGGCGGCTCTGACTCGGAGAAATGTCTATTGGCACCAGCTATCTGGTTCCCCTGTTGCGCGTTATAACCAGGGGTACTAGACTGGTTCCCTTGTGCCTGATATCCAGTGAAGTTTTGAGCAGTTTGTGGATGTAATGCGTATGGAAGTGCTTGTTCGTTGGGCATGTAAGGGTCATTAGGAAGAGTTGTTCCAGATGACATAACATGAGTGTTTACGTCAGTAGCAACACTACTGTATTGTGTATTAGATTTACGTCCCCCTGCGGCAGCATGGTCATCACTCCCTACCTCCATAGGAGTGCAACCACCACATAGTGAGATAATAAACACAATTACCAGCAGTGAAATACACACAACAGTTGCTATAGTAATAGTACTTATATCTGTTGTATCTGAAATAAAGTGAGAAAAACAAAATAATTATACAGATACCATAAAAAATTATATTCTCTAACAAACGTCCCTTCCCTAATAAACAACATAATTTTGTAAGGACTAAAAATCTGTTGAGAATAAACAGGGCTCGACAGTTATGGTTTTCAGACTACGAAAATAGGTCTAGGCAAGTGCATTAAGAACCAAGAGCCACTGCCGGCAGGGGAAACGCATAACTTTTTTACTTTTTCTAAAAGCAAACAAACGGTTTAAATAAATCTTTAAAAAGAAAATTAAAGAAAAAATATTAAGTTTTTAATAGGTCTGTCTAGTCACACTTGTTGTTTTGTCCAAGTATTATGAATCCTTTCCATAAATAAATGGCAAAGTTAAGAAATTACAATCAAAATTTAATCATTTTGATAGTCAAGGTCATTTAAAGGTCAAGGTCTCATTTAAATTATTCCACATGTCTGGTAACAAGTGTTGTTTTGCTTGTACATATGAATCAAATCGTTACATAAATACAAAAATTATGACACCTTAACCAAAATTTAATACTTTGACCTTGACTCTCAAGGTCATTTAAAGCTCAATGTCATCACACATGTTTTTACCATCTACTTGTTAAATAATGTCTCCAGTCATTTACTTTGAGTGTCCTCATTTTAGAAATATCTTAAATTTGCAATCCAATTTAGAGCTGTCTAGAGGCGTTTGCATGAGATAATAGATAAAGTCATCCAGAGGTGCTTGCATGAGCCTTGAGGTAATAGATAAAGGTGTCCAGATGTGATAAAGATAAAGGCTTCCAGAGGTGCTTGCATGTGGTAATAGATAAAGGCATCCAGAGGTGCTTGCATGTGGTAATAGATAAAGGCTTCCAGAGGTGCTTGCATGTGGTAATAGATAAAGGCGTCCAGAGGTGCTTGCATGTGGTAATAGATAAAGGCGTCCAGAGGTGCTTGCATGTGGTAATAGATAAAGGCGTCCAGAGGTGCTTGCATGTGGTAATAGATAAAGGCGTCCAGAGGTGCTTGCATGTGGAAATAGATACAGGCATCCAGAGGTGCTTGCATGTGGTAATAGATAAAGGCGTCCAAAGGTGCTTGCATGAGGTAAAAGATAAAGGCTTCCAGAGGTGCTTGCATGAGATAATAGATAAAGGTGTCCAGAGGCCCTTGTATGAGGTAATAGATAAAGGCGTCCAGAGGTGCTTGCATGAGGTAATAAATAAAGTCCTCCAAAGGCCCTTGTAAGAGGTAATAGATAAAGGCATCCAGATGTGCTAGCATGAGGCAATAGATAAAGTCATCCAGAGGTGCTTGCATGAGGTAATAGATAAAGGCGTCCAGAGGTGCTTGTTTGCGGTAATAGATTAAGGCATCCAGAGGTGCTTGCATGAGGAAATAGATAAAGTCATCCAGAGGCGCTTGTATAAGGTAATAGATAAAGGCGTCCAGAGGTGCTTGCATAGGTGCTTGATTGAGGTAATAGATAAAGGCGTCCAGAGGCCCTTGTATGAGGTAATAGATAAAGGCGTCCAGAGGTGCTTGTATGAGGTAATAGATAAAGGCATCCAGATGTTCTTGTATGAGGTAATAGATAAAGGCGCCTATTAGGTAAAAGATAAAGGCGTCCAGAGGTGCTTCTATGAAGTAATGGGATATATGATGAAACAGTAATTACCTTCCCAATCATCTGTCTCTACAGCTGATATGGCTGGTATCAGTGATAAAATCAGCATCAGTATTGATGTCACTGACGCCATGATGAAGATTCTTCTGCTTTTTTTTAAATCCAGAAAGCTATTTAGTTCTGAAATGATATTACAAGAAAGATAATGAATATACATGTAAAACTTTTTATATAATTATTTTTTGTCCGGTTTTTTATTTAAATAATTTCAAAACATCAATGTTTAATTGACAAGTAACCCAACATAAAATCCTTGGCTGGGCAGTATGGGGGAATAGCTTAAGGTGTTTAGCGTATCGGTTTATATACTATGACATAACATGAATGCTTAAGACAGACCCCTAGGGAAAGTCCACAAGTAATCATGCCAAGAATCTGACACACTCGTATTCATTCAACGAGCATGCCATGTAGTAAAGTGAAACATATCCTGATAAAACTATGTATAATCTGTTGATATATCTGGTGCATAATATTTTGACAAATTAATCAGTATCCCTATTTTCTCATATTAGCAGAGTTCCTCATATTATAGGGGGATGCTAAAAACTGATGAAATCGGCACTCAGGGATCCAAAACTGTACCTTCATTGTAATGCTGAATTACCTTGAACCAGAAACTGTACCTTCATTGTAACGCTGAATTACTTAAGACCTATGTCAAAATTCAGCTTTAAATCTGACTAAAGTAGATAACAAGAGCTGTCCGTAAGACAGCGCGCTCGACTTTTTTATTGCTTGCCAATAAAAAAAGTTTTTGCAGTAAAAGGCAATACAAGAATCTCTGTATTTTTAAAGTGAACAATGGCCATGAGCATTAAGATATTTAGTGAAATATGCATATACTACTGATTTTAATTTCAAGTACAAAAAGAGAAAAATAACTAGTTGTTTGATACCCTTGAATATTACAGCAATGTTTATATGACATAATTTATGGTAAAGTGAACAAGTGGATAGGAATGAATTTTTTTAGATTTTTTAAGTTTTTTAGTGCTTGCCTATAATACAAAACATTGACAGTTAAGGGCCATAATTCAAATAAAATCTTTGACAGAATTACCTTCTCCTGGACATGTTTGGGAATCATGATTGTAAACAAGTATTCCAACTTTCAAATTAATATTTCAAACAGTTCAGTCAAAAAGTGGACTGGTACTAAAAACTTAACCAAGATTCTAAGTCGATAAAAGGCCTTAATTTTTAAAACAAATCCTTGACAGAGTTACCTTCTCTTGCGTACAGATGGGGGTAATGATGTGAAATAGCATTAAAAGTTTCAAAGCAATATCTCAAAGGGTTAAGGCAATAAGTGGATTTTACCCATATTCAATGTATTTTCTAAGTCAAAAAGGGGCATAATTCTGTCAAAAACCTTGACAGAGTTATGTCCTCTTGTCTGTTGATGAAGGTCGTGATGGTAAACAAGTATGGTCAGTTTCAAAGCAATACCTCCAATGGTTTTGAAATAAAGTGAGGTGGTACAAAAAACTTAACCAAGCTCAATACACTTTCTAAGTCAAAAAAGGGCCATAATTCTGTCAAAAACCTTGACAGAGTTATGTACTCTTGTCTGTAGATGGAGGTTATGATGGTGAACAAGTATGGTAAGTTTCAAAGCCATACTTGTAATACTTCTGAAATAAAGTGGGGTGGTACGAAAAACTTAACCAAGGTGTGACGCCGACGCCGACGCCGGGGCGAGTAGGATAGCTCCCCTTTTCATAGAAAAGTCGAGCTAAAAATCATTCTTTTACATTAAAAACACTCAATTAGGAGTGATGCTGAGGATCTGAAGTGATGTGTCATGTGTCTGATAAAATCATCACATACTGGGCACCTTTCAGCAACAAATCTAATTCCCAGATAATACAACCTGACTTAGTAAAAAAAAAAAGTTAGTTCATCCAGAGGTGGCAGGTCTATATTTACAAATTAAAAAAAATTGTTAATGGTAACCTAATGAATTGTGCGCTTTAGGGCTTTTTATTATATAGACGATGGTTGCCATTCTGTAAAGACAGACATCTATGTAATATATCAGATTGTAAAATCTGTCTGTCTTGCAGTCAAAATATTGAGACTCATGTTAATGCTAACCTAATTAATTTCGGCGTGATCAGTTTGACCCATTTTACAGACTATTCCTTATCATTCTGTCAAACCATTGGGATAAAAGACATCGCCTGTTCAAAAAATATCTCAATGTCTCTATAAATAGAGTGTCTACTGTATCAAATGTTTTGTTACTGTTTTCTCGGTTCATAGACTTTTTAAAACATTTTGACAAAAGATACTATGAAGAAATGTATACATGTGAATTTCATCCACGACAATTTAGTCTGTATCCCCAAAAATAGCAGAAACAGGATAAACATTTACTGTAATGATTAATCTGTCATGATTAAAAAAAAACATGAAAAAGTTTATTTAATTTTTTATTGTTTAGCTAATACAGTAATTTAGCATTCATGTTCGTTATTCAAATCTGAATACACTGTAAGTACCTAGCTAATTAATCTTACAAAATGATCAACACTCATGAAACATTAAAAATACCTCTACGTCTCCACTTAATTGTATTGCAAAATTCTGTTTTGCAAATTAAATGGAAATATTTTGTAATTCTGTTTTTCAGGAAGCATCTCAGTGATTTAAATGCTTGAAATCAAGTAAAAAGCGCCCAATAGTCAAAGATTTCTATAAATAGCCTATGGGAAAATCCAAATATTTAGGGTGAACGCCACTATATAAAATCACTCATCTTAAAATGACTAGCAGGCGCGTTGTCAGAGAACTGTTAATATGAAAAAGGCAAAGCCTCAAAGCGAGCTCGATGTACTTTTTACGTGAAATAGTATGAAATAATCGCTCATTTTTATTTCAAATGCAGTAACGAGTGCGTATGACGTCACACGTACTGTGTTAAATATGGCTCCGCCCCTGTCGTGAAATAAATAACGAGTTTTGAAAACGTTGATAAAACTTTGTTTATTTTATTTCACTCTATAATTTTTCAAGCGAAATAAAGATTATTTAAAGTGAAATAAATATAAAACGTAAAACGTTTGCGACATTAAAATAGCGTACTTGATTTGTTTGTTTTGCACGTGCTGTTTGACGCTACATTGTGACGTCACATAAATAATACTTTAAACGTCTGTACAGCGTTAACGACTGAATAAAAGATATTGGTGTTCCGATTCATTTTCTTAGTTAGACCATTTTCTTTCATTCTAGATAGTTTTCACAACAAAATTCTACAAAAAAATGTTTTTATTTAATATGAAAAAGGCAAAGCCTCAAAGCGAGCTCGATGCACTTTTTACGTGAAATAGTATGAAATAATCGCTCAATTTTATTTCAAAGGCAGTAACGAGTGCGTGTGACGTCACACGTACTGTGTTAAATATGGCTCCGCCCCTGTCGTGAAATGAAAAACGAGTTTTGAAAACGTTGATAAAACTTTGTTTATTTTGTTTCACTCTATAATTTTTCAAGCGAAATAAAGATTATCTAAAGTGAAATAAATGTAAAACTTAAAACGTTTGCGACATTAAAATAGCGTACTTGATTTGTTTGTTTTGCACGTGCTGTTTGGCGCTACATTGTGACGTCAAGTAAACAATACTTTAAACGTCTGTACAGCGTTAACGACTGAATAAAAGATATTGGTGTTCGGATTCATTTTCTTAATTAGACCATTTTCTTTCATTCTAGATAGTTTTCACAACAAAATTCGACAAAAAATTGTTCTTATTTATCAGATTTTTCAAACAAAATGGCGCCTTCAATTATTATTTTTTTATACACAGCTTCCGTTATTCTGGTTCCCTGTCCAACTATGGTTCCCATAGACGTGCGCGGGTGACCAGTCTAGACATCCGTTTTCAGTCAGAATTCCTCAGTTTTTATCGTTATATTTAAATTCGAAAGGTTGCGATGTGTCCAATTCGGTACTTTGGACGAAAGTTTTCAAAACCATCACTTAGCAGGTACTCGCGTTACCGTAAAGCTCGCTTTGCGAGCAGGCCCTTCGGGCCAGCTCGTCGAGCTCGCTATCAGATTTCAAACAAAATGGCGCCTTCGATTTTCATTTTTTATACACAGCTTCCGTTATTCTGGTTCCCTGTCCAATTATGGTTCCCATAGATGTGCGCGGGTGACCAGTCTACACATCCGTTTTCAGTCAGAATTCCTCAGTTTTTATCGTTATCTTTAAATTCGAAAGGTTGCGATGTGTCCAATTCGGTACTTTGGACGAAAGTTTTCAAAACCATCATGTCGTGTGGTCGATATTCGTGTTTTTGAATATCGTTTTTATGTATCATTTTGTCCTTGCATTTGTATATATATCTCTTGTATTTGTATGTTTCTTTACAGTCCGATATACAATCCATTATCCCATATCATTCCTATATCATTCCATTTCATCATCTCATTATAACAACTAATTTCTCATATTTCATTTGACATAATTTGCATGCCGGGCCTCAGTTTTTACAAACTTCCCGGAAAATCCATCTCACGCATGCGCACTTTGATATAAATATTTCTATTGGTTTGCGCCAGAAATTGTTGTCTTGTTTATTTATTTATTTATCAAGGCGTATGTTTATGTCCTTACAGGTAATTGTTGTTATTCATTATGTTTCATTATCATGCATATTTCCATTGATCGTTTATGTATTTCGGAACTGTATTTATGCACTTTGATATAAATATTTCTATTGGTTTGCGCCAGAAATTGTTGTCTTGTTTATTTATTTATTTATCAAGGCGTATGTTTATGTCCTTACAGGCATAAACAGACCATTCCTACATTTGAAAAGGACCATACGACACTGGTGGCCAAATGTCACAGGGTGAGAAAAATGTGCAGCCTGACCGGGACTCGAACCCGGGACCTTCGGAATACCGTTCCGCGGCTCTACCGACTGAGCTATCCGGCCGCTTACACATCTTCTCCCCTAAGTAGTGAACAGTTCTGAACCGTGACATACTCCCCTGCTATATTGAAATTCGTCCTCGAATTTCACAGAGTTACAGAGCAATGTGAATTAAACTCTGAGCTGTATTCAGTCACGGTCCCCCGTTGGGCGCCAAATGTCACAGGGTGAGAAAAATGTGCAGCCTGACCGGGACTCGAACCCGGGACCTTCGGAATACCGTTCCGCGGCTCTACCGACTGAGCTATCCGGCCGCTTACACATCTTCTCCCCTAAGTAGTGAACAGTTCTGAACCGTGACAATCACTTAGCAGGTACTCGCGTTACCGTAAAGCTCGCTTTGCGAGCAGGCCCTTCGGGCCAGCTCGTCGAGCTCGCTATTAATTTAAAAGGCATAATTTGCAAATTAGAATTTGTAGAATGGGTCAAGCCTTTCGACCAGTAAAGATGTTTAAACTGGGGCTAGACTGAACAGTTATAGGAAGTCTATTCCAAAGACGTTTGCTCCTAGGAAAGAAAGAATTTTGATGGTCTTGTGTCCTCGAGAAGGGTATCAGGTAGTTCAGATTTCTTGACTGAGCTAAAGTGTTGGTGGTCAACAAGGACAATGCTGTTTTAGATTTTATACAAGTAGTTTAATTACATCACTGATGTTTCGAGACGCTGCTAAGGGTTTGCCAATTAAGTTCAGTTATCATTTTTGAGACTCTACTTGTATAGTCATAATCATTAAAATATATCTAGCAGCTGATCTGTGGACTTGTTCTATCTTATAAATTAAGTATTTCTGCCTAGGATGCCAAACTATTGAGTAATATTCAAACTGATGTCTAACATTGGTCTTATATGTAGTTTCCTTTATCTTTTTATTTGGGGTTTTAACATTTCTTCTAATGAATCCAAGGGAGTTATTTAATTGCTTTAGATATAATATTGTTTATATGTTTGGTCCATGAAAGGTCTTGACTAATAGTGACTCCTAAGTATTTTGCTTCTTGGGTTGAGTTAAGTTGAATGTTATGGAGGGTATAAGGAAAATTTACAGCGTTTCTTTATCTTGTTATTATGAGAACTTCACATTTCTCAGGGTTGAACTCCATGGACCAGTCTTTTTTCCCATATTTCTAATGCATGTAGGTCATCTTAAAAGGTTTGGGCATCTTGTTTGGATCTGATGGTTTGGTAGACAACAGTATCATCTGCAAAAAGTCTAACCTTAAATTACCTTTGATGCTATCAAGAAGGTCATTTATACATGTATAGGAAAGGAAAAGGCATGGACATAATACAGAACTTTAGGGCCACCTTAGAGGACTGGTAGAATTCCTGATTGTTTTACCTTTAACTGCAACTTGCTGGGAGCGAGACTTAAGGAAAGAATGGACCCAGTTCAAATTTGTAAATTCGTGACTTATTCCCAATCTTTCCAATTTACTCACAAGTTTTTGATGGTCCAGATTATCAAATGCCTAACTGAAATCCATGATTATGACATCAGTTTGTTGGCCACTTTCAATATTATGAGAAGCCTACTAGCTGGGACTGACAACCCGTTTTGACCTGAAGCCATGTTGATAGGGGCTAAGGATGCTGTGCTTGTCATAAAAGGACATAATATTGGATACTCAGATGTACTCCCACAATTTGGATGCTATGATGTGAGGAAGATGTCTATAGTTGCTGAGTTTGCATTTTGGGCCCTTTTGAGGGGTGCTACACCACAGCTTTCATATATGTTACTTTTAACATATTGGTAGATTATTTTTGTGTTGCCGTTTCTCATTCTGAGAGTCTTGGCTGAAAATGTCTGAGTCTAGCTTTTGCCAGTATGCTTTCCTAGTTTCTCTTTGAATTTCACTTTTAAGTGTCTTAGGCTTTTTGACCAAATCATTTGATTGGAACTTCGACCTTTTTATCTTTAAATAAGTTCTATCACGTTTCCTTATACGTGTACTGCGAACATGGACTTGTTTAACCATGGTAGATCTCGACGTGTTTCGGTGACTTTAGTTGGTATTTGAATAGAACAAAGGTGGTTAATAAGTTCGCCCTTGAAGGAAATCAAGGCTTTGTTGGGATCGATGTGGTGTGTTTCACTGTAGACCTTGGCATATTTATTTACACCATTTTTAAAGCAATTTCAGTTTGCATAATTATAGCTTTGGATTTCCCTCTTTGATTGAAGTGGACGCTCCTTGTTAATTTTGATGGAAGTGGAAGACTCTGTCATGACCTGAGGAGCCTAAGGGAGGTAGGGTTTTTGTACTATGTACATGGGAAGGCATGTTTGTGAGGAACAGGTCAAGGACGTTGTAAAGGATGTTGACCATTTGCTGTAGGTTAAAGTTAATGAGGTTTTAAAGGAAAGAAATGTATATGTCTGGAAACTTACAGCCTTCTATCAAGGATTCTGTTGACTAGTTGATGCTTGGCATATTGAAGTCCCCAAGCACCAAGACAACACTATTTTTGGGGATCTTTTTTATGGATGACCAAAGTTCATCAAAGGGGTATATCTCATCATTCTCGTTAGGTTTATAGAAGGAAGAGTCCCTAAGACTTTTCAGGGATATTTTGGCCCAAACTGAGTTGTAATTTGATTTCAGATCAGGTTGTTCCTGGCTTAGGATGGATTTCAATATGGCAATGAGGGTTCCCCCACATTTGCCCTCTAGTCGGCCATCCCTATATACCTGAAAGTTTAAGAAGTCGGGAGAAAAATCAGCTGTCGATATTTCAGGTTTTAGCCATGTTTCGGTACAGCAAATAATGTCAGGTTTGACTTGGGAAATAACCTGTGGTAAATCTGGTATTTTATTTTCAATAGAGCGGCAATTTATGTTTAAGAAGCACAACCTTTCACATAATTATGTTGTTATCTTTGACGAAAATGTATCGTTGGTCAAGCGTGGGCCCAACATTTATTTTTATCATTGAGTGGCCAATGCAGTTATAAATGTCGCTGACGTTAATTTATAGTTGGTTCGGCGTTGGGCCGAAACTGTATTTAAAGTACATGTTAATTAGTGTTGGGCCAACCATGGCCCAAAAACGATTTTCCGTGGTTGGCCCAATCACTGCATGTTTATAGGGACACTCTATTTTTTTTTATTTTTTTGTTGGCTTTTGAAGAATTACACTTATTTCTGGGATTTGGGGTGGAAGTAGCAATTGGATGTGTGCCTGAACTACTTGAACCAATTTGTGATCTATGAGGGGAGAAGACATCACTATCTTCATTCATTTTTGAATTGAGAGGAGATAATCTAGTATTTCCATACAATGAATTTAAGGACTCTGACAGTTTTAAATCCACACAAATACAAAATACCTTTTTAGGTCAATCAAAATACACATAAAATCAAGGGAATTTTGCTAATTCAAATTATTTCAACTAACCAAACACATTTTCGTTCAACTGTTAAACTTCATTTTTCAAAATAGTCGAGATTTTCCGGTATATATACTCTTTTCCCCAAATTCATATGTTTAGATAATTACGCTTGTACCAAATGTCAAAAGCTGAATGTAGTTTAAAATTCATTATGATATTAATTATTATTATTTTCCTACACTCAAGAGCAATATAGGAAATGACGATTGTTTTTTACGGACTTGAACAAATAATTATGAGACGAAGATTCAATGGGCAAGCTAGGTGATGGTGGTTTACCCTTTGCATCACGGCAATAAGTCACATTGTATTCACCAGAGCATATAGTTCAGCCACCTAGGCAGCGTCAGTGCCTTCACTTGCGCAAAGAACTGATAACTTCTGTACATGCTACTCGAGCAGAGGTACAGTGCGAATGACCGAAGAAAGGATTTCATGATTAATCACAACAAGAGTGACCAGCACCGTCCAGGAATAGAATCCGGGCCGCCCAATCTACAGTCAAACGCTCTAGCTATTGAGTTAACCGGTCTTTGCCTTGTATTGACAAGGAAGAATATATCAATTCACTATATATTTATCATAAAAAATATGATAATGGTTATTACAAATGACCCTGTGACATCTGCAAAATCAATATGCTTTGAAATGTAAACGGTTGAAAATGAATGTTCCTTCATATTTAAGACCCAAACCAAAATCTTCTTTGTAACTAATTTGAAAAAAGGCCAACAAGTTGTCTGCCTAATAATGGCCAGTATGCATGAAAGTTTTACTTCCTGTTAGCACTGTCACATTATTACGGAAGCGTCCTGGTGCCAATTTAACATGCTCTATAAAAAAAGATAACTCCTACTTAGGACTTTGCAACTCCTACGTAGAACTTTATAACTCCTACGTAGGAGTTTCCTTTTTTTATAGAACATGTTAAATTGGCACCAGGACGGTTCCGTACATTATTGATAAATATGTTCCTAGTGTACTAGTGTTAACTCGCTTGACAAAAATATATACTCTGGCATTTATTATATATAGCTTGTTGTATAACAGTTGAGACACCCACCCTACGTTTACCCTAGTGTTAAATATATTTTGTTTGATTAAAGTTGAGTGCCCGTATACGGTAGTGTAAAATTTATCTCACTTGACAAAAGTTGAGATCTCATGTATACATACACTATACTTGCTTATTCTTGTTACAAAATTTTTACCTTAATGCGCCGTTGATCACCGCCAACCTTGGGTATTATATTACGGTAAAGCGTGTAAACAAGAACCCAACCGGGTATACAAACGATTAATTCACACTGTGTTTAAAGTGAAAACAATATTTTCTTCCTACGAATGGACCTTTGAAATAGACGGTGAGTTTTTTTTAGAAGTTTCACATTTCAATTTATTAGGTTTAATAATTATACTGAGTTATTTGTATCAGTCTAGTCAAAGTTTATATAACTCATAATAAAACTGAATTAATGAATACATTGTATATATATACAAAATGATACATTTCAAATTGAAATGTTTAAACTTTATCTAATTATGTTTGAAATACCGATTTATACATTAGTGTTATGTATTAATCGTAGTTTATTTATAATACATATACATTTTTCATATCAGGTATTTAATTGATTCTTCTGATAAAATAACGTTCAAATTACCAATGGTATTAAACACAAATGAATAATTGAAGAATACGACAAAAGCCATGCTATTATACTACCAATAAAGCAATGGATTAGGATCTTTATAATGGCTAAATTTATACTACTTGCTTTTTTTAAAGCGGCAATTAAAGTAGTGATTCCCGATAGCACGACCCTGCTCTAAATAAAGTTATAAAGTAAAGGATTTTTTCAAAGTTTTAAGTACATGTAGTTTGCAATCTGTGATTCAAAATCTAACAAGACCTAACACCTATTAACACCTATAGACTAAAACCTAATTTAGATAAGAGGTCAATCGGTGCTGGACTTAAATTGTTATCGCATGTCCTATATCAGTCCATGATTTGTAAAATATTTAAATGGTTTCCTTCTTGACCTTGTTTACTCAATATAAATGTAGAACTTTATAAATAAGTTATATAAAAACGTTATATGGCCAAGCTTCTATTAAGCAGTTACAAAATTGGATCATCTAAACGCGGAAGTTTAAAAAATACGCACAAAAAAAACAACTCAATTTCATGAGAAAAAGTGCAATTTTCTTTGAAGTTGTAAACAATTTACGTATTTCTTTTCAGAGGGAGACACATTGAAAATGTAATGTAATACGAGTGCTATAAATGAAACCAAACGACCGAGGAGTAGAATTTTAACTGCAAATCTAATGATTCCAAAGGTGAAAAAATCAAAGAAAAGAGGCAAATCTACACACATGTATAATGATGCTGGAAGGAGGTGTAGGGTCCATCATCTTAATTGTTTTTCTGATATTTAGTGTATGTGCAGTCTTCTGCTACTTACGGACGCTGAGGTGAGTGCAAAAAGTGCATAGGCTTGCATTTATTTACCTTAAATTGGCTACATTTGTATTTCGTATTGGCCCTGGAACGGTCCAAAGAAAGTTTAATGTATTTGAATATTATTTCAAAAACTGAGATACGTACAGTATAACAAAATTGCCTATGATTACAATGGTTATGAGTGTCACGTGACACTATACCTCATAACAAATAAAGTTTTCTTTTTAAATACCAGCTGAAGAAATGAGCCCTTTATGTGACATTATTTGTCACATAAGTAGCAAAATGTAAACAAAGTAGTATTTTGATTTCTATACGTATTATAAATCACTATAACCTCTATACTAATTGCCACAAGGCAACCGAAGCAAAATATGGGTTAGATAATTGGCTAATGAGTAACCATCTTGAAATTATAACAGGAGACCATAATTAAAAAGGTTTTAAGAAAACAAAAATGAAAACATTTCTGGGGCAAAGTGGGCCTCATTCCTATTCCACTGAATATTTTTTCCATGCTCATTATTTTGTTCTTTCAGAACATCCGAGCAACAAGTTCTTACCTCTGAATTTTATCTATCTTAGTTTTCCTATTTTCCCCAAACATCAAACTTTATTTAGGATTTCAATACGATACAGGAGTGGGCCTTATCAACTCTATAACAAGTAGAGAAACTGATAGCGAACAGCATTGGTCCTGATCAGACTGCGCGGATGCGCAGGCTGGTCTGGATCCATGCTGGTCGCAAACCCATTATGTTGGTTTTGTCGTGACGCGGCATAATTTTGTAAGCAAGTATAGAAAGTAAAAAGTATGTTATAAACAACCAAAGCGTTTGAAGCATATCCTCAAACTAGGGTACAAAATCTGTTTCATTTTAATTCATATTGCATTTTGTTCTTTTGTATCTGTGCAACTGCCATTGCGTGAGGTATTTTGGATACAACTTATACATGATTTACAATTCCAGAAAGCGTACTATGCAACGAAATGCACAAAGACGTGGTCATACAATGGTTTATTCTGTAACTATGCAAGGAGGTGGCGGAGGATCATTTTATAACTCTGTAACAGAATACCTCAGAAACTCAGAAATTGAACGACAAGGACAAAGTTCCCCTGCAAGAAATAGACTTGGTAACGAGCCATTAGAGAATAGCAAAGGTCCTCCAATTGGACTTCCGTCTTATGATGACGTCATATCCGGAAAATTTGGCGGAAATATAGATAACCCACCGCCATATTCGGAATCCAATTTAGACGGCGACAGAAGTTCTTCACATCCTTCGTGAATGCTTGAATATATATATTACTAGTGCTCAAAATCAAAATGTTTTGGTATATATGCATGGCTTAAGGACATAAAATCAGCAAGTATGTACTAATTTGAGAGCATTAAAATTACATGTCCCTTTTTATAGATCTAATGTGAATTGCAATTTATGTTTTGTTAGACGTTTTATTTTGAATAGTTTCATTGATAGAATTCATTGTATATCTACCTGCACACAGTTCTCATAAACTATAGCGTTATCTCACGTATATATCTAAGAGCCTTTAGATCCTGTATGTTGTAACTGACGTTGCATACCACACTCAAGTGAAATTATATATATGTATACAATTATGCTTGTAAAACAATTATCAAACATCGAAGAATATGTAAAATGTGTACTGCAAATATTTGTACATATTATATGTAATCATTAAAATAATTGCATTCATTTCTTATTGAAAAATTTGACTTACAATTTATAGAAAATAAATGTTTTATTACCTCTCTTTATTTACATGACATGTTAAATTCGGTAACATCTTTATAAACAATGTTTTTTGGAACTTGAAAAATTGATAAATCTTAATTTGAGCATCATATTTATGATTTAAAACCATAAAAGAATTGTGTTACAGGATCTTTAAAGAATATGCAATATAGATGTATACATGTGTTGCATTTGTAAAATCTGAACAGCAAGCCTTTGGCTTACCCATAAAGTGAAACAGACTGGTTTGTAAAGACCATGTTAGTGTTCTTGAGCAAACATCCACTTTATATGGTAATGTTCCCTATAGTAAGTGTAAAATGTGAAAAAAGTTTGTACTATGTACAACTTACTTACACACAAAGAGATTAATTTTTGCATGTTACCAATTGTTCAATTTTATGTACATGTATAAACAAAGTAAATTGTTCATTGTCAGCAATAATTTTGTATATTTACGCATGTATATAGAATTTGTGACAAAATAATGTGCGAGCTCAAAAAGTTGTATAAAAGTAGAATTTGTTGAGAGGTTTGAAATTTAATTAAATTTCATAAATCTAGTTTAATGCTTATTGAATGTTTAATGTAGATTTATATAATTATTGACTAGTGAGCCATTGAATATGATGTGATATTTACCGGCAGAATATCATTTTTACTCCGATCGGGGAATATCACATTATATTCCATGGCTTACGAGTCAATAAGTGTATATCTAATAATATTTCATAATTATGTTGTCGTTGAGCATCTTTTGTTGTTTTGACCAGATGTTACAGTGTTATATGCTTTTGTTTTGTAAATACGGAGCGGTTTATTACTTTTTGTTTTGAAATAAATATATTGAAAACAACAAAATTAATGTATGTCATGCTTTAAGGTAAACGAATTCAAACATAGCTAATAACATGATGATATTGACCTGCAAAACAAAATTCCTCAGTCATTACAAGTTTCTCCAGCTAGCGACAACACAACAAATATCGTTATCGCCTTTTCGTACATGCCAAACTGCACGTTATCGCCATGTCGCCCTGTAGCTTGGCTTATATCGAAGGGTTTGCTTCATATCATGTTGTCGCACGGCTTGTTGTCATGAGCTTCAAAACGCCAATAAGCCAATACTTTCATCTGAGTAAAGCGACAATGTGTCATCGCGACAACACGCCGCGAGACTATTAAAGCGCCGTTTGGCGTGTTTCGCTAGCGACAGGATGACAAGACGACAAGACGATAATGCACCGTTTGGCACTTTGTCGTGCTGTCGCCAGCACACAAAAAGTAACAAATCAGCTGCCATAGTTTAAGCCATTCTTGAACAACTTATTAAACAAGCTATTTCTATGATGTCAACGCGTTTGTCTTATGTCTGGTAGAGGTAGGGTTCGCACATACAAGTATTATGGTCTGGATTATACAAGTATTCGTCTGGACAACGGCAAATTCCAATGGTTACACTATACTGTAGTGACGTCATAAATTTACTACAGTCAAACCCTCATCATATGCATCGTCTCTCTAGTTCCAAAGAAATAGCGATCTAAAATATTAATCCGGCGCAATTCGATCTATAGTTATATCAAAACAGTCTTGGTTACACATCCTCCTTGTGAATACGGAAAAACACAGTAAGTTCCCTCGTCTTGTTCAAGTTACTTTTGGACCAATCTGACTAAAGTATCTACTTTTTTATTTCTTACATGTAGATATCTGATTGTAACCGCGTATAGACATTTTTACGACGCGGTCCGTTGCTATGAAAAAATGACCGGAAGTAGTATTTTTCGCGCATGCGCAATTTGCGTAGGGCAAAAAAGCCATGCCCTACATAGAAATGAAGTAGAAATTCATAGACAATTCCGAGTTTGTTTAGGTTTATAAAATCATATAAAATAGCTTTTAACATAAACACAAAAGATGCCTTCATAGCTGTGTAGCCAAGATTGCCTAAAAAAGGCATGGAAAAGACGATTGTTTAAGAATTCCCCCTTACGATCACTGACCTGACATTGAGATTATTGTTGTAAAAATATGTGGAAATATATACAATGTATATATATTAGCAAATAAAGAAGTCAATTTAATGGTTGTTGAAAACGTCCATATAAAAAAAAATTATTACATATAATATATAACATTTTTATATAAATTTTATTAACATTTAAAATCGAGGATAAATATCATCTGAAAGATCACGAAAAGGAAAAGTGACAACCTATTGGTGGTAGTCAGATCTTTATGCGTAGGAGCTGGTTTTTTTTTATCAGATTGACAATCTGCATGTACCTGTCTACGAAAAGACATCATCCATTTTAGCATCATCTGCACAGATAAGAAGAGAATCTCTGGCAAGCATTCATAGAAATTATCTTTTACGTGGAAACATACGTTAATATACAGAAATCCTGTATTTCCATACAATGTAAAGCCTTTATAAAGTTATCTACCATTCTAGTCATCATTCCATATGCTTTTTATGCATTTAACAGATATTGTTAACTTTTTCGCTTATCACGGTATATTATTAAAACCAGAGATGTAAGAGCAAACAAATTTTTTGTTTGTTTCTTTTTCAAAACACTTCTAAATGATTAAAAGTCGAATTGCTGGCTAGACGTAAATGAACATTCCTGAGCTCCTGTGATATCTAAAAAACAAATATGGCCATGCATAGTTATTATGTAATGCTATTTTCAATGACTATTCCACCAGTTTCTGCCATCGCCGCCTCGTACGAAGGTGGCGGCAAATAATCGGAATACTTCGGCAACTCTTGACTTCCGGAGACGCTTTCAACTGTGGAACCATCCAGTGAATATGCATGGTTTTCACGGCCTGAAAATAAAATAGCTGTGTAAGATATGTATATTTCAGATGTATCTCAATATGTTTGTATCAAGTGAAGTATATAGATATTTGTTTTACTTATATTAACTATATATATAAGCTATATAACCAATGAACTTTTAGCGTTTGAACCACATGGTGTTCCAATAGAAATCTTTATAGGATCCAGTCTTATTCATTTAATTAGCCTCGTTTCCATTTCCAGAGCCCACATAATCTATATCAAAAACATAAAGTACCCCATACTGCTTGGTTTTCATTTTTCAGAGTCTAAAATATCTTTATCAAATGCATTTTTATCGTATTTCTAATGGACTCGTACACAGCTGCAAACCAAATATGTCTCGGCTAGCGTCTCGTCCAATATACTTAGATTTTACAGCTTTTTATTTTATTGTACATAACAATTATTTTATAATTACCATATTATGTCTTTTGAATAGTAATTATAAATCGTCATATAACAATAACTGCATCTCAACTGGTTTAGCGTTGACAAAATTGTATGAATATACTTTACCAAATTCAGGACCAAAATCCAGATTAACTGTATTCTGAATTTGTGGCTGGTTCCGCGCTCGAGCAATGCGGCATCTGAATATAGATATCAGTAAAAAGATGGTTCCGAGCAGTCCAAAACCACATCCAATGAAAACGCCGATGGGGAAACAGCAGTGTTGATTATCATGGTTCCCGCAGCAACCGAAATGGCAATATGTGGTGATGTTCGGACAAAACCCGCCGCCTTGGTGATCTTGATAATAAAAAAACCATAAGTTACCAAAAGATAAAACTTTTTTTTTTTTGATATTGCAGATATTAAAAGTAAATATTTTTAGACAGTATTACAGTTGAAACAGATTAAACTATCTCACAGTCAGGCTGTTTGTTGGTTTGTTATGATTTTATTTCATCGAGTTAACTTTAAAAACAGTATTCTCACGAGTGACGTAGACGTTTTTGAAGTTCACGAGAATAAAATAACATATTACACAACAAACAAACAAAATTTCTTTTTACTTTATGCTTATATACAAGTTTAAATAAAATTTCCTCAATATTAACTTCAATCACAATAAAGACCAACTTTCCATTACCTGTTATAGGGAACACAGCTGCCCATACATTGTTAATTCATTATTTTACTCAACTTAGACATATTTAGTAAGAATTTCATAGATTTCAATAAATTTCCGTGATTAAAATATTTTACTCAAGGATGAGCATAGTATATCTTTGATTCTTGAAATAAATTAGTTTAACATTGTTATTATTGTTGTATATACATTTGTAATTATATAGAGGATATTGAATGAGTGTAAGTTCAATACTGAATTTATTGCACGAGTTGAATAAAATTATATTACGCGAGCCTCTGGCGAGCATAATATTATCTTATTCAACGAGTGCAATAAATTCAGTAATGAACTTACACGAATTTAATATTCTTTTTATCACACACCCAAAATAAATAGAGGATATTCAAGTTTTTTCTATAAATACATGATTTATTTTCATCGAGTGGTATGAAAATAAATATTTCATGAGTGGCGGTAGCCACGAGTGAAATATGGTAATTTTCATGCCACAAGATGAAAATAAATCATGTCTTTATAGAAAAAAACTTGAATTTTCTGTTTATTATATACATTTTTATCTTTTTTGACATTAAAATTTGAAAGACTTTCCCTTAAATTTTGTGTACTGGCAGAATTTAAAAGAAAGTAGTCCGGCAAGACACCAGTGAAAATACGGAAAATATGTTTCACTGCAGTGAAAAATAAATTTTTACGGTGAAAATACGGAAAATGAAAATACGCATTTTATTTCATCAATATTTCTCAATATTTCATTTATAAGTATATAATAAAGAGTCATTTTTCACTGACGCGCCTATAGTATAACGCTATCATTTAGCGCGTCGTTACACTATGTTTGTATAACGCTAATGACGTCACGTCAAAATATATGCACGGTCGTGCAATACCATTTTTACGGAGTCGCAAAATCGGCACGGGTGTGTGATAAATTTCGATTTTACACTAGATTAAACAAATTTTCTTTTTACTATATGCAAAGACATTTTAACTAATACTAAATGAAAAGCGCGCCAGATAATACGTGACGTCATTTAAGCTGGTATAACACTGAAACAACATAACAGGCTTAAATTCAAAAACAGTGAAAACTATAAAATTGATTTTTTTACTGTTTTAAACAGTGAAATATTAGTTTTATATTGATACATGATACATTTCTATAAATCACCGAAAAGTATGCTCAATAATTTCATTTCATTTCGACATTTTTTATATGAATTCTTGATTTATTAAAGAGTGTTAACCTGTTGCTGGTTGCTCATTTGAATCTTGGTAATGATTGCTTAAAATAACATTCAAACATATAACTTCTATTTTTAAACTAATTAGCTATAAATAACAACACATCTTCCTTTCGACTTTTTTAATTTTGATTTTCTCTTCAATTTAAAAGTTTTATCCTTTTTTGAACTTTAAAGATAATGGTGTCTTTTTTACACGCCTACAAACATTCTCAATGTCGTTAAATTTTTTCCAGTCATAAAGTAATCCTTATATGTATAAAGACGTACATTTAAAATTAACATAAACATGTTGTTGCAATAATTGAGTCGCCAACAACATTCTTGCGCGGTTGTCACGTGTTGCTATTAACGATATTGGTTCTTTTTTCAACACTGCTCGCATTCGGTCAATCAGCAATCGTTTGACTTAATAAACGGAGCAATTTTAACAAAAAATGGAGTCGTGTCGGAATATTGTTGTTTGTACAGTGATTTTGATGTTTAAATGTTGTTTTCTTGAAGGTACGTCAAATAGAACGGCTGTCATTTCTTTTCATTTTTTACATATGGCCAATATCTTGCCAAAATAAAATAACCTTCACAAACTTTGGATTAGAAACGTTCTCATAGTTAAGAATTTTATTTAATATGCATATTCATTCAGAACTATTTCTTGGAATACTTATAGATGAAGGAAAGACATGTGGCCGCCCGACCATATGTTTAATAACTTTGATTCTATTAATATGGGTAATTAATGAGTATTTTAATATAAAACAGCCATGTTTTCTTTTCATGCTATGAATGTTATAATTATGTCATTTTAAAGCGTTATTGTAAGTACATAACCGAACTATTTTTGTATGTAAGGATAAACAAAATGTATGCCTAGGGTAAACTTTTAAGAATGAATACATTCACTATTTTGGAGAAGTTTATAAGTTACTTTCTGTAAGCAACAGCACGTGCTTAATGTTTCAATAACTGTGAATAACTTTATTAGGAAATCGAAAACTCTACACTGTCAATTCACTCTATGGTGCCGTTATATGTCGCGACGCCGCTAAATGTCGCAACATTGCCGCTTAAGTTGCAGTCGCCGCTAAATATCGCAGAATCTTCTGTCGCTTAATGTCGCAATGGTAACATTAAATGTCGCACGATTTTTCCTTGCCGTTAAATGTCGCAACATTGCCGCTTAAGTTGAGGTCGCCGCTAAATATCGCAGAATCTTCTGTCGCTCAATGTCGCAAGGGTAACATTAAATGTCTTACGATTTTTCCTTGCCGTTAAATGTCGCAACACTACCTCTTGATATCGTCAGATGCATACTCATGATAAAATTAATCTAGCTGGTGGTATTAAATTACAATTAATATTTAGTAAATGTATGCACATATTTAGTAACTTTTGGAAATAAAATAATGTCCGACATCTGCCGACTCAATATGACAAATGCTTCTTTAAGCGGATTAATTGGTCTACAATGGGCACATTTTCAAGAAATACATGTATTTCAAATATTGATAAAAACAACAGAAACGTATCATTTGGATATTCTTACAAAATATTTTTTTAACAAAATATGTTAATCTAGTTCTACATGACATTTATATGATGAATTACTAAAAAGTTGTTCAATCAACATCTACATATAATTCTTTCATGGTTTGTTATCATGCTTAATACTATACTATAACCATAAATATAAGATTTTATTTTCTGAACTCTAAATACTGTTTTATTTCTCCTAATTAGGGTTTTATAACTTCTTATTCCGAATTACAAATTTGTTATTAGGTTTGTTTCTCATAATTATGAATAAAATTCCTGTTTACACATTGTAACAAGGTTTTTAATCACTTCTATTTATGGAGAATCAAAGTCCTAAATAGGTATTTATAGCTATAGAAGTGAATATAAATAAAACAGCAAATAACTCCTTAATAGAAGTAACAAAGACCTTAAGAACATTATAATAAAATTATTTCCAAGACTTTTCCGTGAAAAACGTTGTAATTTTATTAGTGATTTTCGACCATGCGACCAAATACATGCATCGGCCATCGAGGACGTGTTGAAAGGAAAGTGTCCGTGCGACCACATACACACATCACAGGATTCCCCTTCTCTGATGTGAAAGGGACAAAGAGGTATCCGCCCTTTTATTAAAGGGCAGACTTTAAAGTTATGCCATTTCCTGTTAATGTAAAGAAGGCTATTTTTCACAGATATGTTTTAAATTGGTTTATATACCACAATAGTAATGCAAACCAAGCGGGGTATCAGTTTTCGTCCTTATAAGTTTTTTCTACTTTTCATGCTATGTATATAACAGTATTATTTTAATTTTGCAAAACATGAACGTTTCAAAAACGTTTTATATTAATTAAATATGGAAGATTTATTTCACACTTTGTTTGCAAATATTAACTTGGGGACATTTTTGCCAAAGTACGCATTTAATTTCTATATTCGACTTATTCTACTTGTAATAGAAAGGTATTGTGATGGGCTGCAAGAATTTTTTTACAAAGCCTCAGTTGTGGATAAAGTTACAATACGAATGATTTTCTGTCAGAATGTTAGCAAATTTCAGAGCATTTTCCGCCATCATAGACAACCTTAAAAATATATATCTGCTACAACGGCAGCAGTTTCACTTCGAACGCCTATAAAATCCTCAAGAAAAGACACACTGGATTGATAAGTTGCATACGTGACCTTTAGTGATGACTGCAGCAACTGTAATCTGATTGTGGCAAAATAATAGTACATACAGTATAATAACTTTAATACAGATAAAACCGCAGACACCCATGCTTGGTGGTGAAAGGCCGACACAAAATATAAAACATTGTGATCTGAGATTGAATTCTAATCGAATCCTTCTAGAATCAACTTCTCGATGAGTTAGATTCAGGCTAATGTCATAGCTCGAATCGACGACAAATCGGTTGCTAAATGAAAAACGTAGTAACTATACAAATGTGTTTTATCATCAAGGGAATCTTTGGCATAAATTGTGGTACCGACTAAGATGACTTCAATTTTAACCAATTTCGTTGTACATAACAGAAAACCCTTTCCTGTCTAATAGATATCTAGTCCACATATTACCTACATAACGTTTATATTGTCAGAATACCAGTTGTTTAACACGAATTTCGATTTTGCGACATTGAACGGTAGTGTTGTGATATTTAACGGTAAGGGATAATGGTGCAACATTTAACGTCCTCATTGCGACATTAGCGGCGGTTGCGATATTAAGGTAAGACCTGGGTAATACATTTCCGGTTAATTCGTGTTATTTCGACATTTACCGTCATTTTTCCGGTATATATCGGACTTTTCCGTTATTCCGAACATGGTTCCCTGCATTGGAATTAAAAATTTAATCGAGCACCGGGAACTACACTGTTACATCCTGGCATTTCAAAATGGCGTTGCGAGATACAAAAGGCCGGTTCACAGCGAAGAAATTAACGAAGAACAAGTGCAAAAGATCACGATCAACTTGTAATGATCGTAATTATTATTCGGAAGAACATTCAGCGTTGTTGCGAAGTGTAACGGCGTCACACTTTCATTTTTATTTGTTTGGGTCGTCAGACCAAACAAATAATGGTAGCGAAATTTCAGACTCTAATGCTGTTAATTGCAAATGCCGAAAGTAGTCCGCTTTTTTGAAGCGGTTACTTCCCTTTATATGTAACACTAAGGCCGAAAAATTCAGGAGAGATCACTGCGTAAATATGGTCACATAACAGGCGCAATAATTTTCGAGCAAAATAATTCCCGAATGGTCGAAGATTTCTAATATTGTTTTATTCTTTATAGATATACATGCTTATAGTAAGCACCATGATTATTTACACAAGTGTTAAACAACAGTTAGCGTCGTTACAAACCCTAATTTAGAATAATATGGTTTTCTTCAGACCACCTATTTCACCGTGGCCGAGGGGTTTGCGCGCTCGTTTAGGAAGCGAGAGGTCTGGAGTTCAAATCCCAGTTAAGGCAACTCATTTTTTTCAAATTGTTTAAGTCAAATAAACATTGGATTGAATATCAGTGTTGCAATTAGTCTTATAGCCAATCTACTACAATTAAAACTAGTGTTGTCCCGATTGTCTCTGAAAATCGATAACTAATCGGACCACCCCATAATCGGCAACAATCGATAGTCCTTTTTAAAAATCGATTATTTTAATGTTCTACAACCGCTGAATTGCCTATTTAAATGCAGTCAAAAAGAAGTTTCCCGACTGAATCTCTTTAATTCCAGACAATTTTAAAGTATTTTTTGTATTCAAAACCTATTTAATAGTGTTAATACTACTTTAGAAAATTATAGTGTGTAGTAATATAACATTATAAACTTATATATCTACTGTAGTTAAATTAGTGATCTACAATACTACTCATTGATATTTTGACCTGTCACAAAGTAGTATAAGGTATTTGTGTTGTTTGTTTTAAATTCAAAGAGCAAATCATACTAAAGAAAAAAGGGCCATTATAAGTGCGAAACTCGATGATACTATCGGCAGACAATCGATTGTGGTGGTCCGATTATCGATAGTGATTTTTGAGTCCGATACCCAACACTAATTAAAACGCTGGAAAGCATTGGTGGCACTATACAAAAACAAATTGTTTTATAATCTCACAACCTTCACCTTTCTGACATTCTGAGACCAAAACATATTCAGCGCCTTCTGCTCTTTGATTATGTTTGTTTTCGTATCACCCTATGTAGACAATAGAGATTACAAACAACTTGTTGAACGGTTATCAATTAACAATAAAGTTTCACGTTCTTATCTTACTAAGTCGTCCTCTCGAATGCGGCTTGGTGTGCGATTCTAGGGGACGTGCCTGATGAGCATTGTTTTTTAAAATATACATTTTCGTAATTTTTGACCAATCAAAGTTATTGAACAATTAAGCAAGTGTCTCTTGCTTGCACTTTCCTTGGTTCTTCTTTGATATGTAAATATTCATGTTTTACTCTAGGAGGCCCATGTGCGAAAGATTCAACCATCGGCTCCAGTAAGCCCCTACAGCTGACAGATAAAGTTGATACGAAAACGGGACAAATTGTAATATTCCGTCACGAAGATTACGTGGTACCCTGTTGCGGAGCGATTTCAGAATGGAACGCATACATTAAGAACCCGGGAACCATCCGGTTACAAGTATGGCGCGGATTAGGCACGGGGGAGTATACTTTAGTTGGTGAAAATTTAGCGACGTACCATAAAAAGGAAGAAAATAATTTGATTAAAGTGACTGTTGAAGAGGTAAAGCAAATTGCAGTAAAGGAAGGCGATCTCTTAGGTTGGTATAACGAGGATGCTCCAATGATTAGTTATAAGAAGGACTCGAAAGCTGCAGGTGTTCTTATAAAGGCTGTTAAGAAACCTATGCTTGTTGAAGACATTGTCGATCTTTCAAGTGTTCAAGCTTCTGATCCTAGAAGTTATGCTATATCTGCCACAGTTTCTAAAGGATTGAAACCAAAATTTAAAAATCTTCCAAGCAGTATAACTATCGTAAGTGATCTGGCCCCGAAAACTGAAATATATCAGCTAGGATTTGATGGCGTTGACGGAACGGAGGTTCCGGCGTCTTTTGCGGCATTTCTTGACGACTTTTCGGAATACTTTGCATATAATCAGTCAAAGAATTCGGTTTATATAAAACGTACTCCTCCAAAGGAGAAATATTCTCTAAGTTTTACCGTCAAAGACTTGTGCGGCAATACGGACACTAAGGCGTTAAAGATTGAAGTGATTACTAAACTCCCGGCTATTTTGAATTTGCCTTTCGCCGTTTCTGTACGTGAAGATGCGCATAATGCAGAGATAGTACTTCACGAGATTGAGGTGGTACATACGGGACCCACTGCTTGCAGCTTAAAGGGCGTTGAGCCCGTTGCCGGACGAAAATATTTTCTCGTTCGGAACAGCAATGGCTCGGCACCGGTAGTAATCCTTAAAGCCACCGCGCATTTGAGCTATGCCCAAGAAGATTCATATGAACTGTTTATTAAATGTGCGGCTGGAAAAGAATCAGACATCAACAGTTTATTTGTAAATGTGGAACCGAACAAAGCGCCGATATTTATGAACTTACCAGCTACAGTGCCCGTCCACGCAGACAAGGGTATCATCGGCGGGCTTATTTTCCATATACTGTACCAAGACGAGGAAGATAATCCTGTTTTCTACAACATAACGTGCGATCCGGAGCCTTGTCCATTTGACGTCACTCAAGGTGGAAGCATTATGGTAACCGATGACTTACGAACTGCCATTTCAAATATTTACTATATCGAAATTAGCATAGAGGACCATTTTAATGTAGCCGGGCCCGAGGTGCTTATTGTGAACATAACCGGCCTGAATAGTCCGCCGATAATTTACAATATTCCTAACAAGGCATCCGTGAATTTACCTGAAAATTCACCACCAGGGACGTCCGTTTTCCAAGTCCAAGCCATAGACCAGGACGTCGATGATAATTTAACGTTTTCTTTGAACGCAAAACCTACTAATATGATACCACTGTTTTCAATTGACGAATTCACAGGTGTGATCCACGCCCTTGTTCCATTCGACTATGAAGGTTTAAAATCTAAAAATATCAAACTTTATCCTAGTGTTTTCGACGGCCAGGATACATATCAAGGAAACATAAAACTGTCAATCATTGACGTAAATGAACCACCTGTATTTCAGTATCCGAATTATACGATTTTCACATCGGAGAGCGGACCTGGGAAAACGGTTGTTAAAAACAGAATCAAAGCAAAGGATAATGATAAAGGGGATGTAATTATTTATGGTCTCAATTGTGGGGAAGAAACCGATCTATTTTTAATAAATGAGCACAGTGCGGACATTGAACAATCGTATGAACTTGATGTGGACAAACTCGGCGTCCCGGAACACGAGATATTCTGCATAGTTACGGCCACCGATAGCGTAGGACAGATGTCAAATGCAAGTGTGCGCTTTGTCATCACTGACGAAGACGACAACGCTCCTGATTTTATTCAAACCAGCTATCTATTTATAGCAACAAAAGATCTTCCGATATTTTCTATCGTTGGTCAAGCATATGCGGTAGATCTCGACACGACGTCGGTGAATAGCAAACTATTTTATTACATAGAACAAGAGACAGACGAATTTGTAACAGACGACAATGGAACTATTCATCTAACGACAGATCTTACGAATACTGAGGTTGGAACAATGTTCAAATTTACGATGCGTGTTGAAGATGGACAGGGTAAGAAAGATGCTGCTCCTGTTACAGTGGTAGTTCTTGACGGGGACTATAACACAGTTATTTCATCTTTGGTTGCCAGGCCGTTGACCTTTTTCGATATGCCCGAAAATATTGTATGGTTTCTCACCACCATATATTTGTTGCTGGTATTATTCGGTTTACTTTTATATTTATGCGGACGCTCTGTTCGTTGCAGTATTGATATTCAACCTAGATCAAGAGAGAGTAGAAGGGGTAAGGAAGATAGCTATTTAAAGGGATTCATACTCAATAACCTTCTCAGGAGTAAAAGCAGTTCTCGAAGATCAAGTATCGTTTCAGTGATACCATTCGAACAAACGCCTTATCCACTCAGGACCATAGAATACGAGTATCATAAAAATTCAATGACAGGGTCACACATGTCGGAAACTTCCGCCAGAAAGAGATCCACAAAATCTTGCGCAGACGACAGTTCTGAGCGGCGCCTTTCTATAAATAAGATATCAAATAGATCGGCGGAATCTGTTGCTAAGCAACCAATTTCATCTCTGAATAACGGCGTCACTCCAGATAATGTAATAGGAAGGAATTCAGTTGTTTCGAAAATGTCGTCCGTTGACCTCCCATCCGTGCAATCCCGTATTTCGTTGTCGGACATTTATCCGACAGAGGATCATGCACCGTCACCTTGGAAACCATGGGCTATATCAGACTTTAAGAAAGCATTCAAAAAAGCGAATACTAACGATTCAAACTACTTGTCGAAACTACAGTCCAAAGGTGATAAATCGTATACCGGTAAACGTAAGGCTAGCCTCAATTTTTGATATTTATTAACTCAACATTAGACACACTGTAATAAAGCGTACTTAAAAAAACCCACAAATTATTTTGTTCTATTTAAACTATTTATAATGAAAATAATGCAGTGAAATTATAATTGTGGTATTTCAGTGTTTTTTTGTCATGCCCACCTTCCTTTATGAATTACCATACACTCTATGGAAGGTTATTGTCAGACAATGTGATTTTTTTGTAAAAGCATTCTTTGTTATATATTTTTGTAATCTCAAGTAATTTCGCGATTTACGAGCAATCTTGTTTTAAGTAGTATGTTTTCTTTGTCGCGAAAAATCAGTTTGCATGTATAGTTACAAATCAAGATCTTTGATGAAACATGTTTATCATATAATTGTGTTTCTTTTGCGACTCCCTAAAAATGGTATTGCACGGCCGTGCATATCTTTGAGACGTGACGCAATTGTATGATACAAGAATAGCGTAACGACGCACTAAATGTCAGCGTTACACTTAATGTGCGCCAACAGGTATACGTACCTGGCGTCAATGAAAAAAAGAGATTATTTCTACAGTAACTATAAACTGTTCTTATGCTGGGTATGTGATAAATAGAATATTATATTCGGGTAACTTCATTACAAAATTAATTGAACTCTTTGAATAACATTATAATTATAATCCTCACCAAAGGCTCACAGTATATAATTTTATTTAACTCGTTCAATTAATTCAGTATTGAAATAGCCTCTAAATACGGTACGTGTTTAAAGTGACATTATGCTCATTTTTTCGCTATCAGGTTCAGTTAAAGAAGTGCTGTAGTTGAACAAGACCTTTACTACCATAATAGCGACTGGCCAATAACTGATCATGAAAAATGTTTAGGATATTTATAAAATATAAAAATTATCTAAATTTAAAAAAAGACTCTTTTTTTTTAAACAATTGAACGTCGATCGATATTTATAGAAATGTCTATGGGATACGTCTTTAAATGGTAAAATTAGTATAAAATTAAACACTTTTGTCATTTTGACTTTTACCTATGCAAACAACATTTACACTTGGATGTGCATAATGTCAGTAAAGCCACAGAATGTGCATTTAGGTTTACAAACAAATTTCATTTACAAAAAAAATCATATTTCATTTCACATACCTTCGTTTACTGACACAATAGGCATCTTTTAATTTCCTTCTGACAAAAGAGTTTTCACCCCTTTACTTTCTAATGTATACAATATCAATATTTTCATCATAGTAAGTTTTACCTCCTTAATAATTCATAGATGTTTTCATCTACTGCAGTATCGGTTAACAATCGCTATATATGTGCTTTTTTTTTACATCTATACTAGAAAATCAGAACGGACGGTAATAAAATTATCACCAAATAAAACAATCAAATCGTTTGTCTTTTTTATGACTCATACTAGTATGAGACCTGATATTGACAAACAGTACGACCAATATATTCAAACCTGTGAATAACGGCCACCCAAAGGAAAGACTATACATGGCTTTTATAGACAAGTGGTTTTTAATCGAGTGTACTCTGTTGTATTTTATCAATGAATGTTTGTCAAAGGGTTGTCCATATTGACAAGGTGGTCTTTATTCGGAGTGTTACATGTTGTACTTTATCAATGATTCTTCTTTAATAACAGGGTGGTATTTATTTGGAGGTGGTATTTTACACAGTTTTGACTATAATGTGTTTTGAATAATCATGATATATCAAAATATTTAAATAAATTGTACATGTAAAAGTAAAAGCTGAAAATTAATTAATTTACCAAGTTCCAAGTTTTATTCATATTTAAATATCTCACTTTGCATATAGATACATAAACATGAGAAAATGAATTAAAAACAAATATTGTTATTTTATTTATTTTTTACAGAGGAAAACAATAATTCAGAAAGATGAATAATGTGTACACTGTCTTTTTAGCTGCCGTCTTTATTTTATCATTAATTTTGTTGATGATCGTTAATATAATAAGAATAAACTGGGTAACGGAAGAGAAAATACTATCAATATTGTTAATAAAGAAAATAAAATTGTTGACAAATACTATCTCTTTTACACTATACTTTTTAACACATTTAGAAACAAACATTAAAGGCACATTCACTGCCCCAAGAAACAAATAATTTTTTTTACTTATTTAGAAAGGTCAAATATGAATTTTATAATGTTAAAAATAATGGTTTTAGAGAGTTTTAGATGCTTGTTACCTAAAGAAAGTTGCGATCATTTGTCATAAAGGTAGAAAAATGTAAACAAAGTAGTATTCTGATTTCCATACAAAATCACAATAACTGGATTTAATGCCAAAAAAGCAACAGATGAAAAAGATGGTTCATATAGATGGCCAATCAGTTACTTTTAAAATATATTTTTTTAGAAATAAAAATAAAAACATTTCTGAGACATGACAGGCCTTTAACATTAACTTTTAAACTTAAACATGATTTCATTGGTTCTGCTCGTGTATTATCTGCTTCTGGTAACCAGAAATGTTTGCTCTTCCAAATTCTGGTTCATTTATTTTAAGACAATGCTTATTAAGCCATTGGAGTGGTGGCTTAGTGGTTATGATGTCTGCCTCTCAACCCAGGGATCATGGGTTCGAGCTCTAATCGGGTCACGACCATGTTTCTTCATATGACACCAGTACTGGTTGGTTCCAGAAAGCGGACTCAAAAGTTATTAATATAAGTTGAAAGAACTTGCTCTTGCTTTGCATTCGAGGTTAATTAGATATGTTAAAGCCAATCAAGGCTAGCATCAGATTATCAGATTGATTATGAGAATGATTTGGCCAGTTTGCTTTGCTTTGCCTTTACACAACTACACAACTCATTAACCCTAAGCCTGCTGGCGGGAACTGAACTTACTCAGGCGACAAGATCGGCTGTCTCACCTGTACCGTTTGATCATGGTATGTACAGTTCGCTATTCAGTTAGAACATATTTTGAAATTTTACCTAAAGATAATGAATGGACTTGTCCAGACTCAAAGATGGGTTAAAGGTCATCTTCGAAATAATATTTTCTGATGCTGATACAAGCTTCACTATTCCAGTATTTTCGACCAGCGAAAAAAGTACCTCAATACAGTCGACACATTAAATTTAGTGGTCTTCTACCATAAAAGTAAATATTTTCATGACAAAACTTTTATAACAGAAAAAAGGACAAAAAAAATAAAATAAAATAAAGTTTATCACAGCAAAGGAAGCATATATCTCAAATTATATGGCAAGATTAAGTATAAAGATACATGATGATAAAGAAAACCCTAATATCAATTCATTTGCATTCAATGCAATGACAAATAATGACTACTTAATAATCCTTAAGAAACAAAAGCAGAATTCTAACACTATCGGACATTTTTCTATATAAACAAAGAAGGCCCGAAGCGTGCATTATTCTACAACAATGCACTCGCCGTTCTTATTATCTCCCTGTGTATTTTCACATTAAGGGCGCCATTTTGTTTAAATAAAAAACAATTTTTTGTCGAATTTTGTTGTGAAAACTATCTAGAATAAAAGAAAATGGTCTAACTAAGAAAATGAATCCGAACACCAATATCTTTCATTCAGTCGTTAACGCTGTACATTTAAAGTGTTGTTTACGTGACGTCACAATGTAGCGCCAAACAACACGTGCAAAACAATCAAATCAAGTACGCTATTTTAATGTCGCAAACGAGTTAAGTTTTACATTTATTTCACTTTTAATAATTTGTATTTCGCTTGAAAAAATATAGAGTGAAATAAAATAAACAAACAAAGTTTTATTAACGTTTTCAAAATTCGTTATTCTCAAAATGATTCTACACACGGTAGATTTAACGACAGTTTTTTTCAACCCACTGGAACAGCCTTTAAAGAACGTTTCTATTGGAAACTCTGAGGCGAAAACAAATTTAACCACCAAAAAAAAGTCCAACTTTATAATAATAGTTGTATTTTTTCTTGACGTGTTAGAATGGAAATAGATATTAATTCTTCGTGCATTATTGTATAATAATGCACGTTTTTCGTTCAAATGCTTTGTAATTAATCACTCAGGCCTATCGGCCTTCGTGATTATATTACTACGCATTTGAACTCAAACCGTGCATTAATCTACAACAATGCACTCAGAATTGATATCTATCTCCTAAACAAAAAGTGAAAAAAGATGATCATCATTAAAATAAGATATGGCAACATTTATACCAGGTGCCATTTATTTTAATTCTCTTAATAACAGTCGAAGTTCTTTGCTCGAACTCGGAGGGCCCTTGTAAATTTGTTCGAGATATCGATAATTCGAGACAACCGATGTTGAATTATTAGCATGTTTAATTATTGTATCTATTAATAGAAGGACACATTTCTTTACCAACACTCGTTTATATGTATATCATAAAACACCACTTTATTAGTCCTGCATTTTATTGACCAATGCGTCAACCTGATAACGGAACGGGTCGTCTTTTCTGGTCGCCGTCCGCTTCAACCTGAATAATTCACAAATACGTAGGTTAGAACAATGACTTCACAGACGATGTCATCATTTGAAATAATCAAACAAGTACTGACTGTGATAAAGTTGTCACTTTGTTTTTTTTTAAATATATATATAATTTGATATGACGCTATCTCTAATGTTAACACAGTATATAAACGATTTGAACCCCAACCGGATCTTGTGAGAAGATTTTAGTGTCAGCCATATTCTGCCACTACACTTGTTTACGATATTGGTATTTATATTGATACAGATGGACGTTAGGTTAGTAAATCTATATTTATATCGTAAGAGAGAAACTTAATTAAACGTTTATGTTATGCAAAACATAAACGTTAGCACGAAGGCTATAAAATAATCGAAACTCACGAACAGCTTTCAGGTGATCAACACTGAACACGAACAAAAATCCGTCTTATTCCAATGATGATTTAGTTAAACATTGAATTGTGATATCGAACTACTAAAGTAATCAATAACAAACGATAATTTAGCCATATGCATAACATATTGCTGTATCTTGAACATAAATTTAAGAGTTTTACCAAGGAGGTCAATTCCGTAAACTGAACGTTACTTGCTGGTGATTGTGAACCCTACTTGTGAGTTTGCGAAATTTATCTGTACCCTGACTTGTGAGTATTTTTAAAGATTTATTGGAGTTCATTGCGATTTTGTATCAATTATTGCCAGAAAATATAAATGATTGTAATAGAATTTTAGTATAGAAGGTGGGATCTAAGGTATTTACCGAGAATTGGTTTAACTGATAATATTGTTAATCATTTGTTTAATATAATATATAATGCTATGTATATTTTTCTTTCGGATCACCATGGAAGAATACAGCTGCATATACTGTTCAGTAAAGACTACGAATTTCAATGCCATCATTGACCACATAATTATTCGCCATCCAGACTGCAACTTGAAAATAAGAATAAATAATGATCAGAATAAAATTTCCTACTTAAAAAAATTCAGCGTCACAGCCAATAACGTAAACGAAAAAAAGAAGTTTATAACACCAATTGCTGAAACACTGACGTAGTCTACATTTCAGAAATAGAAAGTCAATGAATTTCTGAGAATAAAAAAACAATGTTTAAAAAAGCAGAATGAAATCAACGGTAGGTGTAAAGCTTTCAACATGTTGAAATAAGTAATCTGCAAAAAAAATCTTGTAATGATATTTCGAGGTTTATTGATACGTGACGTTATATAACGGTCACGTCAAACTTATATTTAACAACAATGCCGTTGAACTAAATATAAAAAATTTATAGTACATATATGTAATATTTTAGCTTTATATCTTTCCAAAGAAAAATGAATGGTAAGTGAAGATGAGGTTTGTTGGTTAATTATTCTTATCAAGAAATAATTGACTTTCTGATTCGTATAAACAGCCACTTTCGTAGACAGTGAAAACATGACGAAGCTCCTCCATTCATATGCAGTTTTGGTTACTTACATGTAAAACATGTACCCTTCTCTTGTGACACAATAACTTCATATTCTGCACAATAAAATTTGGAACATACGACAAAAACACAATAAAAATCATCAAAAGTGACTCGCAAGTAATGGTTCAGTGAAAACACAAGTAGGGTACAGATCATTAAAATTGTTTTAGCAAGACGGGTACAGTTATCAGAAATGTCGCCTCTATTATTAACTATGTTTTATCAATATTCAAAGATATTTTCACAAGTGTCTGTCCGGTAACATGAGGTTAAGACAATAAATCAAAGATTCAGATATGAGTTATAGTGAAGTAAAACAATTTTAGGCATACATTTGCTTGTGTAATCGGCGTGTGTTGACATAAACACAACATGAGGCGAAGAGCACAGCGTTTTATGCGCATATATTTTACGAAGATGGTTATGGATGTATATTTAAGCAAAGATGAATTATTTCTTAATATGATTCAAATGTTAACATACCGTAACATATTAAATTCAAGCCGATTTTTAATAGTTTAATGTGTCATTACGCCTGATTGTACGTTTAGATGCTGAGATCTTCTCACAAGATCCGGTTGGGGTTCAAATCGTTTATATACTGTGGTTAAGGTTGATGTTTGATTGATGTTAATATGATTCAGTTAAAAAAAATGAAAACTCTAATTTTAGCCCACAAGGGTCAAATGTTGCTAAACACAACTCTAATAATGCTAAAACACATTTTACATGAAATAGAGAATATTTAAGTTTTTTGCTAAAAATACACGATTTATTTTCATCGGGTGGTATGAAAATAAATATTCCGTGAGTGGCGGTTGTCACGAGTGAAATATGATAATTTTCATACCACAATATGAAAATAAATATTGTATTTATAGAAAAAAACTTAAATTTTCTGTTTATTATATACATTTTTCTGGGTTTTTTTCTTTTGACATTACACTTTGAAAGAATGAACCTTAAATTCTGTACATTGGCTCAATTTAGAAGAAAAAAGTCGGGCAAGACACTAGTGAAAATAAAGACAATATGTTTCACTGCAGTGAAAAATATTTTTTACAGTGATAATTCGAAAAATTAAAATACGCATTTTATTTCATCAATATTTATCATTATTCAATTGATAAGAATATAATAAATAAGAATATTTAGTGGATAAAAAACTAAAATAATGTACATGTGTATCAACAATTTTACCATGCTTTGGAACATCTAACTGCATAATTCCTGAGCTTCCAATATCCAAGGTCACCGAGACAGGAAATAAGTTTCTCTAGCGCGTCTATTCCACGAGGTGTTCGATCCCGAAATAACGTCAGAATCTTTTGAGAAAAACAAACAAACGAATATAATCTGAAGTTTTCCTACCACTTCCTAAATAAAGTTTTTAAATGATCAAAGAAACCCGTAACAGAAACACAAATATGTAATTACTTTTAGATAAGAAGATTTTGATTATTTCGCTTTTTTCAAGAAGTCATTTATTAACCTTTTGAATAAAAAGATAAATAAGTTGATTAACATTTTACCTTCATAACTTTTATACCATCAATTAAATAGGCGGGGTTTTCAATGATGTCATAAGATGCAGAATCGGTTATTTGTAATGCGCGCGCAAGCTCACGTCGAGGAGGAAGTTCATCTGACATCAAAACGAGGTACGAGTCACTCATTGGTTTCGGATAATCTACAAATATAGCAGTACTTTAAAATTTTGATATTTATAAAAACCTGTGTAACAATAAGAAACAGGAGTGCTTAACATCAGATCAAACCATGTATGAAAACGGGAAAAATGTCGGAATCAATTAAAGGATGCTTCATCTATAAGTTAATTTTGCGTACCCTAAATATTTTTGTGTGAAAATTACACGTTAACTTAGATTCACTACATTAAATTGTCTTTCATTACATGTAAGATGTTCTTCAGCTTTATAAAGCTTACACGTCCTGTGTGTTCAACAAAACTTCGATACCTTACTATAGTTATAATTTGCTTTGATACAGATGATTTTGAGCTTACCTGGCGGCACAAAGAGATCGGAATTACTGTAAGCCTTAGAAACCCATTTATGAAAATCGCTGTCTTTCTCTGACGTCGTACCATACCTGAAGTAAGAGTAAACTTCAAACAAAATTATAGACTGGTTATTTTTATTTCTTTGGGACCAATGATTGTGCTCCAGCTTTTAGTCTGCAAGGATATCTGTTCACCAAGATACTTATATCTTGTTTGTAACGCTTTAATATCTCTAACAGAAAATAGAAATTATTTCCATAGAAAATCAGATTAGTCTGTCAAACATTATCTCATATCTATGGGAAATGGCGGAAGTTTGTTTCATGAACTGTAGCGTGGAACTACAATCGCATCTTCTCGGCCCTTTCCGTCAAAGTACGGATATTATTGATAATAGCAGAGATGTTCCGATTGGTAGAACTGACATCCGCAAGGCCCTTGCCAGTTTGACAGACAGACGTCTTGGTCTTGTATTGAAGTAGAATAGAATATTTACCAAGTTTTGAGTTTGATTTGAACGCTGTTGGCAACATTACGGCAGCCTCCCTTGTACAAAGCTCCGAGTAAAAGAGGTAGACCTGAATCTTCTCTACTTTGATGTTGGTCTCTCCACTTCCGGAACAGCTTAAATAAACACATAAATAAATAAACAAACAGTCTTTTATTATTAAATGGCATCACTTGCAAATTATGGCTTAATTGTTTACACATGCTATTGCATGCACATAAAAAACTTCAGAAAGAAAAGAACTGTAACACGCGTTCCACGGAAGCAAAAACTACATAAATTGCCACATTTCTTAACCTTGATGTCCAAATATTCATTTTTCCGTTTATTTATTTGTTTATAAACTCAGATAAGCAGCTTTCCGTTTTTATCATAGGGTATGCATTTTATTCAACGGTTCATAAAGAAGATTATAATTTGCATCAACAATCATTACTTGTTAAAAGTTCTGAAATTTCTCTTCGGCGATCTTGGAGCAGTCCATACGAAGTTTGTGATTTCAAAACAGAAAATCAAAACTAGAGTTACCAACAGTATAATGCCTGGTCAGAATGCATGGATGAACAGGCTCGCCTGGCTCTATGCTGTTGGCAAAAGTTAATCGCTTTTTGCCCAGCGGTTTAAAGGGTGAGAATTGACAGCACTATCGGGGTTTACCTGTTTTTTAACTTGTGTAGTCTGCCTCGATTGTAAGATTGCTTCTTCAATTTCTGAAAAACCTATGCCAGACATAACGAATATCTTATACCAGTCGTCTTCTAGTTCTTCGATTACGTAGTCTAGCAGATCGTCTCCCAGAAATTCTAGAATATTTCCTGGTAATATCAACATATTGATTAAGGTCAAATGTGAAAGAAATTTAGATTTATTGTAGGAATGATATGTTGATACGGTCTTGAAATGGCTTCAGCTAAAGCTAAATTATTGATTCAGCGATGAAATCGTTAATCGACTATCCCTCACTCCTCCACTTGCTCGATCCCTCCCTCCCTCCCTCACTCACTCACCAAACTCACCCACTGACTCGATCGCTCCCTCGCTCGCTCGCTACCTCCCTCCCTCCCTCACTCAAAAATGTGCTAGTAATTAGTTACCAGTGATTAAATGAAATCGTTAATCGACTATCCCTCACTCCTTCACTTGCTCGATCCCTCCCTCCCTCCCTCCCTCACTCACTTACCAACTCACCCACTGACATACCCTCTGACTCGATCGCTCCCTCGCTCGATCGCTCGCTACCTCCCTCTCTCCCTCCCTCACTCAAAAATTTGTCAGTAATTAGTTACCAGTGCTACACTCTTCCGAAGGCTCAACGATTATTTCAGGTACAACCCTTTCTTCAACAGGGGCAATTTCTTCTTTTTCTGGTACGGGATCTACGTTTTTCATCGCACGGGCAAGAGTTTCTTGCACTTTTTGTAGCGAATCAACCTGTGGTTCTTCTTCAGTTTTTTTCGTCTGCGAATCTCTTGTTCCGGTTTTCGGTCTCACTTCCATAGCGCGAGACTTAGGACGTCTGTCAGAAGTACGGGAACCAGGCAAATTATCTCCTTGTGATAACGTGTTCCGACTTCTAGCACTTTTAGCACTTCTCGTGTTGTCAGTTTTCCCATCACTCGCAACACTTTCCGAGAGACTTTGTCCATACTCCATTTGATTTAACAAAAGATTGACATCAACTGACGCAAGATGCTCTTTCCCTACAACTTCCTCTTTATTTTCTGTACCGGCTTGAGCGGCATAGACATAAAGTCGGCCATTTATAAACTGTATCGCCTTTCCTTTCAGTTCAACAGTAAATGATACAACATTGTCCCTCATCCTATGAAACTCGAGATCAACAAAACGCGGATCTTTCCGCAAGATGGCGCTGTCGTAAAATACAACTTTAAACGCTTGTTTTGATTGCACTCCAATCTGAGCCAGCAGATCTTTTTCTTGTTGTTCTTGATATCCCTGAACTTTCCAGTAACGCAGCCGGGCATCTAAATTTCTAACCTCACAACACTCGAAAACTACAGTAAATTTTCGCGTGTTTCCTATTCTATTTGTGACACAGAGGAAACAGACTCGAAACTCTATGTTTGAGACAAGCTTTAAAGTGTCATTGATTTCCTTGGTAACCGTTTCAGCAGGACTTTCTGGTTTTATTATTGCCACTGTCGCAATGCTGAAATTGATAGTTTCATTTATGGTAACGATGCATCGATCAAAAGGTCGTATAAATTCGATCAACTTCGCCACTTTCCGTTTCTGATATTCATTTAGAAAGCGCTTGTATGATAAGATTTGGGTTATTCCTGGTTATTCCGATGCTTACATGGTCTTCATTAGCCACGGAAAATGGCGAAAAATTACGAATGTTCACGATGTATCTAAATGATGTCAATTAAAGTATTGCTCGTTTAACTTTTCACATCGACGGAATAACATACGCAATCATAAGATATTTTGTATACATTAATTTTGCTTATAAAACATTTGGAATAGTTAATAATACATGTAAGTATCAAAAAAAATACTAATAAAAATATGATTAAAACCGTACACCGGAAGTCGATGTTCTTCGAAACAAACGGTGTTGCGTTTATCGTCTGCCTTCATATCCATTACTCCCCATTTTGATCCAGATTTTGCCAAGACAACGCATTTACCTTCGTCATCGAAACATGTTGGCTTTGGAAGCTAAATAATAATAGGAACAATATATTTAGATCTTTTGCAAAGAAAGTCCATTTATCTATCGAATCGTCTCCATCAATAACAAACATAGATCAGCGGAGTGCAACATCATAAATGATGTGATCAAAGAAAATATGCAATTCTTATAAATGCAAATCTTACACATTGTTTAAAGAATATTCCCTTATAACATAAATAATAAAAAGCACCACTTTTGTCAAATAATAATGATTCTTTGACTGCTATAACATTAGGGCTATTGAAATTTTAAAGGATGTATCACATAATAATGCAAAAGATCGAGCAGAACACATTTGAAGTATGAGTGCAATAAACGTACCTCAATAGTTATATCTTTGTCCACTTTTTGGTCCGCTTTTATCCTGTAAAATGGTGTACTGGCAAGAATCGTGCCCTCTCTGATCTCAACATTTTCAGGCAATTCTATGACCTGTTCATATCCGAAAATATCTTATACAAAATTATTGTATAAAGTACACCAGGTGGCGTGCGGGTTCAGCCATTTTGTAATACATGTACTTATCATTTGTAAAAATAGTAAATGTGGTATCTCCGGACATGTGTTCTTTCAAAGAAGGCGATTGCGTTATATGCGTAAAGATTTTGATCAAACTATCGTGTAAATTGTAATCAACACGGTGTGTTTGTTCAGAGGTAGTCTCAAGAATAAAAATTATTTTAGTGCAGCTATGTGAAATATGAAGAAGTATGTATCGATTGTACCAGATTAAAAACAACAAAAGTCGATGGTAACAATTGAATATATACAATAATCGAACAATGTGCAATATTATATTACTTTGAATATCAAATAATCACGCGTTATGTATATTGTATATGTTTAAAAACAGACCTGAAGACTTAGTGTTGCCTTCGTGTTGAATGACGTCTTGTTGACATGAACTTTGACCCGATCGTCTATCACAGACCCGAGGACAGTTTGTCCTTTGCCCACTTGCCAGTTCTCTACCCTAGGTCGACATACACAGATGTATGAGTCCTTGCCCTCGGTCAGATCAGTTTCGAAATCAACCACTAAACCCTAAAAATCGTTGTTAAAAAAATTACAAAAAATATTTCATGGCATAGTGATAAAAGGTGCACGTATTGCTTAAGAGAGAAAAGAGATCAGTTAAGTTATAGATGAAGAAGAATAGTAATAAAATGTCGAAAGGGAAGAAAAAAGTAGAAATTTGATAACACGAATAGAAGAAAGAAAAAAAGAAGTAGAAGAAAAAAGATGAAATAGAAAAAAGAAATGCGTAGTGAAAAGAAGCAGAAAAAGAAGAAAGTAAGACATAAAGAAAATAGTTATATAAGAGCAATACAATAATGAAAAATATAATAAAACAGTCCGTAGTTTTTATAAGTTGTATATTTCACGTCCGACAATGAATACAAAAACCGGCAGCTGTATCTATAGTTCTTAGTGAATATAACATTTGATATGCCTTGTAGGTTTTTTTATATTGAATCCAATATAGACAGAAAACTAATATTTTGAAGCATTTTTTTAAATAAACAGAGATTGGATGGACTTACATGATTCCCGGCTTGCATTTCACTAGCTGCAAATGTACTTCCGGTTCCAGATTTCACGACTATTTCTTCTCTAGAGGAGATCGGAGTGTCAAAAAGCGGCAGAGAAAAACGTGCAGAAGCGCCCTCTGGATTTTGTAGCACGCGGCATGTGATTACGTCACTGGATAAATCCTCTTCTTCAAGAAGAGGGATTTTGACTTTACTTGATTCAAGATTTTGACGTTTTATTAGAATAACTAAATTATTTTTAACTAAAGAGGGTTGTATGGTGACTCCAACATTATCAAACTGTGCAGTAGAATCTAAAACTTCTTTTATGTCTAGTCTGAAAAAAGAAAACATGACACGGTGACTGCAGCGTTCTAAAAAGGAATAATAAGGTCATATTCAAAATACATGATGCCAGAAGCAAGCCCTTGTTTCTTTGGACTAGAAGCTTTACCCTCGTGGCTCTGTACTGGCTAGTTCGGATTCAAGCGTATGTTTGTAAGGTTATAGCTTTCTACACAAATGAACTAGAACAAATAATGTTTGAACTAAAACATGATGTTTTGATTGAAAAATTAACACTAACCCTTTAAGCTTTGTACCCATGGCCATGCTCTGTGTTGAAATTGAGATTACTATTATTTATATCAAAACTCAAGAAAATCATTCAGAAAAAATCAACTGATGATAATTTGTAGCTGGTACTTTCATGTTCATTTAAATTGTTTGTTTGTTTCATTTTACGCCTTTTCCCAACAGTATTTCAGTCATATAGGCGGGTAGTTTCCTAACCATCGTTCCTGGAGAGTTACACCAGTACTAGACTACCTTCCTCCGTGCTAAACTACCAAAGCATCTCCCGGGGGATCGAACCCACGCCAGAGAGGAAACTGTATTAGGAGTCATCGACTCTAACTCTAACCCCTCGACCACGGAGGCGGTTCTGTTCATTTAAAATCTTTTCATAATGTCGATCAGTCTTACCTTTTATTAGCTACACATTCTTCAATCTTTTCAAATTCTTCACGTTGAAAAATATTCTCCTTACAAAGGTCACACGCAAAACGGCCGTCCTGAAATTTACAATAATTATGACGGATAGCTACAGCTAATTTTAAGACTTTTAGTTCTGATTTTAAGACTTGAAATGCTAATTTTAAGACATTTCGTATTGATTTTAAGGCTTTGATTAAGTACTGATTTTAAGACTTGCAATGCTAATTTTAAGACATTTAGACTTTAATACTGATTTTAAGACTCGAAATGCTAATTTTAAGACATTTAGTACTGATTTAAAGATATTTGATTCTGATTTTAAGTGCTGACTTAGATCTCAGTCAGGACGTTTGCATAGCACAGATGCCCCATTCCAATAAACGTATCTCCAGATATTTTTGTCCGATTGCGACTTTCAAACTAAATCACATTCATTTCTTTTTTATTTATTCGCAATTATTATCTGCTCCTCTGGGCAAATTCTGATCAAAATCGTGTCCTGTTCCGACAGAGAATATCTATATACCCAATGAGTGAATGTGGCATTCTTTCAAGTTATAAACCCATTCTATAATGCAAAAATTAACATTAGAATCCAAGTGGCAATTAGAAAAGACAGCCATGTTGATTTTGAATGACGTCATACTCACATATTACGAAGTTTTAAGTCATACACAGATTACATAGTATTAGATTAGTACATGTTATTTTTTTATTTCAGTTACATATAAAAAGAAGAAAATCACCTTTTCCCGAAGATTTGTCTTTGCACCATTGTAAAGTAGAATCTCCGCAGCAGGCCTTTGTCCGCACAAGACTGCCTCGTGTAGCGCAGTACGGAATGTTCGCTAAAATCACAAAAATATACAGATAGCAAGTAGGAGATGGGGGAGTAAAAGCATTGTTTACGATAAAAATGTTGCATCATAGTTTGGGAGACCTTTCTGTTGAAAATGTGTCAAAGTTTAATCGTACACATATACATGCACAGTGTGTTAACATGAGTGCAGGTATTAGTTACCCGCACTCCAGAGCATGCACATTGATTGGCTCATTTTTTCTGGGGTTTACTTAATGTGACGACAGAGAAAGGGGTAACGATAAAAATATTACATTAGATGCTCGTTCATTTGTTACTTTTTTCTGGGGTTTCTTATTGTGACAATAGGGTTTTTATTTTTGCCTATGATACAAAAGAGAAAGAACACCAAAACTCTCGGCAATCTGATTTATACTGGGGGCTACGTCCCCTCGTACAAATCAGATAGCCTCGTGTTTCGATGCTCTTTCTTTTACTTAACTCAGGTATGAGATAGGTAGTTGGAGTTCTGTTTTGAATCGAGTAAAAAGATAGATAATAAAAGTACTGTTCAATAAATCGAGCCTTTCGGTTTAGAACGCGTGAACATGATGGAAGGAAAACTGAATTACACGATTCCACACGCACAGTGCATGTTTCGTTTATGGGTAACTGAAAAAGGTAAGATCAAGAGACTTGGCTATATATTTCATATACAAGTAAATTACTATTATTCAACTTTGCAAAATGTACTCATTTTAAAGGCGATAATGCTAGAAACTCAATAAGCGGTAGTCTGTTTCAGAAGTGGCTTACTGTCGTGATCCGGAGGTTAACAGACAAAAACCACCACTAACCACCAAGAAGTAATGAGTGTCAGCATACTATTTTAAACATCTTATTATGAGATGGTAAATACTAAACTTGTATGAATATAATTATAATTTTGCATTGAATAAAAAGAAACAGTAAAGTCGGATAAATAAATTTATGAGAATATTAAATGTACCTTGTATTGTATGTTAACGTCAGCGCCATGTTTTATAAGAAGATAAACAGAAAGGGCGTTCCCAATTCTGACGGCATTGTGCAAAACTGGAGCATCTGTCTGAAAAAACAACAAATGTAGAAATAAATATAGAACATCATCAACATCATCATCATCATCATCATCATCAGCATCATCATCATCATCATCATCATTATCAACAACAACAACAACAACAACATCATCATCAACAACAAGAACAACAACAACATCATCATCAACAACAACAACAAAAACAGCAGATATAGAAATAAAAGCAGCAGCAGCATCAACAACAAATAACAAATACAACATCAACAACAGAACAAATGCAACCAAAGTCTAGTCATATCTTGTACATGTTTAACTAAGGCCATTAAATAGACAACATATTTTCTGTTGTTGTTTTTCTTTAATTTGGAACAGAAAATATTAGAGAAATAGTTTTTTCTCTGCTCTGTAGCAGAGTAAATATTCAATCAATCACTCAAATAGCTGGCTATTCAAATCTTTATACGTGCAAATGTACCGTATTCATTAATAGTTCTGCAAGATGGTCGGTAACAATTATACAAAAAGGTATATGTCATGTATACAATTACACAATTTTGATAGTTTTACTATACTTACTTTGCAGTAATTTATCATGGATGGTTTCTTTTCCAGTAATAATTTCAGTATTTCACAATTAACTTTCCTTTGCTGCATATCAAAACAATAGTGAAGCACAGTGCGGTCATTCTGTAAACAAATATACAATATAAAAATGTAATATCTCGTAATTAATCTTGACAATGTAATATATTCATCATAACTTCGTGGAACTCCGGTAAAATTCGGTATTTTCCGTTCATTATTGATACTAGTTCAAGCATATTATATTTAAGCGAATACATGTAAAATATACACAAAAGTGGAATACATGTATATAACAAATAGAAAATGAGCTGGGCAACAATGTTCTTATAACAAGAGCTGTCGGTAGGACAGCACGCTCGACTATTCTTTAAGAAGTGCTTGATAGTAAAAGAGCCTTGATAATGTTAAATTTTTTAAGTTCACAAAAGGGCTATTTTTTTTTATAAATTCATGTTATAGGCCTTAGAGAGAGTCTAATTATACAGTATTGGCCTGACTATTCGGAAGGTAATGTCACGAGTGTGTTTTATTGAGTATAATAATACTAATTACCTATGAATACATAAATTTGACAGAAAAGGTACAAAGGCTTGTTTTTAAGATGTTTTATCAAGTAAGTAACTGCTTTATTATTATGAATGCATAAAATTGTCCCAAAAAAGGCACAAACCCTTCAGTAGTTATTGAGATAACAGCTTACAAGCAAAACTTTACCATGAATTTCTAAGTTGAAAAAGGGGAGAAAAATCAGCTTAAATGCAAATTAGAATTATGGATCTTTGTCAGTGGCCTACAATTATGACCCTAAATGCATATGTGAAGTTTTGAATAAATATCTTTAATAGTTATTGAGATATGTAAAACTTGCATGTAAACATTAACCAAGAGACTAAGTAGAAAAGGGGATATGAATCAGCCTTAATGCAAGATAGAGTTATGGAACTTGGTCAGTGACATACAATTATGACCCTCCAATTATGACCCTAAGTGCATGTGTAAAGTTTCAAGTAATTATATTTGAAGACCTTTAACCTTTAACCAAAATTTCTAAGTTTCAAAGGGGCAAATAATTCTGCAAATATTGCAGGCAGAGTTATGCAATTTTGCAAACTGATTTACAGTGTTACTATAAAAAAGTATTTTAAATTTCAATTGAATATCTCAAGCAATAATTGAGATATTTGATTTTACAAAAAACTTTAACCAAAATTTCTAAGTTAAAAAGGGGAATAATTCTGTCAATATTGTAGGCAGAGTTATCCAACTTGTCAATCTGATGTAGCTTGTCACTATAAATAAGTATTGTAAGTTTCAATTGAATATCTCAAGTAATAATTGAGATATTTGACTTTACAAAAAACTTTAACCAAAATTTCTAAGTTAAAAAGGGGAATAATTCTGTCAATATTGTAGGCAGAGTTATCCAACTTGTCAATCTGATGTAGCTTGTTACTATAAATAAGTATTGTAAGTTTCAATTGAATATCTCAAGTAATAATTGAGATATTTGACTTTACAAAAAAACTTTAACCAACGCAGACGCCGACGCGGACGCTGACGCCGACGCCGGGGCGACTACAATAGCTCTCATATTCTTCGAATAGTCGAGCTAAAAATGACAATTTTTATGGATATATGTGAGTGGCAATCTGTATGGATATATATGGGTGGCAATTTGTATGGATACATGTGGGCGACAATTTGTATGGATATATGTAGGTGACAATTTGTATGAATATAATATTATGAAGGTGACAATTTGTATGGATATATGCGGGTGACAACTTGTATGGATACTAGTATATGAAGGTGACAATTTGTATGGATATACCGGTATGTATGGATTTAAACTGTACTTACTTCATCTACAAACTGTAATTTTATATCTGGATTATTGTTCAAAATCTGCTGCACTTCATCGACGTCTGCATTCTTGACTGCTTGTAGAAGCTGTAAAATATGTGATGTAATCGAATGAAAAAAGAAAGAAAAAAGGGAGTAAAATACATTTGCTGGGCCTTTCTTTTGCGTTAGACTCTAAATAGTAATATTTTTCAATGTCTTCTGACATAACTTTTCTGTTCGCTTCTTTATCAAGTAATATTTCTTATTTCTTCTAGATTTCCATCTTTAAGAAGCACTAGGATAAAGCAACAATAACACAGTTGAACTGTGAAAATATGTGTCTTAAAAGTTTTAATCCAGTTAAAAAAAAAAAAATAAAAAAATAAACAAATAATTTAGCGTCAAGATTTTACCTGATATTGTATACCGGAAGTGACGACAGGTAGGATTTCCGGTCGACGGCCTTCATCAATCTTTGTCAGCTCTCGTCGGCTGTGTGAGGCGAGATTTGAGTAAACCCCAAAACTAGTCGTTTCACGCTTAAGCCCACCACCCTAAAAACAAATTAAGTTTGGAAAATATTTAATATGATGTTCTTCTCCTTGATATACGAACTGGCTTTCAATTTTTAAACATCCTCCAATAGCTCGTGCAAATTTGTGAGAAGCTGTCACTGCCTAATGCTATATTTATCAAAAAGCGGCGAGATGTTAAACAGCTCTTGGTCAGACACTGACGCTTGTTAAATCTTTAAATATTACGGAAAGTGACGAAATATGCCGACTTTTTACGATTATTGTAAAGATGAACGTAATCGAAGATATTTTGTTAAATAAATCACAAATTCATGAAATCTAAAATTTTATATTCTTTTGTAAACAGATGTCATATGATCCTAATGAATAACTCGAAGAGAATGATGCCTGAAGAAGTATTTTATTACATGCATTAAAACTGATAAACTAATAATTGGTTACCGGTAATTCTGGCGGAGAAAGCATTTCGCTAGAAAAGTGACTCTCTGAGTTCGGGAACCATAAAGGTTCACAAGGTGTTAAAAGCTGTTTTCTTTGAGCGAATATCTCATCTAAAGTTCCATCTATCACAAGCCGATCAATATCCACGTGTTCTAGCGATGTTGGTTTCGGTGCAGGTTCAAACTCTATTTTGATAAGGTCACCAGCACGTTTGCCATATGACGATGCATCTCGGTGGGTTGTCCTTCGTTGGAAGTGGGTTGGCGTTGACCGCGTGAGGCGGGAATATGGGCGAGGTTTTTCAGCAGCAAACGACCGTGGGTTGGAAACTCCAAGTACTGTATGTGGCCGAGAGGGTAATGACGAACTGAAACGTGATCCTGAAATAATGTTTGATAATAATGGTTTGACTTAAAATAATTTGGAACCCTTTTGTGTGTTTTAGAAGTTTTCGCAATTGTATACTTACAGAAAATATTTTTTGTTTTTTATGTATTCTGACACTATGGCCAACTATTTGAGACATGTCATATAAATTGTATTTGGATAAAAAATCCAATTCCCACCTAGATAATGATGAAAATGATAATAATGATGATAATAATAATAATAATAATAATAATAATAATAATAATAATAATAATAATAATGACAACAACAACAACGACGACAACAACAACGACAACGATAATAATAATAATACTGATAATAATAATAATAACGACAACAACAACAACGACGGCGACGACGACGACGACGACGACAACAACAACAACAACAACAACAACAACAACAACAACGACAACAACGATACTAATAATAATAATATTAATATAAAACATTAGGACTACTCTAGGTCTAAAAAGACGATCTTACCGTAGCCTAACTTTGGTTCACGTTTGGTAGCCTCCTCCTCGGTTTTAATTCCTTTCCTCACTACAAGATGCAGTCTCCGGTACGACTCCCTAAGTTTCAAATTTTCTATAAGGACTGAAAGATATCCAAATGTCGGTGTGTTCACTGCGGGTTTAATCCTTTCTTGTCGCCGCTTAGATCTAAACATTTGGAGGTAATGATTTATTTATTAATTTATTGAAATAAGGCCAAACGTTTCGATCAAATTTTGATACTCAATTGATCTTTTTCCAGATTTCCTTGTAAGATAACGAACAATAGTGTTATCGTAGTGTTAGTGTGTATTATTTATAAACTTAAATATTACAAAGAATAACCCGTGATATCACAGTTAATAAGCCAACTGTTTCGTCAATGATTTTATCCTAGAAGTTTTAAAAAAAAACACCCAAAAAACACAATAAAAACCCCAACCAAACAAAAACCGTTGTTCATGTATACAGATTAATAATTTTATTTTAAATAAGTAAAAACTCATTAAGTTCTAAATTTCCCTATATAATCTCATATGTCCGTAATTGAATTCCAACGTTAACAAACGTACACAATAAAATGTTAAAACAAAATCTGGGGCCCTTTTCATTTTATACATACCCTTCCAATAATATTCCAAAGTAAAATCAAAACAAATTTGACTTAAATTTCAGCATGAATAAATCATACAATTTTACAACTGATTTGAGACTATCTTTAAATCTTTAAGAAAAAAGATCTTTATAAAAGAAAATATTCACTTTACAATTAATTACTAATTAAACTTATATCAAATCTGTCCGTTTGGTACGCGATAAAATGCATTTACTTGTGCAGTGGAATAATTTTTTAAGCTTGACCTAATGTATTGTTCAAAACCATACTATTGTGACAGTCATACAGCATGACGTCATTCAATAGTCCTCGAGATATTCCGATAATTTCATGATTTAGGAAGTGTGACAAGGTTAATCATTTGGTACCCATTAGGTTAATCATTTGGTACCCAAATCACATCTATTTATATATTTTTCATGTCTACACTCTTTAGTATACTTAAGATTTTCAAATGCCCCTGTTTACGTCATATCAAAGTCCTCTCATATAAAGCAAATACTTTATGTCAACTAACAATGACTACCAAAATAATAACCATTTAATGAGTGCATTTTATAAATAGGTCAATAAAGTTATGAATCAGATCCATACAAATGGTCAAATGATCAAATTTGCAGTTATACATGCAAAATTATCAGGTAAATAAATCTTAAAGATCAATCAAACGAACACTCGCACGGACGAACGAAACATATGAACATACGATCGTATTAATGAACCAACGAACATACATACGAATGAAATGAACATAAAAATGAAAGAACAAAAAATAGGTTAATGATCACAAAAAATCCCCCAAAAAAACCACTAGCTAGCTGTATGAATTACACCTTACTAATTCTTACATTAAGTGCAGAAAAATATCCAAAAGTGGCAGTAACGCATTCAGAGTATACAAACAAAGTAAAATAAATATTTCACTCAATCCATAGTATGCACACTTTGCCTTCCTCTTCGCCTCAGATCTGTTTAAAGTCATGTTTAATGACTTAATTCATTATATACTTCAAATAAGATGACTTTTTTCATCAATGAATAAGAAATATATACATTGCAAGCATTCCGTTTATCTTATAAATGCATTTATAAACCTAAAAAAAAACACAAATAAAATACCCATTTTAGTCAGTATAAAGCAATGTATATCTTGCATGATCTCTTTTTTTTCTAAAGAAATATAAGTATATAAAAAAATTATATAATTATACAGCCCACCATTTGTACACTATTTCAAGGTTACACGCTATTTATTGAAATATACATATCTGTTATTTTTATATATACAACTTACTGCAAGTATGCAAATTAAATGAAACTATCCGCATGGAAAATGAGACATGTATATAACTTTTCCAATTGCATATCCTTATATATTTTAGGTTTATTTAAAAGAGCAATTGCAAAACAAATAAACGAAAAGCAACGATTATAACCAAAACACACTGTTTACATATATAAAAGTCGAGAGAGGTATCTAGATTTTAATCCATTTTTTGTTTTCAATGTCAATATGTACTTAAAACAAATATCAGTCAATTGTTAGAAGGGTCAATACCGCACTTATAAATATGCGGTGAAAGTTGATGAGAGGAAATCATTTAAGTCAATATTGTTCCGACAAAATGTCACAACCTGGTCTGTAATAAAATAAATTTTGCTTTATCTTCCAGCAATGCAACTGTAGGCTCAATAGATAGAGCGTTGGACTTTGACTAGGCCGACCCGGCCCAATTCCCGGACGGCGCATGTCACTTTCGTTGTGATTGATCGTCACATTCTTTCTACTGTCTTACGCACTGTATCTCTGCTCTAGCATGTACAGAACTTATCAGTTCCTTGCGAAAGTGAAAGCATCTTCAAGTACTGGTAAACGGCATGACAGCCTGCCCAGGAACGATGCGGTGGCTGAAATGTGCTATGGTAAAATTCAGTGTGGCTCCCTGTCGTGATCCGAATTTCAACATTTAGCTCACACTATATATCTTAAATCGCCGTCGAGTTTTAAATTGCTTTATTATCATTATTTTTATTTTAAGATTTGTTTTTTTTTTGTCCGGAGATGTGCACTGTATAAACTCTGTCATGGAAGCCTGTGCACCGGGAAGACACTTAGACATGATCTAACGAATAACGCTTCATATATCTAGCTATTTTCTTAATTTAAAAGTAAGTTAATCAGTATAGAATGGATGTGAATTTCTCTGGTCCTCCCTGGCCGAATAATAAATGACGCTAAACTTCACACCACATTCTTTTTTCCTTTCTCACCTGAGAACTGCCTCTTTTTAAATCCCACCTGGGAACATTCTCTTTTCCATTCTTACCCGAGAACATTCCCCTTTCACATTCTCACCTGAGAACAATCTCTTTCCATTCCCACATGAGAACGGTCTCTTTTGTATTCCCAAATGAGAACATTCTTTTTTTCCATTCAAACCTGAGAACATTTTCTTATCTATTCCCTTCCAGGAACATTATCTTTTCGACTCCAACTGAGAACATTATCTTTTCCATTCCGACCTGAGAACAGTCTCTTTTTCCTTTCCCACCTGAGAACAGTTTTTCTTTCATTCCCAACTGAGAGCATTCTCTTTTCCATTCCCAACCGGGAACATTATTTCTCTTTTCCATTCCCAACTGAGAACATTCTCTTTTCCATTCCCACCTGAGAACATTTTCTTTTCTATTCCCAACTTGGAACATTATTTCTCTTTTTCATTCCCAACTGAGAACATTCTCTTTTTTATTCCCACCTGAGAACAATTTCTTTTTTCAACATTCTCTTTTCTTTATCTGAGAACTTTCTCTTTTCCATTCTCACATGAGAACATTCTCTTGACAATTCCAATCTAGGAACATTTTTTCCATCCCTACCTGAGAACAATCTCTTTTTCATCCCCCAGAGAAAATTCTCTTTTCCATTTCCACCTGAGAAAATACTATTCCCATCTGAGAACTTTTTTCCATTCCCACGTGGACATTTTCTTTTCCATTACAACCTGAGAAAATTCCCTTTTCAATTCTCACCTGAAAGCAGTTTTTTTTTCCATTTCCACCTGAGAACATTCTCTTTTCCACCCCCCCGAGAACATTATGTTCCCATCTGAGAACACTCTTTTCCGTTCCAACCTAAGACAATTCCCGTTTCCATTTTCACCTGATGACAGTCTCTTTCCATTCCCACATGAGAACAGTATTTTTCCCTTCCACATGAGAATAGTCTTTTTTCCATTCCCGCCCGAGAACATTCTCTTTTCCATTCCGACCCCGAGAGCATTCTCTTTTCCACCCCCACCCCCAGAAAACATTCTCTTTCACATTCCCATCTGAGAACATTCTCTTTTCCATTCTCACCTGAGCATCTGAATGATTACGGTATTTTGTGAGGAGTTTCAGCCAGAGCTTGAAACAATGCAACAAAGCTGGGACCAGAACATATGATCGGCCCAAAGATAGATTTTAATTTTAATAGCGACGTCTTTCAACACTAACCAATACTTTAATGTCAAAACATTGTACAGTTAGTTATGATAAAAGCTTACACTTCAAAACGATACAAAAAAATTGTTTTATTATACTGAAGTAAAATTATGTTTTCCTATACTTATACAGACAATCTCAAACGTTTACACTAAAACATTTTCTATGTATATGCATTTTAAATGGACTTTAATAAGCCGATTATCTGCTTCAGTACGTAGGTAGTAAAGCGGCGGTCGTTACGGTTAAACGGTGCTGATATACATTTTCATATCAGATATACTAGTACATACTTTTCAGTTACCCTTACATTTTAATCAGGACAGTCCCAGTTTAAAACGATTACGGGTGAAGAAATGGCGGCGAAAGACATGTTTTTCTTCTGGGGATCAGGCTCGCCACCATGCTGGAAGGCTATGCTAGTTTTGGCAGAGAAAGGACTTTGGGATGAATGCCCGAAAAAAATGCTGAAATTCTCCGAGAAGGAGCATAAAGGTAGCGACGTAATGGCGTTAAATCCGCGAGGACAGGTAAATCATTTTTAATAGTTATTACATGCATGTATATTGGTTCATAAAATAGAACAACGATACTATATGCACACGTATACTGACTTTTTTACAATGAGAATTCAAAATGATATATAGTCGTTAGGTATTTTAAGTCTTAATTTTTTAACGTACAAACCAAAGTATTGTAAGGCATCTTGAGATCGTGAACGATTCGATCGTTCATGTACTAGTACATGTATATAATTATATACTCTGGATGATATAAAATTATCTTGTATTAAAAGTAGGTCTTGATGCATATTATCAATGATTAAGATGATTATTAATGGTAAAGATTTTTTACATGTTATGTGACCCAGTATTGACGGCTTTTTATATTTCCCACCGGTTGTCTCGCTGTGTGTTTGTGGGTGGGAGAAGGGGGGGGGGGGTGAGTAGCGGCGGCAGGGCAGAGGGAGAGGAAAACGTAGAAAGAATCTCTAGTTTATATAATGCAGCCATAAAATTGCTTGGGTGAGGGGGTGGGGGGGGGGGAGTCAGAGGGAGGGTACAACGGGGAGAAAGTCTCTTGTATATCTCATGCGGCCATAATTGCTTTAAATATTAAAATTGAAAATATTTCTTAAATCTTCAACAGCCATGTATATAAATACTATCAACGTGATGATAATCCAATAGAAATTGATCGTTACAAACATGCAATATTTACAGTCATTTTAGTTATTCAAAAATGACAAAGAAACAGTTTAAGAACCATCATTCAAGTTCATCGATATAAAAATATTGTTTTCTTATTCAAGTTACAAAATATAATATTATTGAAAGTTTACTCTGTATTGTTTTCAGCTCCCAACCTTTAAAGATGGCGACGTAACAGTTAATGAGTCGGGTGCGATTTGTATGTACTTGGAAGAAAAGTTCAATGACAGGAACAAACTTTTCCCAAGCGATGTAGGGAAAAGAGCCGAGGTGTACCAAAGGATGTTTGAAGTACATAATATAGTCAGCAACATCATGGAGACACTTGTGAGACCCCGGATGCAAAATAAAGGCGCACCATTAGACGAAGAAAAAACTAAAGGTTTGTATATATTAAATAATATTAACTTAACTACAGTCCACTACGGGACGAGACTTTGCATGGTTCCTCGTTATAACCGGGTCTCGTTATAACCGGATATTTAACTTTTTTAAAACTATATTCGTACTCATGCTTCATAATGGTAGATCATGGCGTATCTTAGTTGTCTGTCTGTCTGTCTGTTCTAGTTAAAATATTTATACACACATAGAAAGGCACTGTACTCATGTAAAATCAACCGTAAACACGTACAATGCACAAAACAAACGCATAGAAATGCTCTAAACAGACAAATAAGACACGAAACACACGTAGAAATCACTATACATAGGTAGAAGTCACTGCAGAAATGTCGAATGTACAGTACAAACAGGGAATTGAGCTTCAGAAACAAAGTATGCACAAGAAAAACATTAATGTCACTGCAGAAAGGCATTGTAAAACGTAGAAGACACTGTTCAAACGTAGACGTCACTGTGCAAACGCAGAGTCACTGCACTAACGTAGAAGTCACTGTGCAAACGTAGAGTCACTGTAGAAACGTATAAATCATTGTACAAACGAAGAAGATACTGTACAAACGTAGAAATCACTGTAGAAACGTAGAAATCACTGTAGAAACGTAGATTTCACTGTACAAACGAAAAAGGCACTGTACAGACGTAGAAGTCACTGTACTACCATCATAAGTCACTGTACAAACCTAAATAGGCACTGTATAAACGTAGAAGGAACTGTATGTATAGGTAAATAGAAAGACACTGTAGAAACATTTAACTGACTGTACACGTAGAAAGGCACTGTACATACACAGGTCTACGTAACTTTTCGGACAAACGTAGAAAGATACAGTACATCCGTAGAAGCCTTTGTACATAAACAGAAACCCCTATGAAAATATACCGTAACTTTCATCAAGTTTTACTGTTCTATCGCAGGATATTTGGTGAACAACAATATGTGCAAAAATTGTCATTAAAACTCCCTATTTTGTCGGTTATAAATACATGCCTGGATAATTTTGTTTCAGAAAATGTTGCCAAGGCCAAAGAGGAGTTGGACCGATGGAACAAGATGCTTGTCGGCAAGGAATTCTTGTGCGGCAACGAGTTTACAATGGGTGACGTTTTCTTTATCCCTTTTTTGGCAATCTTAAAAAGACTCGGTGCGACGTTATCAGGACATCCGGAGCTTAACAGGTACTATGACAGCATCTGTGGGAGGCCATCGGTTCAAGCCACCTGGCCACCGCATTGGAAAGAGGGTCCTGGTCCTGATTTACTTAATAAGGATTTGTAACTACATGTAGGAGATGTTTTCACCAATATGTCTTTGCATGAACCTAAAATGACTTTATTCCCTTTTTTTAATTTATAAAATTTACTTGCATACTTGCATACTTATTCGATATACATGAAATTCATTTAATTTTAAAATCTTTTTCATCATGCTGTTTATGATAATTGTTTTTTTTTCTTTAATATTTTAATATACTGAGGTATACATGTATATACAAGAATTATAGTTATATTTATTTTTCCCATTTGTATGAACAAAAATTGCATAATATGGTGTTGTATTATTAAAGGATATATCATTAATATGCCTTTTTTGTGTATATATTTTCGGACCCTTGTTTTAAAAGATATACTCAGCTCTTTTTTGAGTTAAATATTTATGTTGCAACTCTTTCAAATTATTACTGAATATGCCTTATTTAAATAAAAGCTTTACGAACATACAAACTATGTATTGGATTCTGCGTTCCTTATTACGGGTTAAGAAAAGCTGGTCCTTTCTTAAACAAACTGCCTGTTTCTAACTATATATTTATAGTATGTCCACTTATAGTATGTAGGATTTAAAACATAGTATATATTTTTTGTGTGAAGTCAAAACATGTTTATTTTATATTTACAAAAAGACTGTATATCAATTATCTTTTTTTTCAAATATCAAATTTGAGCATTCTACTACTACTACTACGACTACGACTACGACTACAACGACGACGACGACGACGACGGCTACGGCTACTACTACTACTACTACTTCTACTACTACTACTACTACTACTATTTCGACTTTTACTTCTACTACTACTGCTTTATTACTACTGCTACTGCTGCTGTTACTATTGCTGTCACTTCTTTTCTTACTAATACTGCTAACCTACCGCCCTACTGACTACTGTCGCTTCTACCATTATTGCTGCTTCCAAAGCTACTTCTCCTGTTGATACTACTAATGCTTAACTACTTTTTGAACCTCTACTATTTCTTCTGCAACTACTTCTTATACTACTGCTACTACTTCTACTTATGTTTCTTTTCCTGTTTGCTATTACTTCTGTTACTACTCCTTCTACTGCTTCTACTGCTTCTGCTGCTACTACCACTACTGTTACTGCTACTACCACTACTACTACTACTATTTCGACTTTTACTTCTACTACTACTGCTTTATTACTACTGCTACTGCTGCTGTTACTATTGCTGTCACTTCTTTTCTTACTAATACTGCTAACCTACCGCCCTACTGACTACTGTCGCTTCTACCATTATTGCTGCTTCCAAAGACTACTTCTCCTGTTGATATCACTACTTAATGCTTAACTACTTTTTGAAATATACTATTTCTTCTGCAATTTGAGCATTCTACTACTACTACTACGACTACGACTACGACTACAACGACGACGACGACGACGACGACGACGGCTACGGCTACTACTACTACTAGTTCTACTACTACTTCTACTACTATTTCGACTTTTACTTCTACTACTACTGCTTAATTACTACTGCTACTGCTGCTGTTACTACTGCTGTCACTTCTTTTCTTACTAATACTACTAACCTACCGCCCTACTGGCTACTTTTCTTACTATCGCTTCTACCATTATTGCTGCTTCCAAAGCTACTTCTCCTGCTGATTATACTAATGCTTTACAATGTTTTGAACCTCTACTATTTCTTCTGCAACTACTTCTTATACTACTGCTACTACTACTTATGTTGCCTTTCCTATTACTACTCCTTTTACTGTGACTACATTTTTACTGCTACTGTTACTAATTCTTCTATTTATACTGATACTGCTATTTATACTGCTGCTGCTGCTACTGCTACTTCTACTACTTCTACCACTACTACTTCTACTACTACTACTACCATTACTACCACTACTACCACCACCACTACCACTACAATTACCACTACGACTACTACTACTACTACTACTACTTCTACTACTGCTGCTACCGATACTGCAACCATAACTACCACAACCGCTACATTCAATGTTTTAATCGATTATAAAAACGACGTCATTTCCTCAACGTCACCCATTACTATCTACAATGTACTCAATATCGCAAGATCTAGACGCGACTCATTTAATAATCTTTACAACAAAATCAGAAACGTCTTGTTAAGGTGTAGAAAATAATCTTTCACGCTTATCAGTCGCTGTATACAGAGTAATAACTAAATACTATACAGGTTAAAATGACATGTAATACAACACTAGTATCTAAAGCCATGTCATTGGTTTTCTATTCTTAAAATGACTTGAAAAACAAAGTTTGATACACATTCCACTGTGTCTTGTGTAATTTAGCTTAAAGTTATTATTTTGACAGCCGGGTGTGATTACATAGTAATCTCATACCGTTGAAGTTAATGTCGTGTACACGTATCAAATTTATACAAGACAATAAATTTGAACAAAATTTGTAAACGATAGACCCTGATAAAACTAGGATAAGTAATTAATAGTCTAGTATGGTCGATCAAAATTGGTTCCTAGCGGTGCAAGTCCGGCTCCTAGCAGAACAAGTCCGGTTCCTAACAGTACAAGTCCGGTCCCTAGCAGAACAAGTCCGGCTCCTAACAGAACAAGCTCGACTCCTAACAGAACAAGTCCGATTTCTAAAACTACAAGTCCGGCTCCTAGCAGAACAAGTTCGACTCCAAACATAACAAGTCCGGCTCCTAGCTGAACAAGTCCGGCTCCTACCAAAACAAATTCGACTCCTAACAGAACAAGTCCGATTTCTAACACTACAATTTCGGCTCCTAGCAGAACAAGTCCGGTTCCTAACAGCACAAGTCCGACTCCTAGCAGAACAAGTCCGACTCCTAGCAGAACAAGTCCGGCTCCTAGCAAAACAAGTCCGGTTCCTAACAGTACAAGTCCGACTCCTAGCAGAACAAGTCCGACTCCTAGCAGAACAAGTCCGGCTCCTAGCAGAACAAGTCCGGTTCCTAGCAGAACAAGTCCGACTCCTAGCAGAACAAGTCCGACTCCTAGCAGAACAAGTCCGACTCCGACTCCTAGCAGAACAAGTCCAACTCCTAGCAGAACAAGTTCGACTACTAACAGAACATGTCCGGTTCCTAGCATAACAAGTCCGGCTTCTAACAAAACAAGTCTGGCTCCTAGCAAAACAAGTTCGACTCCTAACAGTAAAATTCCGACTCCTAACAGAACAAGTCTGGCTCGTTGCAGTTAATGTTTGGCTTCTAGCAGTACAAGTGCAGTTTCTAGCAATACATGTCCGTCTTATAGCATAACAATTAAAGTCCGGACACTATGCACTGTTATGTGTTTTTTGGGGAAAATATAGAAGTATAGAGTTTCGGTGAATACCTATAGTGAGCGAAAAAAAAAATTAATCAAAGAATGCAAATAGTTGAAAATAACAACAGCCTAACAGCTTACTATATTTAAGGTTTGTGACTTACAGTAAAAATATCATCCCGAGGAAAACTGTTACCCGAGACGTAAATCCCAAGGGTAACAGTATTTTTACTAGGGATGATATTTATGCTGTAACTCACAAAACTACGTTTTATTTATTTTATTGCCCCGAACAAATTCTTCATTGGAACACTCTTTCTATAGGTATATAAATAAACCTCTCAATGAAAAATGAAATAAAAGTATTTTACTATTGAAATTCAAATTAAGGGGGGATAATGCATTTGTTGCAACAAACTTGCTACGGGAGTGATCTAATGTTCTAATTCCCGGTTTCCAAGTAGTGTGTTAAATGGCGTCTGGTAAAATGATTTTATATTGGGGGTCAGGATCCGCCCCCTGTTGGAGGCCTATGCTAGTTCTCGCGGAGAAAGGACTTTCTGACAAATGTTCGTTCAAAATGCTGGAATTTTCCAAGGGTCAACATAAAGGGACAGATATATTGGCAATTAACCCACGTGGTCAGGTAGATATTACTTTATTTATCATTTATATACATGTCATAAATTAGGACAGTAGTAAAAATCTAGAACACTGAGCTGAACAAATGCATACAGTCAATGGTGACTTTATATGGAACACTTAATTCGTAACTCTAAAAATACAAAAAAGCGTGTATCAAGAGCAAAACGAGAAATTGAAATTGAATGTATTTATTCCTTTTTATATGGAAAAATAAACAGCTAGAGTACGATATTTTTTTTTAAATTTGCATGTACGGTCACGTCACAGATTTGGTATTTAAAACTTTTAAAAAATCGGACGTATTCAGTACTTGAAATGTTTATCTATATTTTAAGTGTATTAAATTAGGACGAGTTATGATATTCAGGAGAGTAAGACAACTCGCACTACCTTCGTTTTGAAGAGTATGAGCTAGAGTATTTGTTCTTGCATTATCGCATCTTCTCACCTCGACACATGCAACAATTTTTATTTACATGTTTTTATTTCAATATGAGGTAGAAAGCCTTTTATTGTTAGGTCCCTATTCTTTATTGCTTTCATACTCTAATGTGTACGTTTAGTTACTAACACCAGTATCAACAATAAAAATAGCAAGTACAATATCCAAAACAACAGTTGTTGTAACTGACACGTTTATTTTGTTTTGTAAGACTGAAATTATACCTTCAATATCCAACAACAAAAAAAAACACACCAAAAAAAAAACCCTACAAAAACAACAAAAACAAAACAAACAATCAAGAACAAAAAACAACAACAAAAAACAACAAAAATACAACTGGGATATGTTAAATGCGAAAATGTTGTTATTTCCATTGTTTTGCATATGTGCGTGTTTTGCTTTAGAGAAAGGGGAAATATGTTAAATACATTATTGTTCCGAAAAAAAATGGAGGTAGTGCACAACAAAAACAATCCGGCGACGTCAAGGTTTTTTTTAAAAAATCATTATTTTGTCTCCGAAATTTTGTAGCCGTTTATTGCATGTAAGGTCAACTTTATCATACATGTTAGGTACTGTATCTTACTTATACACAATCATACTTTTTGCTTTATATATTGATTGTACCTGGATTGATATTAAATGTGTAAATAAACTTTTATTTCGTGTTAATGTAAAAGTAATATGTGATCTTGTGTTTCGTTTCGACAAGATCAAGATTTTATTATAGTCAAGAATCCCTCACTTATTTTTGATGAAATATCTTTGAGAGTTAAGTATACAGTATAGGTGCAGTTGAGAGTACTCATAGTAGATATTTTTTCACGAAATGGGTTGAGTTGTTGTAGCGCCGATATATGTCCAAACGTCGAAAAATGTCCAAACGACGATAAATGTCCAAAAATTGACGATAAATGTCTCAATCGCCGATAAATGTCCAAAACTCCTTTAACGATAAATGTCCAAAAATTAACGAAAAATGTCGCAACAAATTAGGTGCTCATAAATGTCCATATCGGTTAACGATAAATGTCTCAACTTTTCATATGCTAATTTGTAACTTATTGTATTGGATACTGTAACAGTCTATCCAACTAACCCGTGATTTTACCCTCTGGTTTACCCCCCACGTAAAATGTATCATACATTATTGTGCATGGCCAGTTGCAGATCCGGATGGGGCGCGGGGGGGCATGTGCCTTCTTAACTCACCGAAGCAATACGTTTTAGCATTGTTGTGTTCTTCAATATTTGTGTGCCCCATATAGCGTTGCCATTGTCCGTCGAGTGTCTAAGTGTCTAAGAACTTTTCGCTTTCACGTGGGATTCTTTGCTAAATAAAGATTTTTTATAAACTATTTAAATTGTATTAGTATGTGTATTTTTTGCATTGTGTTAACTGGTTACTAAGGCAGTATCGCTATTATGAATACAGAGTTATGTAAGAGTTATGTGCCCCAGGGTGATATAAGAAATATTCCCCGGGGAATATATTCTAGGAGGGTGATATTCGATCAGAACACATTGTAGGCCTATGGGAGTTTTACATTGAAGGATATATTGAAGTAACGTAACGTTATAATAATATATAATTAACACATGACTGTCGGGGTGATAGAGGATATTGTCAACACGAGAACTGGTATATTACACCGAGGCGCAGCCGAGGGTAATATGCCAGTTCAAGGGTTGGCAATATCCTCTCTCACCCCGACAGCCATGTGTTATTTATTTTATTATACCGAAAAAAAACCCTTAGGTCAGCAGTCTTTGCCTGAAAGAAAATACAGATCATCACTTCACAATTATAGCTATTTTGATCTGTAAATGTTCGATATACACAAAAATAGTATATAGATAAAAACAAGAGACAGACAGACAGACAGACTATAGGAAATAAATAATATTATGCAAACTGGGTACTAAGGCATTTTCGCTTTATGAATGAGTTATGTAAGAGTTTTGTGCTCCAAGGTGATATAAGAAATATTCCCCGGGAAATATATTCAAGGAGGGTGATATTCGATCAGAACACATTGTAGCCCTATGGGAGTTTTACATTGAAGGATATATTGAGGTATAATAATATAAATGTTTAAATGACACCATCATATAGCAATTATAATGTTACTATTCGAATACTGTGTAATATTTATTTTAATCTGTTGACAAAAACTTTTAACATTTCTTCTCCATTCGACAAACGTTATTTTGAAATTATCACAACTTGTCAATGAATATTTTCATCTTTAAACTGTTTTTACACATATATTAATTGTTTACACTTGGTTATGTCTTGGTTGTAACTTCGGTAATGTACTGATGCCATTTCTTACGGTCTTCTGTACCATATATCTACAATCTCGTACCAACAAAGGGCATCAGTAGTACGAATTATGTAATTAGTGTATATTTTATTGAACAGATCACCTATAACAGTGATTTTACGGGTGATTTGCTATTCAAACCTTTCTCGGGTAAGTCGAGGAAGACTTTCAAATATGAATACAAATTCTACACTTGAGTTCACATTGACCAAGGCGTCCTCAATTCGTCCTTAAGGAAGCCTTTCCCGAGTTTGAGTGGAGGTTGAGTTCGAGTGACGACACTGAATATAGCTATAAGTGTAGAGTAGCGCAATGCAGATGTTAACAAGATATGTTTGTAAAACATGTATGCCACCCTAAACACAGCCAATTTAATATTATAACATTATATTTTTAAATGTGTATAAAAATGCATAGTAAATTTGTTATGGAATACATGTATATCATTACCATGGGGCAGAACCAATGTGACCCATGGGTCCATAAATTGAGTAAACCCTGTAGTTGTCAATGAGACAATGTTACACACAAAATATCTTCTAAAAACAAGCTTTTCATGGTGAGGTCACTGTGACCTTTACCTTTGACCTACTGACCCCAAAATCAATAGGGGTCATCTACTAGTCATGCCCAACCTCCACATCAAATATGAGGACCGTCAGCCAAAGCATTGTCTAGTTATTGAGCGGAAATGGCATGGTCTACGGACCGACGGACCGACCGACCGACATGGGCAAAGCAATATACCCCCACTTTCTTCGAAGGGGGCATAATAACTTATTTTATTTGACTTTTTATCGTTGGTACCGGTTGCCCATATGACCAACGTCCCCTGAAGATTGTTAGTATATTATTTTTTCGGGGGGATAGTGCATGATACAGAAGACGCCCCGTTCCAGAGGCGACCCTGGTTCTTTTAAGTGTCCGGTGTAAAAGCACCAGTACAATGCACCTCGGTTTAACTTATTTTTTCCCCCTTTTAATAGTAAGGGAGATAGACTGTATCCAACAATCAAATTATTTTCAAATACATTTTTTAAACTTTTTTAACAATCTCACAAGCATCCCGCTAGAGTCCCGGTGGTCGGTCGGGTGATCCAGGAACGACCGGGGTACGTCTGTAACTCTGTCGGCAACGTCCGGGATGATCAAGGGCTCTGCCGGGGCTCTACCGGTGATTGTCGGCACTCTATCTGACCGTACTGGGCCTCTGCCGGGATCATCCGGGACTCTGCCGACATCATCCGGGGCTGTGCTAGCATGGATCTCAGCTTTTATGATCTCTTTGGTCGAAGACTTAACAGCGTTTGAATATCGCGTTAGGTCATCCGTCGTCCACTTACTATCTGCATTATCCGTAGTTTCAACTGGACTCTGCATGGATGGCCCGGAGTTCATCCTGGTTGTTATAAGTATGGAAATTGGGTATCGCCGTAGTGCTACCGGGGTTATTGAGACTGCAACAATATTTTCATCCCGGATCGTCTGGGGTGGTCCTGGGCTTTGCCGGGATGCTGGTGAGAACGCTACTTAAATCGGTACTTTTAATCCCTATGGAAACCTTTATAACCGGCTGATGCATTACTGTTGATCATAGAAATAAGTGCAATTATCATATGGAAAGTTGAGACATTTATCGTTGACCGATTTGGACATTTATGAGCACCTAATTTGTTGCGACATTTTTCGTTAATTTTTGGACATTTATCGTTAAAGGAGTTTTGGACATTTATCGGCGATTGAGACATTTATCGTCAATTTTTGGACATTTATCGTCGTTTGGACATTTTTCGACGTTTGGACATATATCGGCGCTACAGTTGTTATGCTATATATTGCATGTATTTATCAGATGCATTTATAATTAAGCCTAACTGTGCTTATAGAATAGAGTTTCGGTTTTCATTTTGTTCGATGTGAAATTTCACATGGGTATAATGAATAATTTTTATGTTACATTTTCCTCGGATTTAACATTATATGCGGCCCAACATGATATAATTTCGATTGAAAGAAGCTTAGATATCTTGTTCTAAAAATATCTGAAAAAAAATCTCATTGTAAGATTAAATTTATACCTAAAAATTCGGTAAAAATTCGGTAAGAATTATCCGATGTCATAAACTAATTAGGAAGACATTTAATTATTTGTAAACCTTCTCCGTTGTTTAAATTGTTTTGTACATTTATGCTTTATACTGTCTTGCCATATATAATGCATTGTATATCCTCATGGGCTTTATAGTCTTATGGATTATTGAAAATAAACTTATCAAACTTTTTATTTAGCTTCCGACATTTAAAGATGGCGACGTCGTTGTGAATGAGTCGGATGCGATTTGCATGTACCTGGAAGAAAAGTACAGTGACAATTCCAACAGACTTTTACCACAGGATGTCAACGAGAGAGCCGAAGTTTACCAAAGGATGTTTGAAACTTCTAACATCATATCAAATATACATGGACCCATTGTAAGATACCGGTTAATAACGAAAACTGAAGATCTGGACCATGGATATTTAAAAGGTAAGGGGCACATGAATATTTAAAACGATTCGGAAGGCATAAGTAATAATAAGAGCATCGAAACCCCCGAGTATTAATCAGATTGCCGAGTGTTTTTATGTTCTTCCTCTTTTATATCATAGCCAAACATAAAAATACGATCCCTGTTGTCAAAATATGAAACCCCAGAAAAAAGTAACCAATGAACGAGCATCTGAATATGATATTTCTATCGCATTCCCTTTCTCTGACGACCCCAGCAAAAATAAATGAATCAATGGGCATGCTCTGGAGTGCGGGTAACAAATACCTGCACTCCAGTTAACAATCAGCAGAAAAACCCCCAAGGGAATTTTACATTTGATCCAAATATTGATCTTGAACATAAGATTGATCCTTATTTTGATCCATTTTTTTCTATTAATTTAAGGAACATGTATTGTTTTACCTCAACTTTATGTTTCTTGGCAGGTGTTCTTACATTTTGTTATGTATCATCTTTTTATCTTAGGATTATAATACGATTAGATCCTAATCCAGACTTTTTGTGAACTCGTGGCCAGGTTATGTTAAGAAAGAAAAAAACGCTTAGATATTATTGAAACTAGGAATCTGTTTTCAGAAAAGACAGTGAAGGCAAAAGAAGAATTAGACCGATGGAACACAATTCTCAAAGGAAAGGACTATTTGTGCGGGGGCAAGTTCACAATGGCTGACGTGTTTTTCTATCCATATTTAGCGTTATTTGTGAGGAGCGGGGCAAAATTATCTGACAAACCGGAACTGGAAAGGTACTACGAAACCGTCAGCAAGAGACCGTCGGTTCAAGCTACGTGGCCACCACATTGGAAAGAAGGGCCTGGTCCTGGAACTCTCAGCGATCTGTAGCTTTGACATGTTACCCTTACCAATATAATAATAATATTATAGTTGCCTTTTCACTGAACTGACTCAGTGCCATAATTATGCTTTCCTTCAGATTTTAACCATTAATCATCAAGTCCGTGAAACAATGTAGCTATTTATGTTATGTAATGTAATAATATTGTAATAATGTATTGTAAAAATGTAATGTAATGTAATTTTAAGTAATGCTATGTCGATAAACAGAGAAGCCATGGGTCTTTTACGATGCACTTCTCTTTTTTTTTTCTTTATTTCTTTCGATTTTACTGGAAAATAAAATCATTTTCTTATTCTGGTATTTCTTATTGCTGATGTTTTTATTTTGGGTATATCAGATTTTTTCCAGTGTAGTATTTTATGCAAGCTTAGATAGTGACAATTGAAAAAAGCAAACTGCTTCTATTTCCTTTCTTTCGCCTTATATTAATCGATCTCTGTCAGTAAAATCACAAAATATGTAGAAACATTTAAATATCATAGAATCACGTAAACACTTTTAACCTAAAGCCAAAAGTGGACTATGACCTTTATTTTATTGTTAAAACTTTTCAGTGACACCGCAGGCAGTCCATATATATGCAGCTTCGCGATTGTAGTGACGTCGCGTCATTTTAACGAAATGACGTCACAAGGTTCATTTTTTTTTCGTCACCGATCAGATGAGACATGTGAACATGCTGGTTATTACACGATGAAGAGCTAAATACTGCTAGCTAGTAGGTCTCGTATATGGCCGAAATTGATACAAAATGACAATACATGCGTGCATAATAATTAAGAATAGCGCGCCGAAGAAAATAATGTTAACTATTTTATATGATTATTTTAGGACACATGATTAAAAATTGAAAAAAAAAAATATAAAAAAAACAACAACAAGAAACAAATCAACAGCAACAACAACAAAACAAAGAAAGCAACGTACCCTTTAAAGTTAGAATCTTCTCCCCATGTTTGAAAAATGTAGTGTAAAAATACGGCATGTATTTTTTATCTTAGCAAATGATTTACAGTTAACCCTTATGTGCAAGAAAGTACACTTGAATAAGATTTATTAAATTCCGACCGAATTGAACAAAATGTATTTATATGACAAGTGGGTAGGGTGAGAGGCTGTATAAAATATCGAAAGACGAAAAAATCTATTCATAAAACACGCATATGTACAATTATATTTATAACTTGGTCCAAAAAGTCATAAGTGTAAATTATATTGTGAGTAGAGTTTACTTTGATGCGAGTAACGTGCAAGCTTTGTGAGTACAGTGTACGTTTTTGTGAGTGGTGTAGATGGGTTGTGAGTACATGTTGTTGTGACTGGGGTACATGAGTTGTGAGTACGTGTTGCTGTGAATGGGGTACATGTTGGTGTGAATGGGGTACATGTTGTTGTGAGTGGGGTACATGAGTTGTGAGTACGTGTTGGTATGAATGGGGTACATGTTGTGATACGTGTTGGTAGAGTGGGGTACATGAGTTGTGAGTACGTGTTGGTGCGATGGGGTGCAGTTGGTGTGAGTGGGGTACATGAGTTGTGAGTACGTGTTGGTGCGAATGGGGTACATGTTGGTGTGAGTGGGGTACATGAGTTGTGAGTACGTGTTGGTATGAGTGGGGTACATGAGTTGTGAGTACGTGTTGGTGCGAATGGGGTACATGTTAATGTGAGTGGGGTACATAAGTTGTGAGTACGTGTTGGTGTGAATGGGCTTGATGTTGCTGTGAGTAGGGTACATGAGTTGTGGGTACGTGTTGGTGTGAGTGGGCTACATGAGTAGTGAGTACGTGTTGCTCTGAATGGGGTACATGTTTGTGTGAGTGGGGTACATGGATTGTGAGAACGTGTTGGTATGAGTGGTGTACATGGGTTGATGTTGCTGTGAGTGGGGTACATGGGTTGTGAGTACGTGTTGCTGTGAGTGGGGTACATGGGTTGTGAGTACGTGTTGCTGTGAGTGGTGTAGATAGGTTGTGAGTACATGTTGGTGTGACTGGGGTACATGAGTTGTGAGTACATGTTGCTGTGAGCAGTGTACATGGGTTGTGATGTACGTGTTGCTGTGAGTGGGGTACATTGATTGTGAGAACGTGTTGGTATGAGTGGTGTACATGGATTGTGAGTACGTGTTGGTGTTAGTGGTGTACATTGGTTGTGAGAACATGGTGGTGTGAGTGGGGTATATGGGTTTTAAGTTCATGTTTTATGAGAAGAGTACTTGGTGTTGCAAGTAGAGTACATGTTGCTTGAGTAGAGGTTATGTTGTTGTAAGTAGTTTTTATTGGTCCGTAGGTAGAAATTAAGTTTATGGTTTGACTGCTTAAGTAACCTTATTTTGTTATTTGTAATAAAAATAATTAGTTTGACCGTGCGACCACATACACGCATCAAGGACTGTTGTTCGAAAAGTGACCGTGCGACCACATACACGCATCACGATTGTCCTCTTAAGGACAGACGACCAAAGAGTGTCGAACTTACTACCCAAGAATATTCTCAAGGGTAAAGCTGACACAGTCAACCTATCAATGCAGACTATACGCCCGTTTGATTTTATGTGGTTAACTGCCTAAAGTTTAGTATATAGGTGTTATATACCTATACTTTACTGACAGACTGTTGGGAAAAGCAACTTTATTCTTTTAAGTTTAGATGATGTCATTAAATTACAATTATAAAATGAAATTAATTTATCAAAAATGAAAATTAAAATCGGTCGTGGTTACTTTGTAAACACTATTTTTTACTGTACCCAACAGAATTGAAACGTTATTAAAACGTATTTCAATCTGAAAGGATTTGATTTAATGGTCTTATCCTTGCTCGAGGGTATATACGATGCTATTCTATACATATGATGTAAAAATAAGAGCAAATGAAAATGTTCTTTAAAGGCTCAGTATGCTTCAGAATTTTGCTACGTTTGAAACATTTACGTTTGGTATTTTGTTACAGTTGCTCCTAGCAGAACAAGTCCGGCTCCTAGCAGAACAAGTCCGGCTCCTAGCAAAACAAGTCCGACTCCTAGCAGTACAAGTCCGACTCCTAACAGAACAAGTTCGACTCCTAACAGAAAATTTCTGGCTGCTAGCAGAACAAGTCCGACTCCTAACAGAACAAGTCCGACTCCTAGCAATACAAGTCCGGCTCCTAGCAGAACAAGTCCGGCTCCTAACAGAACAAGTCTGGCTAATTACAGAACAAGTCCGGCTCCTAGCAGTACAAGTCCTACTCCTAACAGAACAAGTCCGGCTCCTAGCAATGCAAGTCCGACTTCTAACAGAACAAGTCAGGCTTCTAGCAGAACAAGTTCGACTCCTAACAGAAAATATCCGGCTGCTAGCAAAACAAGTCCGACTCCTAACAGAACAAGTCCGACTCCTACCAAAACAAGCCCGGCTCCTAGCAAAACAAGTCCGGCTCCTAGCAAAACAAGTACGACTCCTAGCAGAACAAGTCCGACTCCTTACAGAACAAGTCTGGCTCCTAGCAGTACAAGTCCTACTCCTAACAGAACAAGTCCGGCTCCTTGCAAAACAAGTCCGACTCCTAGCAGAACAAGTCTGGCTCCAAGCAGAACAAGTCCGGCTCCTAACAGAACAAGTCTGGCTCCTAGCAAAACAAGTTCGACTCCTAACAGAACAAGTCCGACTCCTAGCAGAACAAGTCCGACTCCTAACAGAACAAGTCTGGCTCCTAGCAAAACAAGTTCGACTCCTAACAGTAAAATTCCGGCTCCTAACAGAACAAGTCTGGCTCGTTACAGTTTAAGTTTGGCTTCTAGCAGTACAAGTGCAGTTTCTAGCAATACATGTCCGGCTTATAGCAGAACAAGTCCGGACAATAAGCACTGTTGTGTGTATTGGGGGAAACTATAGAAGTATGGAGTTTCGGTGAATACCTATAGTGAGCGAAAAAAAAATCAAAGAATGCAAATAGTTGAAAATAACAACAGCCTAACAGCTTACTTATATAAATGACACATTTGTTTGTGACTTACAGTAAAAATATCATCCCGAGGAAAACTGTTACCCGAGGCGTTAATCCCGAGGGTAACAGTATTTTACTAGGGATGATATTTTTGCTGTAACTCACAAAACTATGTATTATTTATTTTATTGCCCCGAACAAAATTAATGCTTCATTGGAACACTCTTTCTATAGGTATATCAATATACCTCTCAATGAAAAATGAAATAAAAAGTATTTTACTATTGAATTTCAATTCAAGGGGTGATAATGCATCGATTGCAACCAACTTGCTACAGGAGTGATAATGTTCTAATTCCCGGTTTCCAAGTAGCGTGTTAAATGGCGTCTGGTAAAATGATTTTATATTGGGGGTCAGGATCCGCCCCCTGTTGGAGGCCTATGCTAGTTCTCGCGGAGAAAGGACTTTCTGAAAAATGTACGAGCAAAAGGCTGGAGTTTTCCAAGGGTCAACATAAAGGGACGGATATATTGGCAATTAACCCACGTGGTCAGGTAGATATTACTTTATTTATCATTTACATGTCATAAATTAGGACAGTAGTAAAAATCTAGAACACTGAGTTTAACAAATGCATACAGTCAATGGCGACTTTATATGGAACACTTAATTCGTAACTCTAAAAATACAAAAAGCGTGTATCAAGAGCAAAACGAGAAATAGAAATTGAATGTATTTATTCCTTTTTATTTGGGGGGTTAACCCACTAGGAAAGGCGAAACATTAATAATTTAAGATACCAAAATAACAGCTAGAGTACGATAATTTTTTTTTAATTTACATGTACGGTCACGTCACTGATTTGGTATTTAAAACTTTTAAATAATCGGACGTATTCAGTACTTGAAATGTTTATCTATACTTCAAGTGTATTTAATTAGGACGAGTTACGATATTCCACAATATAGGCAAGGAGAGTGCGACAACTCGCACTAACCTTCGTTTTGAAGAGTATGAGAGTATTTGTTCTTGCATTATCGGACACATGCAACGATTTTTATTAACATGTTTTTATTTCAATGTGTCTCAACTCACTGAGAAAGAACGCCTTTTATTGTTAGGTCCATATCCTTTATTGCTTTGTAACACCGCACTTTGGGGTCCAACGCACTTTGGGATCCGACCCCAAAGTGCGTAACGCACTTTGGGGTCCAATTTTGATCCCTAAGTGTGTTAAACAGGTACATATCGTAACATATGCATTTTTTTTACATCAGACAAACGACCGCACTTTGGGGTCATAAAAATTCAATCAATAAAAATGAATTTCCATGATGTTTTAAATAATATATTGTATTCAAAGCCAATGGTTAACAAACTCAAGGTATTAATTAGACACAAAACATGTGCACTGAATTATAGTAAAATAAATGATCTTTATCAGTTAGTGAAGTATTTTGCTGTGCAACATCAATAAAAACTATAAGATGTACAAGCAAACCTAACTGTGTGAAGGCTAGTATTTCTTGAATTCATATAACTCAATACTAGATTTACAGGATAGGACATGTTCTAGTTGTACAGACCTCCCAGGATGACAGATGACATATTTCCCAATTATCCATTGATAATGTGTTTAATGAATGAAATTTCAGAACAATAAGGGCTGTAAACATAGTACATGTAGTAAGATGGGGTAAAAATAATGTTGAAAAACTCTTCAGGAGACCCAAAGTTGTGGTGTGTTCGAATCCCAAATTATTCAGATAATGATAGTGTCACAGTATTGAACTGTTCACTAATCAGGGGACGTAGTCAGTAGAGCCGCAGTACGGTATTCCGGGGGTTCCAGGTTCTAGTCTCGGTCAGGCTGCACATAAATCTCGCCCTGTGACAATTATAAACTTTAAAAAAAAAAAAATGAAGTGTTTCAATCAGTACTCACGGAGAAAAAAAAATTTTTAGTGAGTAAAGTATGTAAGGAATCAATTGGGAGGGAACTGTTTTTGAGGGAAACCTGATGATTCCTACAATGCAGAATAACCGTCTGAATGCAAGTGTTGTATCGCCATGAAAATTGTACATCATATCTCTAATTAGTGTTGTACAACTAAATCCTACCGTCTGTTGAGACCTTTACTCATTGGCCAATTACCTGAACCTGATATTTTCATCTGTTCCTTTTTGGCAATGAGTACAGTTATAGTGAATTAGTATTTTATATGGATGTCAAATACTTCAATGTTTACATTTTGCTACTTTTATGACAAATTATTTCACATTTATCGCTACTTTATTCAGGTAACAAGCATCTTACATTTCTCTGATACTATTATTTAAGCATTATAAAATTCATGTTTGCCCTTTCTAAAGAAGTATGTAAGATTTCCCATTAAAAAGCTTCTTGCGGACGATTGTTACGAATCTTACAAAAAACTAAAGTTTGTTGATAAGCTCAATAATGTATTTGTAAAAATCACTATTTAAAGTCCGATAAAAAACTTGATATTTCACCGGAACATTGTAATGGAGTATATTTATAGTACTTGGAAAAAAATATTAACTGCATTTTATTTCATCCCCATCATATTTAAAATTGGGCTTAATATGGCACCAACAGTAATCAAGTAAATGACTGACATAGGATATTTTTCACAGCATCTTTTAATTTTAGGAATACATTCACAATTTATGTACTAGAGTACTTTGTTATAATTATGGAAACAATTTTTAGATATTTCAAATGGTAAAATTAATGAAACTTTTATCACATAAGCATCAAACAATGTATCGACCGCCATCTTGAACTCCACCTCAAATAGTTCAATGTCGCAGATCGAAAATCAGTCAGTACTCAGTATTTAAGCAGAACTCAGTAGACACCTTCAGAACTCTGAAACCCAAAGTGCGTTGATATGTAGCATATTAATGCACTTTGGGGTCAAAATCTCGATTTTTAACCCCAAAGTGCTTTGGACCCTAAAGTGCTTTGGACCCCAAAGTGAGTTGGACCCCAAAGTGCGGTGTTACATTGCTTTCATACTCGTATGTGTACGTTTAGTTACTTACACCAGTATCAACAATAAAAATAGCAAGTATAATATCAAAAACAACATTTGTTTAGTTATGATGACAATGTACCTGACACGCTTATTCTGTTTTGTAAGAATGAAATTATACCAATATCCAACAAAAAACGAACAAACAAAAACAAAACAAACAAAAAACAAAACAAAAATAACAATAAAAAAATAAACAAAACAAACAATCAAGAACAACAAAACAAAATAACAACAAAAATACAACATCAACATATTAAGGGATATGTTTAATGCAAAAATGTTGTTATTTGCCTTTATTCATTTCCATTGTTTTGCATATGTGCGTGTTTTGCTTTAGAGGAAGGGGAAATGTGTTAAATACATGATTGTTTCGAAAAATGGAGGTAGAGCACAACAAAAACAATCAGGCGACATTTATGGTTTTTTTTTAAATTATAATTTTGTCTCCGAAATTTTATCCAGTTTACCACCATAAGCCCTTTATTGTATATGTACCGTTCATGTTTTTATTTAGCTTCCGACATTTAAAGATGGCGACGTCGTTGTGAATGAGTCGGGTGCGATTTGCATGTACCTGGAAGAAAAGTACAGTGACAATTCTAACAGACTTTTACCACAGGATGTCAACGAGAGAGCCGAAGTTTATCAAAGGATGTTTGAAACTTCTAACATCATATCAAATATACAAGAACCCATTGTAAGATACCGGTACAGAACGAAAGCTGAAGATCTGGACCATGGATATTTAAAAGGTAAAGGACACATGAATATTTGAAACGTTTCGGGGGGGCATAAGTAAGAAAGAGCATCGAAACACGAGGCTATCTGATTTGTACGAGGGTGCGTAGCCCCCGAGTATTAATCAGATTGCCGAGTATTTTGGTGTTCTATCTCTTTTGCATCATAGTCAAACATAAAAACACGATCCCTGTTGTCACAATATGAACCCAAGAAAAAAGTAACCAATGAACGAGCATCTGAATATTTCCCTTTCTCTGACGTCACAATAAGTATAAAACCCCAGCAAAAATGAGCCAATCGATATGCATGCTCTGGAGTGCGGGTACTCCAGTTAACACACTGTGCATATCTATGTATACGAATTAACTCTGACACATTTTCAACAGAAAGGTCCCCAAACTATGATTCAAGGGAATTTTACAGTTGATCAAAATATTGATCTTGAACATAAGATTGATCCTTATTTTGATCCGATTTTTCTAATTTATTTAATGTACATGTATTGTTTTACCTTAACTTTATGTTTCTTCTTGGCAGCGTATTTTAACATTTTATTATGTATCATCTTTTTCAACTTCCAGATTTTTTTTGTGAACTCGTGGCCAGGTTATTTTTAGAAAAAAAAAAACGCTTAAATATTATTGTAATAAGGAGTATATTTTCAGAAAAGACAGTGAAGGCAAAAGAAGAAATAGACCGATGGAATACAATTCTCAAAGGAAAGGACTATTTGTGCGGGAGCAAATTTACAATGGCTGACGTGTTTTTCTATCCATATTTAGCGTTATTTGTGAGGAGCGGGGCAAAACTAGCTGACCAACCGGAACTGAAAAGGTACTACGAAACCGTCAGCAAGAGGCCGTCGGTTCAAGCTACTTGGCCACCACATTGGAAAGAAGGGCCTGGCCCTGGAACTCTTAGCGATCTGTAACTTTGACATGTTACGATTACCAATATAATAATTATATTATAGTTGCCTTTTCACTGAACTGACTCAGTGCCATAATTATGCTTTTTTCCAGATTTTAACCATTAATCATTAATTCATGAAACAGTGTAGGTATTTATGTTATGTAATGTAATAATATTGTAATAATGTATTGTAAAAATGTAATGTAATGTAATTTTAAGTAATGTTATGTCGATAAACAGAGAAGCCATGGGTCTTTTACGATGCACTTCTTTTTTTTCTTTTTTATTTCTTTCGATTTTACTGGAAAATAAAATCATTTTCTTATTCTGGTATTTCTTATTGCTGATGTTTTATATTTTGGGTGAATTTGATTATAATCAACGTAGTATTTTATGCAAGCTTCGATAGTGGCAATAGACAAAAGCCATTTGCTTTTATTTCCTTACTTTCACCTTAAAGTGTATAAAGCTATATATCTGATGCAAAAATTATTGTTTGAATTTTAAAAAGAATACTTCCAAAATGCTTGTATGACATAAATATGATAATTTATTGCCTTAAAAGCGAATGGCGCATGCACAAAAATCTTTGCTAAACGGATAAAATCCTACTTAAAATAGCAAAATAATATTTTGTTCCGGAACATTTTATTCGGTTTACGTACATTATTCATGTGTATAAATGAAAGAGACATTTTTGGGGAATGGAACCAATATTACTTTACTGTTGATACATTTTTTTTTAAATAATTCATGAAATATAGATTTATACCCTTTAACCGTTCTCTATCAGTAAAATTACAAAATATGTAAAAACATTTAAATGTTATAGAAGCACGTAAACAATGTTGACCTAAAGCCAAAGTGGACTATGACCTTTATTTTATAGTTAAAACTTTGCAGTGAAACAGTCATGTAGTCGATATAGCGTCGCAAAGCTTCTAACGATTGTTGTGACGTCGCGTCATTTTAACGAAATGACGTCACAAGGTTTCCCCGATCAGATGAGACATATATGTATGATCATTGCTCATGTTTTTGTATATTATACGAACTGAGTGTTATTGTAAATAAATTGATATTGAATCATGCTGGTTATTACACAACGAAGAACCACATACTGTTAACTAGTAGGTCTCGTATATGGCCGAAATTGAAATAAAACATGTTATTGCATGCGTGCATAACAATTAAGAATACAGTAGCGCGCCGCAGAAAATAATGAACGCAAGATTAAAATTTTGAAAAAAAACAACAAAAAAACAACAAAAAAACAAAAACAAAGTATAACACAACAACAAAAACAAAGAAAACTACATACCCTTTAACGTTAGAATCTTCTCCCCATGTTTGAAAAATGTAGTGTAAAAATACGGCATGTATTTTTTATCTTAGCAAATGATTTACAGTTAACCCTTATGTGCAAGAAAGTACACTTGAATAAGATTTATTAAATTCCGACCGAATTGAACAAAATGTATTTATATGACAAGTGGGTAGGGTGAGAGGCTGTATAAAATATCGAAATTCATAAAACACGCAGTTGTACAATTATATTTATAACTTGGTCCAAAAAATCATCAGTGTAAATGATATTGTGAGTAGAGTTTACTTTGATGCAAGTAACGTGCAAGCTTTGTGAATACAGTGTACGTTTTTGTGAGTAGTGTAGATGGGTTGTGAGTACATGTTGTTGTGACTGGGGTACATGGGTTGTGAGAATGTGTTGTTGTGAGTAGTGTAGATGGTTTGTGAGTATGTGTTGGTGTAAGTGGGGTAGATGGGTTGTGAGTATGTGTTGTTGTGAATGGGGAACATGAGTTGTGAGTATGTGTTGGTGTGAGTGGTGTACATGGGTTGTGAGAATGTGTTGGTGTGAGTGGGGTAGATGGGTTGTGAGTATGTGTTGTTGTGACTGGGAAACATGAGTTGTGAGTATGAGTGGTGTACATGGGTTGTGAGTATGTGTTGGTGTAAGTGGGGTAGATGGGTTGTGAGTACATGTTGTTGTGACTGGGGAACATGAGTTGTGAGTATGTGTTGGTGTAGATGGTTTGTGAGTATGTGTTGGTGTAAGTGGGGTTTGGTGTAAGTGGGGTAGATGGGTTGTGAGTATGTGTTGGTGTGAGTGGTGAACATGGATTGTGAGTACATGTTGTTGTAAGTGGGGTACATTGGTTGTGAGAATATGGTGGTGTGAGTAGGGTATATGGGTTTTGAGTTCATGTTTTATGAGTAGAGTAGTTGGTGTTGCAAGTAGAGTACATGTTGCTTGAGTAGAGGTTATGTTGTTGTAAATAGTTTTCATTGGTCCGTAGGTAGAAATTAAGGTTATGGTTTGACTGCTTAAGTAACCTTATTTTGTTATTTATAATAAAAATAATTAGTTTGACCGTGCGACCACATACACGCATCAAGGACTGTTGTTCGAAAAGTGACCGTGCGACCACATACACGCATCACGATTGTCCTCTTAAGGACAGAGAACCAAAGAGTGTCGAACTTACTACCCAAGAATATCCTCAAGGGTTAAGCTGACACAGTCAACCTATCAATGCAGACTATACGCCTGTTTGATTTTATGTGGTTAACTGCCTAAAGTTTAGTATATAGGTGTTATATACCTATACTTTACTGACAGACTGTTGGGAAATGCAACTTTATTCTTTTAAGTTTAGATGATGTCATTAAATTACAATTATAAAATGAAATTAATTTATCAAAAATGAAAATTAAAATCGGTCGTGGTTACTTTGTAAACACTTTTTTTACCATACCCAACAGGATTGAAACGTTATTAAAACGTATTTCAATCTGAAAGGATTTGATTTCATGGTCTTATCCTTGCTCGAGGGTATATACGATGCTATTCTATACATATAATGTAAAAATAAGAGCAAATGAAAATGTTCTTTAAAGGCTCATTATGCCTCAGAATTTTGCTACGTTTGAAACATTTACGTTTGGTATTTTGTTACAGTTGCCAAAAATAAATACTCATTTGCCATATATAGGAACTACCTTTTTTCTTCTTTTGCTCCGTTCGCAATTGGCATATTTATATTGAATAAGTATTTTGTATGGAGGTCAAAATATTACTTTGTCTACATTTTGCTACCTTTACAACACATTACTGCACTTTTAGCGTTTCTTCCGTCGTATGCTCTGAATCCATTATTTAAACATTATAAAACACATGTTTGACATTTCAAAAAAAAAATGTCTTTCTGAGGCATAATGTGCCTTTAACCATTACACTGCTGAGTTTGTGAAATAGAGTTGTCTTGCATGACTTTTGATACAGATATGATTCGACTGAAAATATAAAAAATAAATAAATAAAAAAACTACATGTAATAGTAAAAAGTATTGTCAGACTGCTATTAAGAAATAAGTAACATGAGGTCTTTAATACTCATTTATTAATGAATTGAGAGCATGTTAAGGGCATATTACATGAAGAAAGAAACTTTGCATGTGATATAATCATGTATAATATATCATTAAAGTAGCAAAATGACAACAAAGTGGTATTTTACCTTCCATAGAAAATACTTATACTTCAACTTCAACTACAAAACTTTATTGCATTAAACAAATACATATTTATAGCAAGTGAAAAATATATAAACACAAACAACACAAGTACATGGATTTTTATCAGAAGAGTCTTACAAACATATGAATAAAATACAGATCACATTTGTTTGGATTAATTTCTTAAAGCTATAGCATGATATATAAATTTGCTTAAACCATTAATAATAGTTAACAATGTTTCAGACAATAAATTGATAAACTTTTGATTAGTCGGCCATGTGTAGTCATACCGTTTAAAATACTTTTTTCTCAAATCATGTGTAATTGTATCTTCAAACAATGGAGAAATTTCTTTTCTCTTCTCTTTCCGTTTGGAATCTTTATTTTGTTTATTTTTCTTCGCCGGCATAGAGAAATTACCTTTATAAAACTATATATCCAAAAAATATCTATAAATCTTTTTAAAATTGCATTTAATCACTATTTCTGCACGAGCTGTAAAATCCATGCCCTCATGTTGAGGGGAGATAACTCTAAAAAAATAACTCTATACACTGTGACTGCACTCGATGCCAAAATGCAATGACAGCAAAATATCACCAGTGAGTTACTGTCTTGAAATAAAAATAATATTATTTATTGGGCTTAATGGGCCTTTAAAGATTTGTTTCATATAACTAGCTACCTTGGGAGGTACTAGGAAAAATGCTTGGTCAATATATGAATGTTACAGACACATGTATACAATTGCAGAAAGTGACTATCTTGATTATTATTATTTTTTTTTTTTTTTTTGGGGGGGGGGGGGGGGTCTGGAGGGTGGAGTAACACTACCATCCCGTAACATAGGCGTGGTAATCCACCTAGGCTTACCTATTTAAAATATATGCTAATTATTTGTTAAGTGATGTATAGGTGAGCATTTAAGTGTTTACTTATGAACGCTGACCAATTTAATGATGTTTGAAATTATTCTAATAAACAGTTGCTCTACTATATTGAATAATTGTTAGCCGATTTACCAAAGTAAATGTGGCACTATTAACTTGAAAAACTACAATCTTATTGGACAAAAAATAATTTCAATCACTAAATTCTGTAATTGTTTAACACTTACCTATTTTGCAATTCCGATGTGAAGTTTTATCTTAGATATAGTTTCTGAGGATAAAACTTTTGAGTAAAAAGGACACAGGAAAGCCTATGTTTATATTTCATATTAAAGGAACTCCACTGAGGTCAAAAAGCCTAAAAACTTTAAATTTGATGTTCTAACATACATCAACTGAGTCACTTTAAACAGAAAAATAAGCAAAAGATGCTTAAGAAATACATGTAAACTAAAATGAATTGAAAAACACATTTTGGGCTTTTCTTAGCTTGATATTATGGAAATGCGTTGCAGCGTTTTCACCTTCCGGTCATTTTTGCAATAAGAATATTTTGTCTTCAATGTGAACGAATGATCTGAAATTTTCCACACAAGTCTTTGGTCTAGACCTACATCAACGGAAAATTAAAATCGAAAAATTATTTCCAGTCCCGTAATGTAAAAAAAAAACAGCAGTGGAGTGAGTCTCTTTAAGAGCGCTTTGCTATTTCATAAAGTTAAGCGAATGTCAGGCAATTATTTAGTTGTCAATTGATCAGTTGATGTTTGCAGTATATGCAGAAAATATAAATATTCTCAGACACATATTCAATTAATTTGAGGAAGCTATCCGGCTAGATCACGAAAGGTCGCGATAAGTCAGGCAGATATACCTTATCTATAAATCTTATAAAAAAAAGTCCCTCTTAAACCATTGTTAACTTTCTTAAATCGCAAAATTGCATGGGAATTTCATAATTTCATTTATAAAAAGGCATCTATACCCATTTTTGCCAAAAAAGTTTGCCTTTTCCGGAAAACTTAAACTAGTCCACGAGCTTAGCTAATTTCTACCTTTCTAGTTTTTAATAACTTACTGGGAGGTTGCCGATCAAGTTTAAACCGTCCGTCAAATCTTTTCTGCCCGCGGTAATAGGCAAAAAAAAGACTTTGATTTTTTCTAAGCTGACTCATCACTCATCACAGACATTTGCAATATGAAAATATTTTCATTCTTTTATTTCATATCTGTAATTTGTAAAGATAATAATTCTCTGAAAAATTCTTGATTTTTGTTTGTTATTTTTTCAAAATCACTACTCCGTGACGTCATACTGCCGCGGTAATCAGGTTTAGGCATACGTACGTTGGTAATAAATAGTTCTGGTATGAAAACCCTTCTATATAATAACTTTATCAATATTTTTTAAACAAAAAGCATAAATGAAAATTTATAGGTAAATGCTTTAATTAGGTGGCAAAAATTCTTTATTATTTTTGATAACAATTTTCCAATTACTACGCAGCGACCAACTGTTTATGACGGGTCATTAACTAGAACGTTGCAACACCGTAGTCTCAATATCATGCATGTTCTTTTGTTGTTATAAACCATCAATAGTCCTTAATATTTTTTAAAGACAAATAATGGTAAACTGTCGCTTACATCAGAGACATGGATCATGCTTGCGTGATAACTAAGGAAAACTAACTTATTAATACACCTTAGGAGGCTGTACGCGGAAAACGCTCATAAACCGCTATATCATATAGCTGTTAGTAAATATTTTGCATACATTTAACTAAAAATTCACTAATGGTGATGAACATATAGTTTGAAAACATTATATTCTTAAACCATGTATCGCCGAAAAAATAAAAAAACTATTTAACTACAAAATCCGTAAGGACCCTCCGACAAAATTTCACCACAAGATTACATTTGATATTAGCAAAAAAAAAAAAAAAAAAAAAAAAAACAAGCAATACTTATATTTTCATCTTACATAATTCATAATTCAAACTTTTAACATAAAAGTATCTTTTAAAAATATGTCTGGCAATTGACAGATCCCTACTCTGATCTTTTATTTGTAAAGGAATAAATTTAAACATGTGCTCTTTTGTTTAGGAATATTTTGTAGTGAAAGTCTTAATATATCCACTAATCTCATAATTAGAATTAGACAGGTCAGGGATTTATACAACCAGCAGTTTAGTTATCTACGCTCATTTCATTCCCAATGGAAACATTCAAATATTTGGGGTAAAAAACATGACCAAAGTACCTAGTAGTCGTTTACCCGGTGGTGATCCCATTAAACTGATTATAGTTTCGAATAGAAAACACAAATAGAAACATGTGTTTCGGTACAACAAAAATCGGAAGTAAAGTGAACAGTTAAATGACAGAAATATGTGGTCAAATATATATGTTTTAACAAGGAAATAATTATTTCAGAGAAAGACGCAAAGATCAGTCTTCAATCAAATGAATGATCCCGTATTGTGTAATTAGAAAGTTTATTCAATTCTAGGGCAACGAATCATAATTTGATAGTTCGTGTGTGATAAAATTTTCAACACAGATTATGAGATACATAAAAATATTAAAGAATAAGAAACTTTTAAAATAAAAAAACGCATATATATACGAATGACTTACAGTCGAGCATGGGAAATTCATCAACATACCTTACGAAATTTTAATTTGAAAATGATATTTGCGCGCGCTGAAGTGATTAATGTTTATTTGAATAAATCAAATAAAAAGAACTTATATGTTTGTGTTCTAAAAAGAATTGGCGGCATAAGACGAATTTCGTTTTCATTTTACAACACTTGAAAAATTACTACAGAGAATATGTTGTTGTTTTTATTGTTTTGTTTTCAACAAGAGTGTGTGTTTTAAGTTCATTCATTCTCGGCACCGGAATAACCATATGTCCGAGATTATAGCATCGGGGACGTCTTTTTCAAGCAGAATCTTCCTGGTAGCCCATTCTTCGTTCGTTAGTGGTAAAGGAGGCGACAGTACTGTCAAGGCATCAACTTCCTGACTGACGACAACAAAAACGGCATTCATTAGCGTCAAACCTCCAGAGTAAGTTACGACAGGTCAACCAATCACCTCTGGTACTTGAGATGACTTGACCTTGACCTGCCGTGTGCCTTCTCCGCGACGTGCATACCTCTGGAGGGATTTGGAGAAGTTTCAACAAAAACCTCCAAAACACGCTATTTATAACACCATTCATAGCACTGACGCTTCGATGTTCTCATCTATTTGCGGGAAATGGTCGACAAGGAAAACCCTACGTAATAACCGCACAGTCTGTTAACAACAGATTTTCCGCAGTATATATTTCATCTTTTCAAGCTAGTGAGGTTTCAAATCCATAAGTTGGTTGAGTGTTGGCGGTAAAAAAAGAAGATAAAAAAAGAAGATATAACTTCCTGATCAATTTTCACTTAGGTTGATTCAATTTTGAATAAGCTTTGCAGATATGTATTTTTTCAAGAAATATTTAGCTTTAATATTATCCGAAACCGTCAAAGTCAGCGACGAGTAATGAAATGGGAATAATTTTCTGAAACGTGATTTTATTCGAGATTTGCTTCGGGAGAAGACAACTTTCTGTCCGTAGAGCATGAATATTAATACTCATCACAAGACAGTGTCTTACTGATCTCAATTATGGTACATGTAAATATGTATTATTTTTATGTTCAATTAAAAAGTTGCTTAACTTGCAGTTGTTATTATCATTCAATGATATTAAAATGGCATAAAGTATTTATGAATTTATGATGAACAGTCCTAGAATATTTTGATAAGGAACCGTCAGTTGTAAAATGGTATTATATGATCTTATAATGAACAGTCGTCATACCTGCTGGTATGTCATTTATAAATGGTTTTTAGGTTTTTCAAAATTTGCATGATTAACAATCCGAATGTAGACCTCAATGAAATGTTCTGGAATATTAACAAAATGAATAGTCAACCATATTAACCATTTATATGAATGGCTGAACGATAAATGGCGCAATGTGCATATCTTCTTTTTTAACAGCACATTTTAAGCAAAAAGAAAAGAAACTATAAGTCTGAAACATTCTGTCATAGCCTCCCCATCAGTACATTCAGTGCTTTGATTTTTTCTATTGCATTTCCTTAGTGTAATAATTATTCTAGTATTGAATAGGATACTTTCTCACTTTATTCTACATTTACAGGTATTAAAACTGAACTTTATGAATTGACTACATTTTTGCTGTTAAAAAAACTTACACATTACATTATGACAACTGTAAACGTAGATGGATTTTAAATTGTTAAATTTGTCTGTGTTAAACTTAGAATAAACAACGATATTTAACCTGTTTAATAATCAAAACAAATTTATGATGAAAATAGCAAGAAACAAACACGCTTTTCTCAAGTTTAATTTCCCCCAAAGATTTATATCAATCATCTGTAGGTACGCCGCTTTAAACATCTTATTCACATTTCAATTATGTAACCGATACGCTTCACTACTACATTTTTCCCGCCATATTCATTTCTAACGCAAGGCTATTCACTGTTCGCATCGCTGCAAGAACACACACACGAAAATGTCGAATAAACAAATGCACTTGTGGTGGGGCTCTGGTTCAGCACCATGTTGGAAACCAATGCTTGTGTTAGCGGAGAAGGGGCTCTGGGAGGGATTACCAAATACAAAGATAGAGTTCTCGAAGAAGGAGCATAAACAGGGTGACGTTTTGAAGTATAATCCACGAGGCCAGGTCAGTAAATCATTTATAAAAGGTTACAAAATAGAACACGTAAAAGAAAATAAATGCATTTATTTTAGGTTACTTTTTTTTGTGAATTTTAACTGAGTAAGTGATGAATTTCGGTTAGTTTTGAATTAATGCATAAACCGCCGTTATAAATCGAATGTTACAAATTAATGACATTTACAGTATATTGATTTTAAGTAGCTTCGAACAAGCATACTGCGTAGCTTATATGTTACACGGGCGTATTTGGTCATGATTGTATTTTCGCGGTAGCAGATGAATTTAATGTGGGCTCATTTTTTATTTCTATTTTTTTGTTTATAATTTATGTATTACTTATATCCCCAAGAATATTTGAATCTGTTTGCAAGTATATAAATCTTCATAAATTTCATGCAGGGACAGAGTTGGGTGTTGTGGTGTTGTACTTGCAGTTATGAACATATACATGTATATACTCATTAAATTAATTTTAGAAATGAGCCAGCATGACATCTATTCTATACAAACATGTATGATTATTAATAATCAAATGGTCAAAATACATGAAATATACAATATCATTGTCCATTAATTGATATGTTAGTCAATATAGTCCAGATCTCTATGAATTCTAGAGACGAGGTAAACTATAATATATGTAATTGTAAGTCAGCACAAATCTTAACAAACGCAAACCTACTTAAGTGGTTAAAATTATGTTTTGACTATTTACATAATAACGTTAGCGAATATGATACGCTGATTTAAACGGAATAGTATTCAGTTACAAGTTTTGCAGATTTATAAATAAAATGTATTGCAGACTATGAATAACATGAACTGATCTCGTTGGACAAAATGTAATTAATATAATTTCAAACAGTAAACACACAGACAGTAATGAATATATAAAAGCGTATGTTTAGGAAAGAAAGAAAAATACTGGTATCTATGAGGCCAATGTCATGTTGATTTTAAATAAATAAACACACACACACAAAACAACAAAAAAACGTGTCAATGCGAACACTGTTCATGCAATGACATTGACTAAAAGAACGATACTTTTGCCTTTAGATGTTATCAGTTTGGTCTGCAGTTAAATGGGTATTATCTTATATATAGACTTGGCTAAGATATAATTTCTTATGTCGAAAAATGGGACACGTACGTTAAAAATATAATATCGATTAGTTTGAGTTCAAGAAATGAGGACAATCTAAAAACCTTTTAAATTCTGCAAATTCTCGGCCTTGATAAAAATCGGCGAGGCGTTCCGAATTTGTATTGCCAATCTTCCTCGTGTGTGTTTGGACTTGTCTTCCAGTCAACAGTTGAAAGAGAATGATACCCCTGGCATGACTCGAACCCACTGCCACCGAATAAGGAGTCCGTTACTTTACTTCTTTATAATTATTATGCCCGAGTCATTTGTTTTAGTAAAGGAATGCGTTTTAATTTTGTTTTATAAAAATACTTGTACATAACATACGCGCTATTTTGTACTCGTTCTCGATCGTGTTTTTGATAGTCAGTCGATTTGCCGAACAGAAGCACATAAAAGATCGACACTAATAGTCCCCAAGAGATAGCTATAGTGTAATACATTATTCAAGGTCATGCTACACTTGTATTTCAGAAAATATGAGTTTTATTTCGTGCCATGGAAATTTAATATCTTCCATTTAGGTATCGTTAATTCTTAAATGCTTGAATCCGGGTTTCATCATCGCAGTTCGTTATTTCGTGGTAATATTTTAATATTTCCGAGTGTTACGTTTCACATTTAAATATTCTTAGACGATTAAATACCTTTTTTTCAGGTGCCAACATTCAAAGACGGTGATCTTGTTGTGAACGAATCGGGTGCGATATGCATGTACCTAGAGGAAAAATACAGCAAGGACTCGAACAAACTATTACCAGCGGATGTCAATAAGCGAGCTGAAGTGTATCAGAGGATGTTCGAATCCCCGAATCTGCAAACGAACGTGACAGAGAAGCTTGTCTATTACCGCTGGATGAACAAGGAAGAGGAATGGGATAAGAAATACCTTGAAGGTTGGCTAATTTACCTTTATTATACCTGACGTAAACATTTTTCTATACAGACAAATGTGACGTCACATTTTTCTATACATACAACTGTGGCGTCACATTTTTCTATGCAGACAAATGTGACGTCACATTTTTCTATGCAGACACATGTGACGTCACATTTTTCTATGCAGACAAATTTGACGTCACATTTTTCTATACAAATGTGACGTCACATTTTTCTATACAAATGTGACGTCACAAAGTGTTATTTCAATATATCATCCTGGAAATGAACATCACCCGGCAATATTCCCCAAGGGCGAGTATTTATATAGAGACTTTAGAACATGTAATGTTCTAGTTCCCTCCCCTGACCGAAAACTCTTAAAGAAACTTCCTACTTTGCGAGAAAGGGAAACATAGAATTTCGCCTGTTAAAAGATAAAGCTTATGCTCGAAATGGAAGATATTATTACATAAAATTATAAACGCATTTTATCTGCAAAAATAGTTCTATTATTCAAGAAAGCATGTTAGTGAAATAGATGCTTTTATCAAGATGAAAAAGTGGGGCAACATTTAAGAGTACATGTATATTAAAATTCACCATTGCGATCTGTTATTTACTTGTTTTTGAGACCAGTGAAATCCCACAATCTAATAAAGTATAGATAGACATATTGTAACAATGTTGTATTAATTAGAACCGACTTTAGAAATTTTCATCTTGTTCTTAAATAGAAAGAATTGGGCGAGTTTCAGTATATGATCATAATGTTTCATTTCATCTTGTGATCTGACATCAGAAAACTTATTCCACTCTTTGTCTCGTCTCTGTGAAGGTAATCATGCGTTAAGGACCGATCATCAGTTTCAGAGGCACACTTAAAGACTTATCAAGACACGAGGCCTTCATGGCTAAGTTGTGTTGTTACGGTCACTGCTTTCGAATCACTTGCCCCTCGTAGTTGGTATTTGTGGGTTCAAATTTCTCAAAATATGTGATGCCTTATGTGGTCAGCTTTTTTAGAATGACAATCGTTCTACATAGATGCATTTTAGTGTGTCTTAAATAGCTCAATCATGCAGAGACGGTCACGTGCTGTTATTTTAACTGGTTACACTGACCTTTACAGCGACCAAGTAACCAAAAGAAACATATCAATGGGATTTCTCATTTGAATATTGAATAAGTTAATTTGTAAACGGCATGTGAAATTTACAATGACAAAAGTTTAGCTACTTTCTCAATATAATAATATATATTTCATGAAATAAATGTGTCTTTCACATTGGTCTTATTGGAATTTAATTCAAAAATGGATGTCAAATTGTTTTGCATACAGCAATGGAAGTTTTTCATTGAAGAATGTTTTGTTTCACAGAGCACACCGAAAAGGCGAAGGAAGAATTAAGCCGATGGAACACAATTTTAGGTGATAATGATTACTTGTGTGGCAAGGAATTTACGATGGCGGACGTTTTTGTCTATCCTGTGTTGGCGTTCTTAATTAGATCCGGTGCCAAGCTGCCCAATCAACCGGCTCTAATGCAGTACTACAAAAGGGTTACACAACGACCATCTGTCCAAGCCACGTGGCCACCCCACTGGAAAGAAGGAGAGGGAAAGCCAATCCTTAGCGATTTATAAACTTTTAAGTTGATGACAATTTTGGAAATAAATTAAAAATTTGAATAAACGGTCTAGACAGTTTAGAAAGAAGAGAAAACTTAAAACTGTATTTTCTTTGTGCTTTTGATGAATAATCTTTATGATATCTATATATTAACGGATAACATTTTCCTCTACTAAAGCAGGTTTCTTTTTTTGATATAAACTTTTTTTCCAGAAATAAAATAATAATAAAATTTCATGTACATGTATTTAACTTTTTGAAAACCTATATCCCCCCATACCATCAAAATATAAATATAGCGACCTCAATGTGTTCTATACATAAGACGGCCACATTTAACATGTTAATAATGCAACCAGTCCAGCCCGCATTTCCATAGTTCGACCATTTCCATAGTTTGACCGCCTCTTCACTGTTTGGTGCATAATGATTTATAAATATAATTAAATCCCTAAAATTCAGAATCGAAGTTTTTTGTCATATCCTATCAATCAGTCAGCTTTGGCGGGGAGGGGCTCATGGTGGCTTAAAATGCCTGGTTCTGAACATATATCTAGGGTTCGAGGCTACTTTGGGTATGTCAAACTTTACATTTATAGTGCTGGTTAAGAAAAGAAAGAAAACTCGATTGAACAGTTTTAAGCGTTGATCAAACTTTAAAAGTACAAGAAATTTTACAGTAACATGATACAGGGGTGCTGTCAAACCTGTGACGAATGAGCATAAAACGCTATAAACCGACCATAACCTTTATATAGACAAGTGGTCTTTATTTCGAGGTAACTCTTGTCGATCTAAGCAGCGTAGTCGAGGACTGACTTTAATTTTCAGTGATCTTTATTCGAAAGTGGTCTTTAATACTGTTTTTCAACTGTTAATATTATATGTTCAGTGTTTTTATTAACTATATAGAATCGAAACCAAGCAACCACTAACTAAATACCGTTATATTCCGGATTCATGTTACACCCTTTTTATGCCCCCAGGCATATAGTAATTAAACCGTCCGTCCGTCTGTCTGTACGAAGTTAACCTGGAACGGCAAGTTGGATTTTTCTTAAGTTCTACCTGTACCAGAGGCTTCATAATTTACACACTTACTTATCCATCTGGGCAAGTTACATAACTATGACTTCCATTTGCACCAAGTTATGGCCCTTTTCAGCACTTAGAAAATGAATAATGGTTAACCTAAACCGGCAAGTTGGAAATATCTCGTGTTCTATCTGAACTAATGGCTTAATAATTTTCACACTTACTTATCAATACAATGTACATGATATTGCCAAGTTATATAAACGTGCCATCCATTTTCCCAGTAATTTCCCTTTTTATCACTTTGAAAATAGGGCCTTGTATGGTTACCCTTTTCCGCCAAGTTGGATTTATCAAAAAATTTCACCTAATAACTTAATTCATTTAATGATATCTTTCGTATTTGGTAGGTGGATACCTTTAACGGTCCTCTATTTTTTTTTGTGGCGTTAGGCGTCTCTAGGTCAAGGTCACTTGTGTAAAAAAAATAAATCTAAACATTTCTGCTCATACAGCCTTTTTTAATTTAATGTCTTTCATGTTTATAATAGTCATACCAAGGGAGTTCCTCTTCCTTTTCCTTTAGTAAGGGGCCATTTGGGTCAAGGTCACCAATGTCAAAAATAGATTTTTTTTACACTTTTACAGGTGTATTAACCTTATTCTATCGACAGAGATGTCTTGTATATTTTGTAGGAACATAAAATTAAGGTATTCTCATTTGGTTGGAGGTAGGGGTCAGTTGGGTCAAAGTCACCAGTGTTAAAAATAGATTTTTACACTTTTGCTCATACAGCCGTTATTTATTGACAGATTTGTATTATAATTAGTAGGAAGTTAACATACATGGTATTCTTCCTTTGGATGGAGTTAGGGGTCAGTTGGGTCAAGGTCAACAGTGCTAAATATAGATTTTTACACTTTTGCCCATGCAGCTATTATTTATTGACAGATTTATTTCATATTTGGTAGGAGAATAACTTGCATGATATTCTTCCTTTTGATAGAGTTAGGGGTCAGTTAGGTCAAGGTCACCAGTGCTAAAAATAGATTTTTTACACTTTTGCCCATGCAGCTATTATTTATTGACAGATTTATTTCATATTTGGTAGGAGAATAACTTGCATGATATTCTTCCTTTTGATAGAGGTAGGGGTCAGTTGGTCAAGGTCAAGGGTGCCAATTACAGATTTCTACACATGATTGGTTTTCTTCTGTACAAATTAGCTACTTCACTCTCTAAAGTTAAATGATTGACAACAGTGAGCGCGGGGGCATTTGTGTTTATCAATCACAGATTCTTGTTTAGATAACAGGTTGTATGTAAACATAAAATGAAACAGCAGAAGCAATTCAAGTATATTTTAGAATTTTATTAAAGCAGTTAAAATACAAATGCTGTAAGCAAAATTGAAACACGTTGCTAAAACTTGTATAAATTTGAATACGGACTATTCAAAGTTAAGAAAATATAATATAAACATCAAGTTGCATTTAATAAAACAAAACTTGTCTAGCTAGTGTTATAAAATTATGCATGTACATCATTAAGGATTTTGGATACATGCTAGACACAATCTTGTACTCAGAGTTCTATCATACATACATGTATCTCTTTAGGATACCGTCCATACTGACTGAAAAGAACGTGTAGAAAGTCATCCTCAAATTATTTACATTTACGCAACTCAAATTTTAGAAAATTGAAAAATCTCGCGAAATTCGCACAAAATTGCAATAAACAAATCAAATAAGTTGTATAATATTGGTGTCATTTTAATTGATAACATGTTAACAGAATATTCAGATGTTTGAATAGTTGCATATCGTTGTCACAGAGATCAAAACGTCTGGTTACATACCATCAAATTTTAAAATTAATTTAGTCCTCAGATACCTAAAGACTCTGACTTGTTGCCACAGATATATAATGTTTATATCTTGTGAATGATTAACGTCTTTCAACATTCGTTACAATTTCTTTTTCAAGGCACTTGTTGATTGAAATATTCATTACATTCACTTTACACTTTCCTTTAGGGAAATCATTTCAAAGTTTTCATCTTTTATAATTGAACCGTGTCTGTTTAACACACCGTAAGCTTGTCTCTCATTTGAGTCCCGATGTGAAATTCCCACCGATGCATGCGTTATTGCGCGCATTTGAATATCATCTGGTGACGTATCAAACCATTCTTCGTCATCTGAATGTACGGGCGCTTGTTTTTCACCCGAATCATTATTATCATCGTCATCGTCGTCATCATCTTCATAAATTTCTTTGTCACTCTCTTTTTCTTTGTCTGCATCATTGGTGTTTAGCTCAATCATTAATCTCACATCTTCTCTCTTTGGTATAGCTTTCTGTAAAAGATAAACAATTGGTTGGATACATTTGTCGTATTCAGTTCTTGGCGAGGATGCCCAAACTAATTATTTCAAGACAATGTTTCACGTTTATCTTTTAAGATATAATGCTGTTAAAATATCTAAACACACCAGACACGCATATACAATATAAATGATGCTATGGCGATCTTGCTCTTGCTATTTAGTGGGAAATCGCTTGATGAAATCAAAAGAACTTTAAGATTTATAATATCGAGAATATGCTAGCGGATAATTGAAAAACTGCCATTAATCCGGATATAAATGTATATTTATTATGAGGAGCAACACTTGAATTTTTTTTCTAAAATTTGAATTATTTTTCAGTATTAATACTTATTAAAGTAACAAATATTAAAGCATTCTGTGCTATAAAGAAATACCATTTGTTATACAGTGATCGGTAGTGCTGAAGGACCATCAATCCTTTTCCCGCTAAATATCTTAAATGGACTTGTTCATCTTTTAATATGGACAAAACCATTTATTATTTTTAGTGAAAAATTCAATATCAGTACTGACTGAATAGCAAACAGTGCCGACTATGATCAGTCGCCGTGAAATGGAAGTAGATCAAATCAGTTGCTTCCAGCAGGCTATTGATGAATTGAATTCAATTGACGCGTATTTGAAATGCGTTTTACTTCCACGCTAAAAGACCTCAAAAATGTCTGGCAAATTTTATCAAAACGAACAAAATTTGAACAAACCCTTATTTCGGCGTCCACTAATTCTTGCCCAATAACGACGGCCTCGTGCACAGTATAGAACAAGCAAGTGTAGTCCACTGTCTTGTAAAATTTAGCATTACGTAACATCGTTCGGACATCAGCTATAAACAGAATCAGACATTATGTCAAAAATCGTAAACAATACAAATGTACATGAAATGATAATTATAATATGAAAGGAATACATGGTTTGGTAAAGAGGAAATATGGAAAAGGTATAAGGCCATAACATAAGAGAGAAGAGCTTGACATGTCTTCTTTAATGTATTGAATGATTTTGCTTAATTATCTTAGAAAATATACAGAAAATTATAAAAATGGACGCCGCGTTCATCTGGCGCCTTTATATGTGTACACAACAAAGTAAAGACATTTTTTCTGTTTAAACATATTTTTTTACATTTGTAAATTATGGTAACAACTTTCTGAAGCCTGTATTCCTTAAATAACAACCAAAATACATACGCTTACAACCAGCGAGTAAGACTTTGATTCCAACATTTTTGTAGTCCATAACAATCTGCAAGATAAAACAGGATCAGTTCAATTCAATTCAATTCAAATATTTTATTTACGTCTCATCACATGTACATCACATATATCACAATAAAAATGAATAAAACTGGTAAGTACATATGCCATTCAATATAGAATTATAAGAGACGTGTAAGCAAAGCTTACATCTATAGGTAAATATAATAAAAGATCATATTTACATACTTATATGAGTATATACTATACACTTATAATAAATGAATTGGGAATGTTGTGGATATATCATTTTAAGTTTTCATATTCCTACTAATGTGTCTAAAAGTCTATATATAAAACAATTCACTAGTCTGATGTATAACAATTCTAATGAAATTTAAGAGAAATAAAATACTAAAATGTATAATAATAAAATAAATTAAGTAGGGGATGGGGGTTTCGATCACAAATAATGTATGGTGATAACTTTAATTTGTATGTCTTATTTGAAATGTTTTTCGGTAGCAGTTAAAACAATGAAAAACGTTTACAATTTACAATACAATATAGTTTGATCTTTACCACCCTAAATATCATACACGGACCTGTCCATCTTGCAATATGGACTGAACCATTTATAATTTTGGGGATTTTTTAAAAATAATTACTGACTGAAAAGCGAACAGTGCAGACCATGATTAGATGGCATTGATGTGTCGGCTGATCGTGGTCCGCACTGTTTGCATGGGTTAAATCTATTGCCGCCAGCAGTCTAAATGCTTACAATATTCCCCAAGGGCGAGTAATCTTAAGAAAACGTAGTATTCTAGTTCTAGTTCTCTCCCCTGGTCGCGTTAAAATGTTTTACTAAGTTCGGTGTAATAAAAATAACGGGTAAAAGTGCATATTAGCAACTTGAACTGAAATAATTGCATACATGTATATGGACTATTACCCTAAGAAACATGTGTTATTTTTATGTCTAATATTTGAATAGCTTCTGCACACATAATATATAATATGTATACTAATTAACCCCTTATAAAGAAACCCCACTTACCGTTGAGAGTTGTTTTACAGCCACTGTGTCCACGTAATTAACCACTGACATATCTATAATTAATATTTTTATAGGTGGTTGCCACGCCTTCGAAAACCTATCCATAATTAACTTATTCTCCGCCGTCTTCTTTACCTGCTCTTCATATTCATCAATTGGGCGTGGCGTAACAATTTCGATTGTTGTTCGTATCTTCCGAGACTGAAATTTGAATAAATGAATATTCATATATTTACTAAAGAACCTTTATAAAGTTAATCATTTTTAAATGTTACATTTCATGATTTCATATTCATCTTTTGGGCGTGGCGTAGAGACTGAAATTTGAATAAATGGATATTAATTATATTTACTTTAGAACATTTATTAATTTTATCATTTTTGTTTTAAAATGTTACATTTTGTGAGTAAATAACTATACATGCCAGTTTGTTCATTATCTAAAATCTTATTTAAATCAGTTTTGTTCGCCTCTGTTAGAATGTTCTCTTCTGTGTTTAATTGGCCATGCAAATTTTTAAGGTATGTCACTAGTTAAAAAATTAAAATAAAAAGCCTATCAAAAACAAGGACAAATAATTTTGAGACAAAGCACTTTTAGATTTATCACCTTTTAATTTTTGGAAGTTCATTTGCTAAATATTGATCGTCTGCAGAACATAGCTTCAATTAACAGAAAAATACCGATCTTCATTTTAGGCAGCCAGTTTATAGGACATTACCCATTATAAATAACTGTGAAATGACATGGGTTTTGGTAAAATGGACATTTGTCAAAATATAAAATACAGAGGAAAGAAATACTATTGTGGCACTTATGCCAGAAAGGATTTTCTTTATCAGCTTACAAGAAGATGACGGAATTAAAGAGAATTGCATGATATTTAGAGTGCCTCTCAAAATGGCGACAAGGGGGGGGGGGGGTAATTCGTTTTTTTCTTTTTATAAAAAATGTCCATACCTCTCGCTGTTGTCTCTCATATTCGACTTGTGCCAGTTCTTCTGTACGCCTCCGTAAAATATCGTGCATAGCTTTACGTTTACGCTTCAACAATTTGCGGGGAACCAACCCTGTTTTCTCATAAAGTTTGTCCCGGAAGTGCTCAGCGTTGGCAAAGTATATAGACGTCTCAAATCTGAAAATCTTCATGCCAGGAACTTCCTTAACCTGGGGGTAAAAGAAAATAATTTTGTTTTCATTTGTTAAAAAAGAAGTATATTTTTATATGAGTTAAAGGTATTCCTATACCTACAAGTCGGTGCATTTTTGAATACGTATTACGCTGAACGTATCTTCTTTTTAAGGATACACTAAGCTTATCCTTGAGTAAAATATTTAAGAACAGTTTTTTTTTCATAAATTTATTAAATTCTTACTGAAAGAGTTTAATTTGAATAAAAGAATGAATAACTATATAATGGGAAGCTGCGTTCCCCATAACAGGTCAAGTAAAGTTGGTCTTTCCTTAAAAACTGCCAGTTTCTTTTAAAGACACTATATACTAGTATAATTATTCATTTTGTGATCACCTTTAAGTAATTAGTTTGTGCTAAGTCAAAAAGTCAAAGTTTATATTTACAAAGAGACTGTGCAGCTACTTAAATCAAATTTGACCATAGTATACTAGTATCTTTAACGATGTCTTTTGCTATTTTTACTGGTATTCGTTAACAGAAATACATTTTTAAAGTGAATCGCATAGCGTTTTTTTTTATCATACCGAAAATATATTTTAGCTTTAGTAAAAGAATGTAATAATGTAAAAAATGTTCTTCATTCATATAGTCAATAGATATGTAAGTAATAAATAATAGTCAGTTTCTCTCAAGAAAGCATAAACAAATGATTTTTACTGCATGTACACAACTTTCTTTTTTTGTAATCTCATTAGCAATTCTTTTGAAAAACAGTAACCTACCGATAAAGTAGTTTTGAGATCTTTGTAGGCATTGGTTCCCGGTAGCTGACCAAGCTGGCTCATCTGAGGTCTGAAACAAGGAAAAATATGAAAACTGTATAAGAAATGTGGAATTAAAAAAATGAATTAAAAAAATAATAATAATACTATCATGTACATATTTTGAAACTGTAATACATTAAAAAAAAAAGAAAAAAAAAGAGATTGATCGCATTTCTGGGGTATAATGGAACTTAATTAAGATAATGCCCGTAACAACGTATTAGTAAGAAAAGGACACTTACTTCTGAGAATGTCTAAGTACAAAGTAGAGAGAGAAGACAATTCCAATAAGAAGACCGAGGGCGACGTCTAAAATTACTACAGCTAAAAACGTTACCATCCAAACTGCCTGAAATGTAAAGGAAAATAATAACAATTTCTTTTCATAACCATTTAAAGAAAATAAAATACAGTGAACTTCAAATATTTATCTTGGCAATAGCTTTTATATTTATTTAAGAACCAGTGGCCTCTGCTCGCGGAGTGGTAAGATTCCGTGACGCAGAATCATTTGCCTTGCACCGATGTGACTAAGATTCACACCAGGGACTTCACTAGATCTTTAAATGTGACGCAGCTAGCGCGTGCAAGGTTAGAAGTTTAACTCATCTGCCGACTCGTACCTTAGCACTTTTTAGGGTTTGTGTAACATAAAGGGTTCATTATACATTGTTGAGAACTATACTGATTCTATTTGAACTCATATACAGCTGCAAACTTATATCAGACTTGGCTAGCACCTCGTCTCCTATATAGTTTGGACAGCTGTGTACATGTTCAGTAGAATTCCGTATTGTGATCAACAATGTATAATATTTAGTCTCGTAGTCATGGCTGAAATAAACAAAATGTGAACTACGGGTAAAGTTCTTCCTTTAATTAAGAGTTAATTAAAGCAGCACGCATCCAGATTAATGATTATTTTCATGAAAATTTTGAAAATTTATTCAAAAGTAAAATATTGTGGACCAAACAAAGAAAGTTATATACACGTTGCAATCGACAAATTATCAAAATTCCACGCAAATTATCAAAAAAAAGTCAAATAATGCAAAAAATATATAGCACCTATTGCGTTAGTCACGCAGTAGAAATATGGTGATGAATACTGCAAATTCAGACTTTAATCGCACGTAACATGTAAATTATTACTTGACTCTTTGGAGGCATGCAACTTTAAATTGCTGTCAAACATTTCCATTATAATTATGTATAAACTTTCACTTTGAAAATACATGTACTTTGAAACGTACATTAATTTATTTTTTGGATAAATGAGAAGTCATTTGAAAACGATCGATACAACAGAAAATGGAAACGATTCAAAGGTATCGTATCTCTATTAATATTTTATTATATACATGCTGTTGAAATTAGAGATTACGTACAATATGTTTGATTTGTTAACGTCGATTGAAATTATTACCGTAAAAATCAGTCAAGCACGAATAAAATAATATAAAATAATTGGGAATATATTTCGAAGCGTTTTTTTTTTAAACAGCCTATTTATTGACTTTAAACTCTCTCGGGAATCATTATTTCCTGCTCACTGCTTCTTCACTGCATTTCTAGTGTTACTATGTTATGTGTTTTGCTTATACGTGTCAATTTATTATTTGCAGAGATAAGGAACAATTTTATTATCATTTGTTTGGATTTCTTAAAAGAAATCAGTTGGTACTCTATGGCCTATGCAATGACGCCATTTACAAATTGTTTTTACGATTGATTAGAAACTTGAATGCTTCAGTAATAGTTAAAGAGTTTAAGCATCAAATAATAAAATTGAGATTGAAAACAGTTAAGAGATTGTGCCTTATTTTCGCGACATAAGGTTCAACCCGTTAACACCGTAAGAACTCAAAAAACCTTTATGAGAGCTAGACAACCAACTTCACAATTCACCTTTACCCCATTCACAAATCACAAGGCACCTTGTTAATAATAATAATAATAATAATAATAATAATAATAATAATAATAATAATAATAATCAAATAGTCGAGTTAAGCAGATATTCGTCATAATGAGTATGTTTGCCATAATTATGTTTTCCTATTTTATTTCCCTAGATCTAGCATCCACCTGTTTTGTCAATATGCGTTTACATAGAGCTTTTTGAAAATTGATTTCTTGAATAAAATATTAAGTAACCCATTCATTTAGACTACCTCTTCGTCCTCCATGACGTTGTTGTAATGCCATTCTCTTTTGCAAACCGTTTTAATGACGTCACATGACACGTCATTGAGTTTATCCACTTTTTGAAAATATATTTACATTATTTTTTTAGCACGGATCAAAAAGTATATCCATTTGACTAACGGAATAAAACTTTTATTTTGTCACCATCATATCCAGCTTGTATATACAATAAATACTGGTAATATCTTTATCGCAGACAAATTTGCCTATATTAGTTAAAGAATTAAATTGAAACAATTCCACACTGCAGGTGTTTCCACATAATGAAAGCTTCACGTTGAGCTTAAAACAGGTTAACGGGATTTTCATAGATTCTCTATTCTACAGAACTATACCTATATCAATTTTCTGTCCCTAGGGGCTGCGGGATCATTGACAAAGTCGTTTGAGAAACGCACGCCACAGTTCACTTTTCAATTATTCATAATAGTAAAAACGGTCCAGCTAATTCTTCAATATAACTGCATTTATGATACTTTTAACGCCGTTTATAATTAGTGATTAAATAAATCAATAAATATGTGACCCGAAACGCTCTATTTTATTGGTATTAATTTAATTTTAAAGTTATGACAGCGTAATAACTTTTGCCGATGATGGCATTCGACTTCAAAGGAAACAATTAAAACTTGTATGAAAGTAGTGTGTATCTATAGACAGTATTTGATATAATATTGATTTTTAAATGAAACAGTGCCATTTTAGAATTTCAAATCACTAATAATGACAATTTTGAACTGTACGATATTAAAGGGACTTCACTGAAGTTTTTTGTTGTTGACAAAACGGGCCTTAAAATATTTTTTCCGATATTAATGTACAATTTGATGACGGTCTGGATCAATTACATGTGTGCAAATTAAGGGATCATTCGATCACCTCGCTTTTCCAGAATCATCATTTTTATTGTGCAAATTAACCCCAAAACTGAAAAGCGTTGCAACGCTTTTCACTTTGAACAATCTGGCTAAAAACGGCAAAAATATCGAATTTTTAATTTAATTCTGAGCATTTTCTTTATTATCCCTAGCAGAGTTTTCCATTTGATGTGTTCCACTTAATGTATGACAGATTTTCAAATTTTATGTTTTGAGCCATTTTTTTACCTCCTCGGAGCTTCTTTAAAGATACTTGAAAAGAATACTAGAAAAGTATTTAATGCTATCTAAATCACCCAGCTTTCACTCTGAAACTTGTATCAAGTTTTGTGAGTATGATATACACAATGTATATATACATGTATATAAATTTCTTGGAAAAGAAAATCTCTCGAGAACAATAGAAACAAAATTAAATGATGGAAATCACAGAATCGGTTTTATTGAATTTAGCAATGATAGAGATAAAAAGAGCAATATCTCTTGAGCCCCCTAGCACCGCCTTACCGATATTAAATTTTCAATATAATAAAGTCATTTTTTAACGATCAGAAAAGCATAGCGACACTAAAATGAAGTGGATTTCAGTGAAGTGTTTGACTATAAAGTGAGTTATTTTTCGTAAGCATGAAATAATAAAATAAGTAAAAAAACAATATGAATAAACTTTTCTTTTGATATCATAAGGACAAAGCATTTATAATCAAACCAAACGGTTTTAATCGTTATCATTTCCAATTTAACTTTAGATTGTATTTCAAAACACTTACAAAGTCTTTCTTTGAGAGTCTCCACAATCGTTTAAGTTCTCGAAACTGCAAAAACATTCCCTTCAACGTCACAATAACAATACTTGCCAGAATACACTGAAATGAAAAAGAAGTTTATTCTTCAATCTTACTCATAGCTGTTCAAATGTGCAAGTACATTTTCAATAATGACTAAAGAGGTCAGACTGCACTGAAATACAAAAAATGCACTTCGTTCTTATTCATGGCTGATTTGCGGATTCTGTGCAAATATTTTTTTTCTTAGTTTCAATTGAATATTACGTCCAATTATCAAATATCGTTCATGCTTAATATTTTTATCATGTACATTTTGTACAACTTTCTTGAAGTGAATTTGACTAACTAAAATTTTTTTCTTAGAAATAATTGCTAGATTATATGGCCTGAGTCGCTAGGTGAGTGTTAATACTAGTATATACCAAGCAACCGTTTATGCACAGCTATATATCGTACTTTCTCGTTGGCCATATAACCTTTCCTTATTTGGGAAAATGAAAATAACTTCATCAACAGTTACTGTACATAAATTATCTAAACGTCGCAATTATCCAATAAAAAACGACGTTACAAACGTGCACTATGAAAAATTGAAAATATTATAAATACCTCGGGTAGGGATTCAAACAAAGGTCCAATGTAAAGAAGAACAACCAGGACAACCATGGAAGACACCAAGCCAACAACCTGTAAAATAAATACAGAACTGAAAAATGTATCATATGTGGTACTGACAGTTAACACAAATCGCATTACCCCCTTTAATATTATTACATATTACGCATCTAGATATTAGCCATGTTTGTACAAAAATATTCTTTTTTCAGTTTAACCAACAATAATGATTATAATGACCTGACGTTAATTTGATAAAATTTATTTTAAGTTAATACAGATGCAAATTTGAATAAATTTTAAGATGATTAACAGGAACGGCAAGTGCCAAGCTTCCACGTTAGATAATACAGTTTAACTTTAGTTTCGTCTTTTGTCAAGGTTTACCTCCCTTTTATACATTTTCGATAAATATCTATTTTTGGACTTATAAATAAAATGTAAAATACATGCACAAGTTAACCTTGTTATGACTTAAGTATAGTACTGCAAACGAAGATCTGTGGACTTTAAGGTATATAGATTGAAAACGAGGCCATCCCGATAAAAGAAATAAAGGGACATACATATATGTTGAAAATGTGTCAGGCATATCTTAACTCAGAAATATGAAAAAAGTTCCCCAATACTAAAAAGCCCCGAGGACGGTCCAACTAAAAGAATGGTTTTTGCATTCTTTGAATGGATGAGAACGAACTGGGATTTTAAAAGTAAATGATGCCCGGTCATTATTCCGGCAGTTTATACAGACCTGGGTCTTTCCTCCAACCGAGTCTTGCAACAGGCTGTCCAGTAAAGACCCGACACTAACAGTACAGTTCAAAATTGACCCGATAGAGTTACAAATCCCGTAAGCTATCAGTTCCTATAAATACAGAGAGAGAAAGAGTCGAATAAGATAGAGATAGATGCGGGGACTTTGCATACCTGAGTTTTTCCACCCGCGGTATCCTGAACGAGGCTGCGAGACAGTGAGGCCGCACAACAATAGGATGAGAAAAACGAACTCACGAAATTACACACTCCTAGTGCAACCAATTCCTATAATAAAATTTAAAAGCAGATTTCGGTAATGTTTTTTATGTTTCGTAATGGCCTAAATATTGTCTAGCCGTCACCAGTTTTCTTTCTCAACAGTGAGCATCCTGCAACATCATATGACCATTCTGCATGCGCAGGGCTAGTGGAATTGTTTATATGTAAACTCATACGATCATTATCGGCGAAGAAGTTAGCATCGACCGGATTACAAAACAAAGTGATAATTACAAATTAGCATCTTGCTTTCTGAAAGCTATTTTGATCATACTAAGCATGTTACATATACTTGTTTGTTAAAATAAGCAATATGATAAGATCTGATTAAATCATCATCATCATCATCATCATCATCATCAGAAACAATAATACATGTAAATTTTCATCATCATCATCATCATTGTCATCATCATCATCAGTGACAACAACGCATGTGCATTTTCATCATCATCATCATCATCATTATTATTATTCTCATCATCATCCTCATCATCATCATTATCATCATTATCATCAACAACAACTATTTCATCATCATCATTATCATCATCATCATGATATGATCACTAAAAGCCTTATTATTTTTTCAAACGGATAGACAAAACATAAATTACCTGATTTGCGTTTACACGATAACCGTGTCGGTCTGCTAGAATCTTTGCCATTGAATAACTGATAGCGTAAGCTATAAAACCAATCGTGAGTCCGTCCCCCAGAACTTCCGGTACATACTGCAGGTTGGATATATCCGGTTTCGGTAGCCTGAAAAGTAATTAATATTCTAAATGAAACTGTTTACTTTACGTAATCGTTGTGTTGTTTATATAAAACTTTGACAATTAGAAAAAAAGGAAATTGAGAAGTTGATACCGTGGAACAAGAATACTGTGCTTGTCACTTAATTATATTACAATGGAATTTTACGTTGATCAATTCGAATTTGATGTCCGATATCACCAAGCATTTTGGGACTGTTTTAAAATCGTAATTTTTTACATGATGTGATATCACTAAATTTCGCGGGCATGAAATTTCGTGGTTTTGTCTCAAAGGACCTTTTCATGGTTTCTTAATTTTCGTGAATTGTGTTTTTGTAAAAAAGTAAAATGCATATTAAGTAATGCAACATAATCTTACAGCAGGCGAGATAAAATTTCGTTGATTAATCTGTTCAAGAAAAAAAACCCAGGAAAATAAGAACCCAAGAATAATAAATGAATATTGCTGAACGATTTGCAGTAACAATGTAAAAACGCCACATTTTACTATATGTACAAGTTCGAAATGTATATAAATAATAACTACATGTAAGTATATAGCAAAGTTGCTATAATTATGATATTATTATGATAAGTCTGCACTATTGACTCCAACAATTTCAGTGTTGAATATGCATTGCCGGTGCTAGGGGGTATGACAAATATTGCCATGACCATGCAACATCTCTCATGAACAGACTCAAACCTAAAATCTCCAATAATTATTCTCCATCCAGTTACTTTTGTAATCACTATTCCAGAGGGATTTTCCCCTTCCCAGATAACTTTTAGCTACTAGATACAGTGTATTTGCAAAGTTGCTAATAGAAAAACAAAAAAGATAATTTCAATGTATACGTACCCTGATGGTATCTCTCCTACGACCTCGACATTAAAGTCTTTTCCAAGCTTTGTGTAGTAAGATATTATTGTACTGACTGAAATCTAAAATAAAAATAACAACTATTTACTGATCTTTTAAAGAAGTTGTCTCAATTATTTAATTCACGTGGCATTAAGAGTTAAAATTATAGGGGTATTCAAAAGTAGATCCATTTGGTCCAGATATCCAAGTTATTTATCCCCAGGAAATATCGATAAATTGATATTCTCAAAGAACATCATGGGATGAAACCAGTGTCAAGTTTGAATATAAGGGGAGGTAAAGAATCACGTTTAGCACATCAGGGGAGGGTACTATAACCTTGTTTATTATTTAAGGGGAGGGAACTCGACCAACTTAAAGATCCTGTAACAAATGTTGTCATGGTTTTATTTCATAAATATGATGCTCAAATTAAGATTTGTCAATATTGTAAGTTCCAATAAGCATTATTTATAAAGATATAACCCAATTTAACATTTCATGTAAATAAAGGGAGGTAATTAGAAATTTATTTTCTATAAATTCTAAGAAGAAATGAATGCATACAATTTATTGATTAAACATAATGTGCACAAATATTTGCAGTACACATTTTACATATTCTTTGATGTTTGAAAATTGTTTTATTTGCATAATTATATACATATATAATGTTCTGCAAGTGAGGTATACACACAGTAACAATATTAATCCACAAAACATATTAAATAACATCAGGAAAAGCAACCAGAATCTTGTGAAGGAACTTGACTTACTGAACTGTTTTGTGACATCAGGGAAAATAACTAGTGTTACGTTTGAAACACAAGGGTAAATAACTAATGATACACTTGTAGCACCATGTGTGGTAACTTATGTCGCGTTTTCAAGGAGAAAACTAGACATGTCTAGCCTGATCCTAATGATATAAGGCCCAAAACCCAAAAATTTTGTAATTATAATAATGATGATAATAATGATAATAATGGTAATAATGATAATAATGATATTTACCACAGCAAGTTCTATGGGTATCGGCATGATTAGATGTGATTTACATGAACTATTGTTGTTGATCCCTTCTTTAATGAGCACCAGCATGAGTATACAGGTCAAGGACGCCGTGAAGGTCACCATGTTTGTATGCACGATATTCACGAAAAACTCCGAGTAGAACTGAAATGGAAAATTTTGATAGGTAAACAATAATTTGCAACGCAAAGTGTAACAGGCATAAGCTAGAGTAATTTGTGCGTACGTATACTTAGGATGCGGGTGACAATAGAGGAAATGACCTTTTTTCTCCAACTGATCCCGCAAAGCAATTGCAATGTTATCGGAGACGAAGATCTATGTCTCTGATATTATGTAGTAAACCAAGAATCATCGGGGTATAAAATAACCCTCATTGGAAGGAAAAAGCTGGAAATTAACCATTTCATTTTCCCCAATCCCTTGCAGAGCGAAGATCTTGGGTCTTGCTTAACCCGAAAATCATTGGGAAAGTCTTTTATATTATATTATATTTTTTATATTTAATATGTTTTTGTGTCAATACACTTTATATCTATTGACATTTCCAGAAATTTGACTTTTGAATATTGTTATAAATTTAGCAAATTTTATGTTTAATGCCAAAAAATGTGACATTCACAGATATCCCGTACGTATTTCATCTTGACTTTAATAGCAAAATAATTGAAGTAGTTTTAAAACTTACATAGACAAGAGCAAAGGGTCCATAGTAATTGCTAACGTGTACACCAAATACGTGTTTTATCTGGCTCGAGAACACGTGTATGGCAGCACCGGTTGTAAATCCGCTTATGAATGGGTCCGACATGAAGGATGCCATGAATCCGAGCCTCATAGAACCCATCAGCAGCTGAAAATGAATTTAAGATATTTATACTAAATTTCATAAGGAATATCTGTTAACGTTGTGTAAACAGGTGAAATTTTAGCAAGTTCTAAGAATAAATGCTAGACAAACTAACTATTAAGCAATGTCATTATTGTGGTCCTACTTTTAACTATAAAACTTGGAAAAATGAAAGTATATGAGGAAAAAGACTCACCTGCATGCAACCGACGACAAATGTTACGGAGAGGGCGTGGCCAAGTTTGATTGGGTTGGCGTAACCATCTGATTGGATGAGCGGTTCTATTTGTGGGTTGGGCGATATTGTTGTATTGGTACTTAGTAATTCCGTCACGGACGCATTATCTGACATAAGAACTTTGGCACCAACGTGAGTATGATAGCCCTTGTTGACCACTTGACCAACCATTAAACTGACCACAGCAAATGTTCCTGAAACATTAAAAAACGATGACTGATTTGGCCATGCATTGACACCATATAAATTATTCATTTACATTGTCAAACATTGAAACATAAGTCAGTCAAAGATAACTCGTACAGAAATAAATCTTTTAACGTCAACTATAAACCAGCCATATGCTTATGTCTCTTAATTAAAGAAATAGACGAAAATCTATTAAGCTGACAATACTTTTAGTTGGTTTGAGAAAAAAAAGCAGAAGAAAATATGTACACTCACCGATCGAAACATGCCGAGAGGAACCGAAGAAGAAATACAGGAGTACGGGAAAGAACGAAGTATAGAGTCCGTAAATTGGCGGTAACTGGGATAGAAAACCGTAAGCCATTCCTGTAAAAATCGAATATAGGTCCAAAATGGTTATATACAATCAATGTTTGTAGTAACATACGAAAGGGTGTTTTTTTCTCTCCAAATAATCCATTTGATATTTATGTATTTTTAAATGACACTAATCAAAATAGTTGTAAAATTGGGCAAAATAGTGATGCTATCTATATGGCTACTTTGGAAACAATTGTAAAGGAAAAGAATAAACAGGAAAATGCAGGATAGCTTTCAAATCATAGATAAAAAAACAACAAAAAACCATTATTTTGGCATGTTAAAATGAAAGAATCTAAAATGACCATTACCTTGCGGTATGTGCATAATTCCGACCGTAAGGCCGGCGACGACGTCGGCTAGCAAGTTCCGTCTTATACTATACCGGCGCATGATCCGGATAAACGGAAACAGCTCGTGCATTGTCTTGCTGGCACAATTTCTCGAGCACTTCACTTGAGGGCAACATTTTCTTGTTCCTTTATAGAGGGTTTTCGCGTGTTGTTTAATGTGAAGATTTTTCTCAATACTCTCTCTAAGTTGTTTTTGTGAAGCGTCTAACATTTGAACCCTGAATCTTTGTTTCTTTGTCTTGGAAAGAAGGGCCTCCCGTAAGTCCCTGTTTATACTCGCCATCTTTTTGTCTTTTTATTTATAGAATAACACACAAATTATAATATCACAGAGCTACGCGCAAGAATAACGGATATAGTCTTACTTTTAGTGTAGTTATTAAAAAATGAAGTATTTCTTTATCTTATAATTCCGGTTCACTCGCTTCCGGAATATTTGAAATTGAATCAGCTAAATAATGAAGCGCGGTGGAAATATATTTCATCGTTGCAGATAACCAAATATAAAACATATATATTGCCATCATGCCATAATTTCAAATTATTCTTGTTAATTTATAATCGATTATGTTATTTGTATCCCAAAATCCTTTGAATAACTTCCCGCTGCCTCGATCACTTTTATTGAAATGTCCTAGCAAAAATAAAGTCACAAGTTTGAATCCGATCTTGTTGATGCACACACGTTAAGCATTGTTTAATACTGACCAGCTTTTAAAACAATATCACTTTGTTTTAAACAAATAAATGCTGTAAATGACATATTGACTGATTGACAGACTAATCGATAACATCACGCGAAATCGATTATCATTATAAATAACAAAGTGAATCTAAGTATTAAATAGCCTACAGGTTCGATTTGAAAGATGCCAGTTCGATAACATTTAAACCATATACCTTTAACTGTCACATTCTTTTGTGTTTTTTTTTTCATATTGTTTTCACTACAAAGCGGTTTTTAAAAAGATTACGAAGTTTTGGATCAAAAGAAAAAAATGAATGACTTATCTAAACGAATAATCTTTAATTTCATCATTTGTTGCCGTAATTAAAAATTAAACAAATATACATGTAAGCTAATGAGTTATTATATATACATATATTGTTATCTATGAATTATATTTTATATTTATAGTAAAACACCTATCTTTTAATTTATATCTTTTTATGATATCGATTTGTCTTAAAAACAAAACCATAAACACAACTTTACGTGCATTCCATAGTTTTAGTTTTATTATATTTTATTCTATATCAATTTGTACATGATATATTACCACAATAAAGCATCATTATGCTAAGCATAAATGCCATGTACTTAGAAATTGGTTTGAGCAAAAAAGTTAAAACTAACATTAGCTAGGGCCCTACCCTAATAATAATAATAATAATAATAATAATAATAATAATAATAATAATAATAATAATAATAATAACAATAACAATAACAATAACAATAACAATAACAATAACAATGATAATAATAATAATAATAATTATAATAATTGATGATAATGATAATGATAATAATAATAATAATAATAATAATAATAATAATAATTATTATTATAATAAGAATAATAATATTGACAATGATAATTATAATAATGATAATGATTATAATAATAATTATAATTAAAATAATAATAATAATAATAATAATAATAATAATAATAATAATAATACTTGTAATAATAATAATAATAATTATTATTATTATTATTATAACAACAACGACGACGACGATGATGATGATGGTTGTTGTTGTAACAACAACAACAACAACAACAATTTAAGAAGAAAATATAACAACAGTAATTATGTTAATATTAAGTCAATGATGATGATGATGATAATTGTTGATGTTGTTATTGTCGTAGTAAGTAGTAATAACTGTTAAAACAATTAATGGTACATTAGCGCTTAATTTACAAAATTGTTTTATGATATCACATCTGGCCATTACATCGATAGCTTTATGCAAGGTTTTCGTCCTCTTTTCTGTTGGTCATATTCAAGAAAATTTCACCGCAACAGTGCCATTTATTAACTAATTTTAGACGGTGGTTTTATGGTTTATAAGCACACACTGTTTTATTTGAAGTTGCTTTGCAGAGTTGTATATACAGTAAAATATAAGATATATAAGTTTTCATTCACATGCAGTACATGCAAACATTTATTTTGTCAAAAATTTTGAACTGTGAAGCTACTCCCAAAACTAAAGAAAGTCAATAAATTTGATAAAATACGATTATATTATATTCGTAACAATTTTCATATTCACACCGTGCTATAATCGACAGCGAAGACATATGGACATGTGAAAATAATGCAGCAGTTATAAACGCAGAATTTGTGCAAATATTTGAGCCGCGTCATGACAAAACCAACATAGTGGGTTTGCGACCAGCATGGATCCAGACCAGCCTGCGCCTCCGCGCAGTCTGATCAGGATCCATGCTGTTTGCTATCAGTTTCTCTACTTGTAATAGGGTTGGTAAGCGAACAGCATGGATCCTGATCAGACTGCGCGGATGCACAGGCTGGTCTTGATCCATGCTGATCGCAATTCCATTATGTTGGTTTTGTCGTGACGCGGCTCAATTATGGTTGAAAGGAGCACCACTGTAAATGAATCGGCTTCCTAAGGCATCCTATTTTAATGTAAAAGGAAAGTGTATAATTGTCAAGCCAGAGTTAGTCATTCTCAAGAATAATCTTGTGAATATATAACTGATCAAGTTTTTGCAACCTTAGACCCTTATTCATGTTTTATTTGTCAACTTAATTTACTGTGAAAATTAAATGGGTTCGTATACTTCTCCTGGTGTTCGTTTTGAACAATGTGGCGTAACTTTGCACGATTACCTGCATGGCGTATGGGAACGGTAAATCAGAACGAAAGATAATTTTGTTAAAAAAAATGATTGGTTTTATAAGACAAATGACTTACGTAACGAGTTTTTAACATAAGTTTCTTCCATCAATATGACTTTGATCTTTGACTCAAAAATCTTGGTTTCCTGTTGCTGTTCTGTTGTTGTTGCTGCTGCTATTATTATTGTTGATCTAGAGATATTTATAATCTCTTTAGGTGACAATTTTGTCATTTACACAATCAAACGGTAGTGTGTGATTTAAAAATGTAAATATAAACAAACTTTGACCAACGAACAAAAAAAAACAAACAAATAAAATAATCTTTGTTGTTTTATTAAATTTTAATAAGTTTAACTATTTAAAAACTCAGAGAGTTCATTTTGACGAGCTTTTACAGAATTAAAACAAACCAAATTAGTTATTTATTCACTACCCATGCACTTTCAACATTAAGTTTAAATATTGTTAATGTTTTTTTAGGATTTCTTATCGAAATATACTTTCAAAAAGAATAAAATTCACAATAAATGAAAAGAAGTGTGTATAATATTAAAATAAAATGAATGAATGAATGAATAAATGAATAAATGAATAAATGAACGAACGAACGAATAAACGAACGAACAAACGAATAAACGAACGAACGAATTAATAAATGTAAAAATGAACCAGTTTATTAATGATTCAATAAATAAATAAATAAATAAATAAATAAATAAACGTTGTAGTAGTAGTTTTTTTATTGAATGAATTCAATTATTTCAAAACTCGTTTAAACTGTTTCAAGACTAAAAAAAATGACCAGCTTCTCTTGTATCTTCTTTCAACAATCTAAACTATTTACATGCATATACGTTTTGTAAACTTTTTCAATGTATTTCTATAATCTTTATTATCGAAATATACTTTAATGAATGAAATGTGCTTTTTTAAAAGTATATAAATGTCTTCAAAACTCATGTGTTTCTACACTAACAAATTGAAACATTTGGTCACAAGATGACAATGGGCTATTACGATAGATAATTGATGTATTGATGTCATAGTGTAGAACAATTAGTAACCTGTCCCCCCATTACTGTATCATCATCCGTCACTGTATCGCATATGATAGTGACACATTCTTTACTTACCCATCATATCGTGAAACTTCGTGAATTTCCGTAAATTTCTGTAAGCCATTGTCTTCATTCGGTACCATTCAGCCCATGCTCGGTAACCCAGGCTATTTACCGTATTCCAGTTAATATTAAATATATAGTATATACGGAATGTGTACCGTGGGTTGCGAGGATGCCTGCAGCCATTCTTTTACTAAGAAGTAAATAATAGTTCACACGTACTTGACCGGAGTTTGACGGAAAAGACAGTGTTCAATTATTCTTGTATTTTCATGTATTAATTCAGTAAAAGTGATTGGGTTTATTTTGTCTGAATTATGGTCTTAATTTAAATTACAATGAGATACACACGTTTAATTTCTAGTTCTAGACACAATCCTTTTGTCAGTCTATGCAATATACGCTTTCTTGATTTATCATTGGTTTGGAGATATGAGTATATAACATCTGATTTAATAAATGAAACAATCAAATCAGTACCGATAACTATTTAATTATCTAACTGTGTGGCGGTCATAAAACTCCTCCCCGTAGATTTTTTTTTTTGAAAACAGATATCCTTGAATATTTTTAGCACAACATTCTTTAAAGTACTTTTAGGTTTTTCGATTCCCTCAATTTCTAAATTGGTGGTCGGTTGCTGTTTATCCAGTGTAAAGTCTTACATATAATGGGAAGTTCCATTTTGTTAATTTTCGTCAATTCTTTTCTCTTTTTTGGGTACAAACAATTATAAACTAGTAGTAAGGGATGTATGGGATTGCCCTTTTCATAAAGAATGACATATAATTTCGCACTCAAGATGTGATGATTTTGAGCTCCGCCATATTAATGCATTTTCATAATTATTTATGCATAGAGATCTGCTGGAGTCGGTGCCTGGTGGGGTTGGGGTGGGTGTGTAGGGGTTGCCGTGTTGAACGGACGAATAAAGGTTCCCGTCTCGACAATTTTCTTTTAGACTTTATCCATAAATCATATTACGACCATATTGCTTTTGGATCCACATATGTTTTCTTTTATACCTTACATTATTTACCTCATTATTTACCAAACAATTTGATAGCAATATCGTCATTGCCTCGGCTGTTGAGTAAAAGTTTGATTATTTTGTATTTGCTAGCATTTATCGCCATGACAATCTTTCTACTGAAGACAATTATAGGTAGTAACTAGTAGGATTTAGACTTAAATTTTGATACACATGTGCAGGAAAATGTAAAATTTCGAAAACCCTATGACCATTATAGTGCTAATGTGTAATTTAACCAAAATTAAAACCAACAAAGCAACAGCCACGACATCAAAACAACAGCAAGAACAACAACAACAACAACAACAAACAACAACTACTACTATCAAAACAACAAACAGCCCAAAAACCCCACAAAATAACAACCAACAAACAACAACAACAACAAAACAAATAATTGAAAAGATACAACGGCACGGAATATAACGCATATCACTCTATTGTTTTTTTCCCCAAAAAGTGTTTTCTCTGGCATTATACATATTCATAGCTGTACAAGGCACGAGAAATGTTGCGTCAACATCGTGCTGGTTTTTTTTTCTCTACATGAGGCTTCTGTTTTGACGATTTTACGCCTATTTTTCACATTTTTTACAAAATTACTTGGAAATTGGTAGTTATTATATACGTAACGTGCGTAATTTACGTTACGTAATCAAGCAGCCATATATTTCAGTATATATATATATTTCTCATTTGCGTTTTAAAAATTATTTTATATTGTAAAAATGAAAGAAAAAAGTCATTTTGTTTTATTCTTTTGATCATATCATATTTTGATGTAAAATAACACATCAGTGATCATTTCGTAAAATCACAAATCTAAAATTACGATGGACATATCGATTACTTGAGTTGTAAACTTTTGTTAGCAGTTAATGTACAATATGTGATAATTTGAGGTTGCCATGGAAACAAGGTAAACGAAAAGTTTCCAGAAACAAACCCGTTTTGATAATATAATAGATTTTTAGGGAATAAAAACAACTGAATTATTACAGAAAAATATATAAAAGAATAAAAGTGAGTATTATTTTATATTTCATTTTGTAAATTTTGTAGTTCGCGCAAATGTTCATTTTGGCGCACCTTATATTCTTATCGGAAAAAAATTAGCGAAGAAACTGTAGCATTGTTATGTCACTTATTTTGCAAGTAAATTATATATAAAACGTTATTCAAACATAAAGTAAAGTTTAAATTTGATTATAATGAAGTCAATTCCGTGAGCTTGCCAACAAGTATACTTTGAGAACATTGTTTTTATGTGTTTTGTTAATATATGTATCAATTACATGTATATACAAAGTTCCTCAATAAATTAATAAATAGAGGATATTTGTTTGTTTCAGTGTAAGATCGAAAAATATTTCACCGAGTGAACACCAGATGCAATATTTTCCACGAGTGGCGTAGCCACGAGTGAAAATATAATAGCTGGGGTTCACGAGTGAAATATTATTTGATCTTACATGTAAAACAAACAAATTTTCTGTTTATTTCATGATTTTTTAACGATTTTTACACCATTTTACTGATTTTTGCCGCGTAACGTCATGCTCTTATCTTCATGACGTCATCAAATAATGACGTCACAATGTTGAAGCAAAATATAATTCCATGATTATTTTTAGATTTTAGATGTTTTTCAGCACAACGTTCGTAAATATTTACGAACTACAGTTATCACGTACATTTTTTATTATGATTGACTACATTTCCTCTGAAAAAAGCATTCATTAATGATAAATATTTTATTTTTACGCCATATATAGTTCGGCTACTGTGAAATTATATTTGGTAATCATTACTGTGAAATTATCAGAATATAATCAACCGTTATAATTCAGTAATCTACTGCAAAACATGTAATAATAAGAAGTAATTTTAATGTTTATATTTCTAAATTAAAATTTTTAGGGAAAAGAAAAAAATATGAAAAAGATACCTTAAAAATGCAACAGACTTCTGAATCCCTGCTATTTTTTTTATAAACATTTAGAAAGTGTTTTAGATATAGTTAAAAAGGTTTTTATATCATTATCAAGTTAAAGGGACTCCACTGAGGTTTTTTGACATGATGGGACTGAACATATTTTTTCCAGATAAATGTATCATTTGATGAAGGTTTAGACCACTAATCTTTGTGCAAAATTTCAGATCATTCGCGCAATTTGTTTCTTCAGAAAAAATTGTTATTCAAATAGTAAAAATATGACCCAAAATGAAAAGCGTTTAAACGCTTTTAACTCAAATCGGGCTAACAAAAGCATAAAAATACGATTTTCATTATTTTTTTCAAGTATATCTCTTAACTATCTTTCCAGATATTTCTGTTTAAAGTGCCCCTAGTATGAATCTGAAGGCATGCTGCATTAAACAATAATGCACGAATACAATAAGTTTTAGATATATATGAAATGTTCATTTTGTTGTTATGCTGAGCCGTATATTTGGCTGGTATTGTTTACGAATACCTTTTAAAGTGACATTATGACCATCCAAGTGAAAATAGCGAGTGCGCAGGTAAACGTTTTACAACTTTACATTATGCTATGATTGTTTTCAGTTTTATATTCTATATTTTGCCTAAATAATGAATAAAGTGTGTAATGTGCTCATTGCCACTTGTAACAATAGGGGCTAATTTTGCATATTTTTTCTTATTTTTTATTACTTTTGTACTTTATGTACATTGATTACTTAATTATTTAACAAAACTCCCACTATCATTCGAACATGACACAAAAGTAAGAGGCATGGAACTGTACCGCGTGAGAGATATATCAAACAAACATGATATATCAAAATTTACAGGATATGTCTAACATACAATATGAATACAGTGACATGTTGAAAGTGTATATAGCTGTTTATCTGCTGCATGCAGTTTACTTTTTTTATTTTGGAATTTCAAAAAGAAAGATTCTTGAAAGAAAAGTGTTCGTATGTATCCGTAAGAGCGAATGGGTCATGCACGAAAGCATTGCTAATCTTTTTAAATCCTAGATAAAATATTGCAACATAGCATTATGTGCAATAGCAAGGCTTGTTTAGTAAAAGAGTCATTCTATGTGACAACGTAACTTTTATATGCCTTTTATAACAAACATATTGCAAAAAACCTTTATAAACACTTTTTATGTGCTTTTAATATGATATAACTAAAGAGTAAAAAGCTCTTACAAATGAAATAGTTTTATAAAATTTATAAACGTGAAACATGATGTTGTTTCTTTAATATTACCATCTATTTTTTAAAGAGAATACAATGTCTCTGTTACTTAACACGCCTGGCTAATGGTTCCAGTTTCTATTGGGTCCTTTGCGCCCAATTTGTTTGTTTTTTGTTTGGTTTTACGGCGTATCAACACAGTTTAGGTCAAAAACAGGAAACAGGAAAGATGATTTCGGCTAACTTCGGATATTACAAACTTTAAGCAACGCGAGGGGTCAAAACCCTTTGCGAGCTGGTAATAATTCACGAACATCTGACAGCGAACTGTCTGGAGAATATGCAAAACGAAACTGTTTATAGATCGATAAAAATAAGGTATCTGTGGTTCAAGGGAAATCGATAACAAGAACTTGTTTGTATCGATTATTTTTCAAGTTATTATATGGTGCCATTGACAGTTGATTGTACTGCTAACAAGTTGCTCGTGCTTCAGATGGAATAATTTACACGAGACACCTTGGGTGGTATTCCTGAAGAAAGAGACCTGGTCCTAAGGTTGAAAAGAAATTCTCCAAACTCAAAGTCAGATCTCAGGTATTTGATTGGTCAGAAACAGTGTACAGAATGTCCACTGCCCAGTGAAAATCCTTAGATTTGAGACAGAACTCAGACAGATTAATTTAAAAACTCGAGGCCAGGAAAGAGCCACTTTATTCAGTATATCCAAGTTAGTATCAGAATAACCCTAAATAATCAATAAATAAATATCATTATTCAGTATAATATATAGAGGTATGATAAACCCTCGAATGCTTATTGTAAACCCCTCTGAAGATAGACTGATAATTGTATAGAACCAAATGGCATTTGTTTCTGATTTCGAACAACGAAGTCGTTACAGCCTTGAGTCCGAATCTCGCAAGTTACTTTGGGGAAGACGCCACCTGACCACCAGTGACTTAAAAGACAAGTCAAATTAATATTTAGTTGGAAGTTTAGAAGACCCTAGGAGATCCAAACAAAGTAGAAATAATTATACTTATATTTAATGAAACATATCATTTCATTTCAGCATCAAAATGCCTTGGTGGTTAAAGAGTAAGGGTACTATACACCCGAGCAAGATGCAGACGTCAATGTCGAGTTCGATGGCGTCATTATCTCCGTCACAACTTAACGCAGCCATTATGGACATGCTCAATGTTAACAATACCGGAAATCGATGTCAAAATGCATGCCGAGGTATTTATTTATAATAAACATCATCGTTTTGCTTGCATAATAACTCAGGGCACCAACAGATAATTGTTACATTAGTAATATAATTGCAAACTTTAAATTAAACCGACCTCGTAGTCAAATAACAAAAAAAATCATGTTCCCTTTCCTGCTCCTTTTGCGTGAAATGATGAACACTCATTTACGCTACTATAAATAGCCCATGTATGTTACTATATATAGAAAGATGTAGCACTTGCACGGTTTTCTCTATTTTAGTACACTGACGTCACTTGTTACTATTTAAAGTAACATTTTTGTTTCATTCTGCAGGAGATCCTATAACAACAGCCGGGCAACGTAACCAGATGATTAAGATGCTTGCAATTATTCTAATTCCGGTGTTGATTTTGGTTGGTCTGACAGGCAACTCGTTTGGCACAACGCTGAACAATTACCTCTACTCGAACACCATACGTTCAACGCTTCTGTTCAGGTTTGTTTATCTAAAATTAAAAAATTGTGTAATGGAATATTACCATCTAAATTTAATCAAGCCATGTTGTCGCCAGAACATGGCACCACAAGGCCAAGAATATTAATACATAATGTCTGTCAGTTGAAAATTCTGTCCCGATTCTTCCAATCAGTGGTCAAGGCAATGCATTGTCCTGAAAACAATTCTAAGTGCAACGTGGAAGCAAACGTAGCATTGCCCTTTGATGTTATAAGTTTAATATTACTCTTTATTATGATAAAACCAAAAGTGTAGTTAGAGAATGATTATTCTAGAAAATTGAAGGTTATGACAAGCTCAAATGTATAGCAATCTCTTTCCCGCCAATTTATCTATCATCTGCATATTTCGCGAATACTCAATCAAATAACCAAACTTTCCCGCCTTTCAATCAGCGTGGATATCAGTCATCAAATAAAGCAAGTGGTAAGCAATCTGCGTCATGACAAAACAAACATAATGGGTTGGCGACCAGCATGGATTCAGACCAGCCTGCGCCTTCGCGCAGTCTGATCAGGATCCATGTTGTTCGCTTACAAACCCTATAACAAGAAGAGAAACTGATAGCAAACAGCATTGATCCTGATCAGACTGCGCGGATGCGCAGGCTGGGGTGGATCTATGCTGTTCGCAGGCTGGTCTGGATCTATGCTGTTCCCAAACCCATTATGTTGGTTTTGTCATGACACGGCTCATTTTTATTTTTTTTTGTGTATTATTTGGTTTGAAATATTTTCAGTTTGGATATGGCATACATGATACGTGCTCTTCAGCGCGAGCGAGATGGCAGTGCCCTCTATCTGAGTTCAATCAGACCGGAAACGAAGGGATTTCTGCTTGAGCGTTACCAGGATACAGACGAAGCAGTGCAGACCTTGCCTTTTGGGGCCAAACGTCACTCAGGGAGTTCGAGTTTTCCCAATTCGTTTCCCAAATGAAACATTTTAAAAAAACCCCAAAAGGGATAGGTAGGAGAATTTATTTCAAATGTAAAAAACTCAACAAAATTTTAATTTTTACATCAAAAAACTTATTTCACAGTAATGTCATATTTCCATGTGACTTGTATTAAAATTGTCAAAATTGACATATTTTAGTCATACACCTAAACAACAATGTTTTTATGCAAAATGGTTAAAATCAGTAGATTTTTAGGTGAAACCGAACAACATTTTCTCATTTCTGCAAAAAGCCACAATATTCCATTAAAATGCGTGCTTACGTTTGAAACAATCATCATTTTCTAAATGTTCTTGTTTGTTGAACAAAATGCGTTACAAAGTAAAGGTAGTTTTAATGTTAAAATTGAGCAATACAAATTTTAACTGAAACATAAAAAATCTAGAGTGTAACACCATTTATCGCGATTTAAATGATCACATGGCCGACCTAAGATCTACGTTTTGATAACTAACTCTGATTTGTTTGAATATGTTGCTGTTTTATTGTGTCATTCAGCAAAAACTATCTAAAATTAATATTACAGTTCATGACACTTTTTGTACTGTAAGTTCATTATTTTCCTTCTTGTTTCAAAGGGTGAACCGTAAACTAAAGGGGGCACAGTATATTTTAATTCTCAGTAACATTTGTTTCTACATTGTAAAAATATTTTAACCTCTGCAAAATTAACCGCTTTTCAAAATACAACAGTATCAATTCTTCTCAATCATAAGACCTCACTTCAGCAATACCCTTTCATCAACATCCAGTATCTTCTCTCAAAAATTATATTGCTGTGCAGAAGCTGTATAGTATCAAAATTTTCACAGCATTTTGCGAAGGAGTCAATTTCTTTTGTCCAACAATATGACAACATCTTTTAAATTGATTAGTCTACAGTGGCTACATTTTTCATTTTTATTTTTATTTTTGATGAAAACAATAGAAACGTTTTATTTGGACACATTTAAATAAATACTTTGTTTGGAAAAACAATGTTGAAAGAGTTCTTAGTCATTAAGCATGAATATTTTGCGAAGGAGTCAATTTTCTTTCGTCACAGGAGACCGTTTCAAATGCATTAGGCATTATTCCTCAGTAAAAATTTGCTACCGTTAAGACATATTCATTACAATATATTTTCAAAAAATTTTGCTCATTAGCAAACTGCCTGAAGAATGTTTGTTTTATCTGTTTGATGAATTGCATTGTCGTCTGCTTTTTTTTTTAAAAAGTGGTCACGAGATATTGTCACACGTGACATTCTTATCGATTGACAATCCTATTAGACATTTTTTACATGATAGTCCACGATCAAATGTTTTTTGTGTGTTCGATGTGAAGTGCAATGATGTAAACATAAGGTCAATGATATTTCAACTTCAAAAGATGTTGACCGATGATTAAAAACATATGATTCAATGTTGTTGTTTTTCATTCCGCTTGGATATTTTCTGTAACAATTCGATCTTTAGACCTTCCTTACAAAAATTACATAAACCATGAACAAAATTAATCATGAAAATAAACACATTTTTGTTATAACGCAAATGTAAACATCGCATTTTCTTACATGATGTAAACAATGATTATGAAACATATGATTCAATGTTGTTGTTTTTCATTCCGCTTGGATATTTACTGTTACAATTCGAAACTTTAGACCTTCCTTAGAAAAATTACATAAACCATGAACAAATTAATCATGAAAATAAGCATATTTTATGTTATTACGATTATATTAACACCGTATATTACACGATGAAAACATTTGTAAAAATATCAACAAAACAATATCCTTTTTTCTGAACAATCATACACACATTTAAATATTAATTGGACTGCCAAATTCAAGAATCGATCATATTAGATAGGAAGTAAAATAAGGCCAAAGGTGGACACTTAAAACATTGTCTAATACGGCCAGTAATACTTGCTCAGTTTGATAAAGCCTTAGCCTAGTTTATATTGGTGAATGTATGATACTGTGTACTCCCTAGCACCGGCCTTTGTAAAATTCAAAATTTAAACACGTTACACCAACAATTAACTCCCTTTTCGTGTAAACTCTTTCATGACTTGATGTAAATGTATTTTTGTAGACTAACCAAAGTGAATGGAGGACAGTGAAATGGAAACTGTACATATATATACTCACATCTAATTATTGTATATTTTCCTTATTCAATATAGATATGAACTTGACACCCTTCAAGTGACATTTCACGACGAATTGATCACATATTCCGACTGGATTGAAGTTTTTATAAAGTGGTTTTATAAGTCAATTACGGAGGCACGTGCAGAAAAAGTAAGTAAATAAGTTGTATGTGAGAAGTTAGCAGTGAACAGTGAGCTAAGCAAAAAGGCATTTCAATTTATATAGGGAAGGTAATGATCTGCTGTAATGCTCAGCTGTTTTGGGCATCTAGCAGGGCATTCCTAAATATAGTGTAAAAATGCTCTGCTGCAATACTCAGCTGTCTTGGCAATCTAGCAGAGCATTCCTACCTTTAGTGAAAAAATGCTCTGCTGGAACGCTCAGCTGGCTAGGCAATCTAGCAGTGCATTACTAAATATAGTGTTAAAATGCTCTGCTGGAATGCTCAGCTGGCTAGCTAAGCTGGCTAGGCAATCTAGCAGGGCATTACTAAATATAGTGAGAAAATGCTCTGCTCGAATGCTAAGCTGGCTAGGCAATCTAGCAGGGCATTACTAAATATAGTGTAAAAATGCTCTGCTGGAATGCTAAGCTGGCTAGGCAATCTAGCAGGACATTACTAAATATAGTGTACAAATGCTATTCTGGAATGCTAAGCTGGCTAGGCAATCTAGCAGGACATTACTAAATATAGTGTAAAAATGCTCTGCTGGAATGCTAAGCTGGCTAGGCAATCTAGCAGGGCATTCCTAAATATAGTGAAAAAATGCTCTGCTGGAATGCTAAGCTGGCTAGGCAATCTAGCAGGGCATTACTAAATATAGTGTAAAAAGCTCTGCTGGAATGCTAAGCTGGGTAGGCAATCTAGCAGGACATTGCTAAATACAGTGTAAAAATGCTCTGCTGGAATGCTAAGCTGGCTAGGCAATCTAGCAGAGCATTACTAAATATAGTGAACAAATGCTTTTCTGGAATGCTAAGCTGGCTGGGCAATCTAGCAGGGCATTACTAAATATAGTGTAAAAATGCTCTGCTCGAATGCTAAACTAGCTAGGCAATCTAGCAGGGCATTTCTAAATATAGTGTAAAAATGCTCTGGTGGAATGCTAAGCTGCTAGGCAATCTAGCAGAGCATTACGAAATATAGTGTAAAAATGCTCTGCTGGAATGTAAGCTGGCCTGGCAATCTAGCAGGGCTTTACTAAATAAAGTGTTAAAATGCTCTGCAGGAATGCTCAGCTGGCTAGGCACTATAGCAGAGCATTCCTTAATATAGTGAAAAAATGCTCTGGTGGAATGCTCAGCTGGCTAGGCAATCTAGCAGAGCATTACTAGATATAGTGTAAAAATGCTCTGCTGGAATGCTCAGCTGGCTAGGCACTATAGCAGAGCATTCCTTAATATAGTGAAAAAATGCTCTGGTGGAATGCTCAGCTGGCTAGGCAATCTAGCAGGGCATTCCGAAATATAGTTAAAAAATGCTCTGGTGGAATGCTCAGTTGGCAGACTGATTCTGAGTTCCAGGATTTATTGTTGCCAAAGTTTTATTGACATTTTCGACTTCTAGGCAATTCTGAGGCACTCGCAGACTTTCAGGAATTTTCGGTGCCAATAGAAATAATGATACTTTTGACTTCTAAGGACCTTTAAGAGACTATTTCAGTGTCCTGCGACTTTTTGAAGGACACCCCCAGACTTTCAGGAATTTTGGTGCCAATGCTGATATTGACAATTTAGACTTCTAGGGACCCTCAAGAGTCCATTTTGGTCGTCTTCGACTGATTCTTGGACACTCGCAGACTTTCAGGAATGGTTGGTGCAAATGGAAATAATCATATTTTTGACTTCTAGGGACCTTTAAGAGTCCATTTCATTGGCCTGCAGCGTATTGTTGGACACTCGCAGACTTTCAGGAAAGTTTGGTGCCAATAGAGATGATGGCATTTTTACTTCTAGGGACCCGCCAGTGTCCATTTTTATGGTCTGCGACTGATTCTGGGACATTTGCAGACTTTCAGGAATCTCTGGTGCCAAAGGAGATAATGACATTTTTGACTTCTAGCGACCCACCAGAGTTCATTTCGCTGGTCTGCGACTGATTTTGGGACACTTGCAGACTTTCAGGAATTTTGATGCCAATGGAGATAATGACATTTCTGACTTTAAGGGAACCGCCAGAGTACATTTCTTGGGTCTGCGACTGATTCCTTGAGACTCGCAGACTTTCAGGATGTTTAGTGCTATTGCAGATCATGACTTTTTTACTTTTAAGGACCCCTTAGTCATAAGCAGAGCATTTTTACCCTAAAATGTCATTATCTGCATTTGCACCAAAAATTCCCGAAAGTCTGCAAGTGCCCAATAATCAGTCGCAGACCAACGAAATAGACTCTGGATGGTCAAAAATGTCATAAATCTAATTATCTCTATTGGCAATAACAATTCCTGAAAGTCTGTGACTGTCCAAGATTATGTCGCAGACCAAAAAAATGGATCCTGGATGGTCCCTAGAAGTAAATAATGTCATTATCTGCCTTGACATCAAAAATTCCTGAAAGTCTGTGAGTGCCTCAGAATCAGTCGTAGACCAAAAAAAATGGATTCAGAAAGGTCCCAATAAATCAGAAATATAATTTTCTGCATTGACACCAAAATTCCTGAAAGTCTGCGAGTGACTCAGAATCAGTCGCAGACCAACGAAATAGACTCAGGAGGGTCCTTTTGAAGTAAAAATGTCATTATCTCCATTGACGCCAAAAATTTCTGAAAGTCTGCGAGTGTTCCAGAAACATTCGCAGACCAACGAAATGGACTCTGGATGGTCCTAAAAATTCACAAATGTCATTATCTGCATTAACACCAAAAATTCCTGAAAGTCTGCGATCGTCCCAGTATCAGTCGAAGACCAAAGAAATAGACACTTGTCATTATCAGCATTGGCACTATATATTTCAGAAAGTCTACGAGTGCCAATTAATCAGTTGCAGACCAACGAAATTTATACTTTATTTAAGGATGCCCTGCTAGTTTGCCTAGACAGCTCAGAATTCCGGCAGAACATTTGTGCACTAATTTCAGAATGCTTTGCTGGATTGCCTAGCCAGCTGAGCATTTTTAACACTATATTTTGGAATGCCCTGCTAGATTGCTTAGCTAGCTGAGCATACCAGCAGAGCATTTTTCGCACTATATTTTGGAACTCTCTGTTAGATTGCTTAGCCAGCTGAGCTTGCCAGCAGAACATTTTTACACTATATTTAGGAATGCTCTACTGGATTGCCTAGCCAGCTGAGCATTTTTAACACTATATTTAGAAATGCCCTTCTAGATTGCCTAGCCAGCTGAGCAATTCAGCAGAGCATTTTTCGCACTATATTTTGGAATGTCCCGCTAGATTGCTTAGCCAGCTGAGCATAACAGCTAAGCATTTTTACACTATATTATGGAATGCCCTGCTAGATTGCCTAGCCAGCTGACCACACCAGCAGATCATGTTTACACTATATTTTGGAATGCCCTGCTAGATTGCTTACCAAGCTGAGCATAACAGCAGAGCATTTTTACACTATATTTTAAAATGTCCCGATCGATTGCTTAACCTGCTGAGCATAACAGCATAGCATTTTTACACTATATTTTGGAATGCCCCGCTAGATTGCTTAGCCAGCTGAGCATAACAGCAGAGCATTTTTACACTATATTTTGGAATGCCCCGCTAGATTGCTTAGCCAGCTGAGCATAACAGCAGAGCATTTTTACACTATATTTTGGAATGCCCCGCTAGATTGCTTAGCCAGCTGAGCATAACAGGAGAGCTTTTTACACTATATTTTGGAATGCCCAGCTAGATTGCTTAGCCAGCTGAGTATAACAGCAGAGTATTTTTTACACCATATTTAGGAATGCCCTGCTAGATTGCCTAGCTAGCTGAGCATACCAGCAGAGCATTTTTACGCTATATTTTGGAACGCCCCGCTAGATTGCCTAGCCAGCTGAGCATACCAGCAGAGCATTTTTACACTATATTTAGTAATGGCCTCCTAGATTGCTTACCCAGCTGAGCATACCAGCAAAGCATTTCTACACTTTATTTTGGAATGCTCTGCTATATTGCTTACCCAGCTGAGCATAACTGCAGGTCATTGATTTCCCTATATAAATCGTAATGCCTTTTTGCTTAGCTCACTGTTAACTGCTAACTTCTCACATACAAATAAGTTACAGTTTTCGTGACATGTTACTTAGTACTTTTTTGTGGTGGTCAATGGTTGTCCATAGTAATTTTGAAATCGATGAAGCTAGTATATGCAAATTATTATTTGGCAAATAATAAAGGCCCATTATGCCTCGAAATCTTATCATTTTAGATTCTCAAAGACTGTTGTTGTTTTTTTGTATTTCGTTACAGTTTCCAAGAATATACTCATTTGCTATATAAATGAACTATCTTTTGCATCTTTATCTCTGCAGGCAATTAGTATAATTGTAGAGAATAAGTATTTTGTATGGAAGTAGAAATACTACTTTATTTACATTTCGCTACCTATATGACATATAACTGCATGTTTAGCGCTACTTTCTTCAGTTGTTTAACATATAACATGCTCTAAATCAATTATTAAAACATTACTAAACACATGTTATATAGATAGTTAAGTATGGATTTCTGAGGCACTATAAGCCTTTAACGAATAAGCTTTGACAAAGAAAACTTTATTTTGCTAGCACGATAAATGTCTTATGTACTTGCTTTAAAGTATAGACATTTTATGAGAATTTTGAAATAATTAAGAAATAACCGATATCTAATTGGGAAGAAATTGGAACACCACTATCTTTGATTTCTTTACCTATGTATTAATTTCAATTTGAATTTGAATAATGTTATTTCCACTGGTTATACTCACAGTCTATTTATTCTTATTTATCATGTTAGGTGTGGAAAGCCTTTGTGGCATATCAGGAGTTGCTTGTTGCATCGGAATACCTCGGCAGAGAACGGGCCATGGGTGTTATCTTTTATACCCTCGGGGAATTCCCGACCAGGGAGGAATACCTTTACTTCGTTGAAAGTCAGGACACGTCGAACGCTTCCTTTGCTGCTGCAAGACAATACTCTCAGATCGCCAAGGAAATTTATGATGCGAAAATTAAAGAAAATCCCGAAATCATGAAAACAATAAAGAACAAACGAGCGGAAATCAGATCCCGAAATACTGGAGCAGACGACAATACAATGGGTTCCCTTGACGAGGCCAAATACTGGTTTGAAAACATGACGTATTTCCAGGTACATATGTTACTTATATCGTACTATTTCATATTCGGCAATTACATTTTTGATAACTTACGGATTTCAAAAGACAAAAATTCAACTGATTTCATTTTAAACAAAACACTGTGACTTCTTAGTTCTTTTACAGGGTATAAAGCCATATTTAAATTTAATGAAATATTTCTTAATAATTTTGTTACCAGTAGAAGTATATTGTTTCTATGATAATATTATTGTGATCGAATCTCGAAAGAAAGAGAGGTAACACATAGAACACCCTCAAAACCAAGAAAATTAGTGCTGCACGAAATATTAAAAAAAATATTGTTAGAAAAACACTTTTTTTTCAGGACATAATTAAGGAAGCACAAGTTTCATTAGCGTTGACCATAGACGGCTTGCTAGAGGCACGGCAAAAAACGGACCTTACCAATATCGTTATCATCTGCATCATCTTCAGCGCCGTCCTCATCTTGTGCCCTATAATTATATATGCGGTGTACAGTCTCACGGTTGAAATTCAACGATGTTCTATACATATAGCAGACAGGTATGTATGAATTCAACATGATCATTGCCACCCGAAACGGATGGCTGCATTGAACTTCTTTATTGAAAAGGTGACAAACGGCAACTCAATTTAAAGTAATCTAGTACGGTCTGCCTCTTTGTCTGCCTGTCTGACAAAACCTGAACTAAAACAAATCAAACAAACCACAGAAATGATAAAAAAAAACACAAAAACACACTCACACACAAAAACCCCCATAAAAACTACAGCAACTCCCCCACACACACCAGAAAAAAAACAATGTACAATGCTTGAATTCTACTCTAAGGCTTAAGTACGCGCTTTATGAACAGAGATCATGAGCAATTATCGGTTGAACAATAACATGTTAATAGACGTGACGTCAATTAACTTACATAACTTACATAAGCTAACTTACTTTAGCTTACATAACGCATATTTATTCACGTTTAGTATAGTGAAATTTGATAATTGAAATTTCTATTCATTTACGAGTCATATAATGCAGAACATTTGACATTAAGAGTCCATGTTGTAATTAAACTTACATAAATTGAATTGAATAATAACATAAAACATCCTTTATTACTATTTAGATAGTGTCATCTTCCCTGGAGATGTACTTCCTATGTCTCATATAAAAGAAAGAAGGGTAGGACTGAAAATAAATAAGATGACATGTATACTCTTTATTTCAAATAAGCATAATTAGTTTGATAGATATGAATTAAATACATGTATATTAAACACTAGTCATTATAAGATTCACATGACAGTCTTTAATAAGTGAAAACAGCGAAAGTTAAGTCCATATATTAATTAAACCATAATTAAAAAACAAAAATGAAGAAAAAAAGAAACTACAACAAAAACAAAAGAAGAACACAATGCAATCATCTCAAATAAGAAAAAAGGGATGAAATTATGGTGGAATATCCTGTAAGCCTGAACATTGAATGCCAATGTCATTTATCGGTCAGAGTCATAGTTCAGTACACTAAAAAGAGTAACTGTTTGAAGACAGACATTTGAAATACTATTTGAATGAAGACGTTAAGGCAATTGTTTAAGTTGTCACACAGACAAACAAATAGACAGACAGATAGATCATGTAGATAGAAAGAGCAAGTCAAAGTCTTGTCGTCGCCGCAATTTTGGATGTTATGCTTCAGTCACACTACACCGCATAGCGTTAACGGACGCCAAACGCAAAGAAAAATGCAGCTGAAAGTTATCCGGTGATGCAAAGCATTTTCCGCTGCTGCTCGGTGCTCTCATGATCGCTGTACGGGGCGCATAAAACGTACAAAACGCACAATGACCGAACGATCAACGCACATATACCGGATGAACGACGTACAAATAACGGACATCACCTTACTAGTAACGGATTTGTACCGCACAAAACGTACACGGAGCGAATGAAGAACTGACAAAACGTTCTTTGAAGGTTCGACGAGCGTATTTCTACCGGTCACGTGACGGACAAAACTGGTATAAATAGTCCGATATTTTTTTCGTTTCGTCATAATAGTTTCCACGCTCTCAAAGATCACAAACGTGATCCAAAATGCCAAAAGCCAAGGCTACTAATGCCAGGGGACGGAGGAATACTCCAAGGTCACCCTCTCCTCCCCCTGATAATGAACAAGAAACCATTGAAGTTACTGAGGAAGAAACTCCGTCTGTAAAAATGGCACATCCTGCGTGTCGTGTGGCAGGGGTTCGGGGTCCGGCAGGTCAAGTTCCCGTCCTCAGTTGCAGCTTTAAGACCGGACTTGTTCCACAACTGAGCATCAGATGCAGCACCGCGGCCTCTGATGTCGGCCCAAAAGAACTTGTAACTTCGTAGTCAACGAGGGCCAGCAGGACAATGGAGTATTGAAATATGTGGACCCGGAACTAGGTTGACACTTACAGGCAATATGCTTGCCATCCAACGCACCCAAAGTGTGAGGAAAGTTCCATTTTTCCAAGAAGCCATCTGAAATGCGTTTCCAGTCAGCAGCTGTTGTTGGCAAAGGCATGACCTCGTCCACATACTCGTCCATAATTGCTCTGCACACCTGAAAATGTAAATAAAAATGCGATTTTAAAAGAAGAAATAATCATGTAAGCAAATAAAAACCGAATGTTGGAATAAATTGACCCTGACGCGAGATGTCTGAGTGAAACGGCTAACTTCATTCCAGGGTCAAGAGGTGTTCTGTATGTGGTATATTGTTTTGTTATTCTGGGACCCACTCGTTCAAGAATATCATCAAACATCTCAGGAGGCATCCTCATGAAGTTCGTAAATGACCGCTGGTCTTCTCTCCGCAGCTCCATCATAAGTTGATCGTAGAGACCAAACATTCGACGTCTCTCAGGACTCAGCCAAGCCTTTGACCACCACCTCCGCAGTCGCCTCCTTCTTCTCCTATTTTCATAAGCGACAATATCTACATTCGCATCCAACAGGTCAAGACGTGCCTGGATCACGGTCGCTTGATACTGCAGGCGGATATGTGGATCATTTACTCAAACCATCAAAGTTTCAGAAGGTCGTTAAACTTGAAATGCAGGAAAATATATGACAGTTATAACCAGGGAAACCTCGTTTTATTCATCATCAGTTTTGTGCGGTGGACCATCGATTCATGTCTGTTATTTATACGCCCCTTGTTCGTTATCGTCCGTTTAACATACGTTACATCCGCTGCATGTCCGTTAGTAGTCCTGCCGTGAATCAGGTCCACCGGACAAAACGGACTCGGACCTGCCAAGTACAGAATAAAGAACGTACGAGTAACGAACAAAACACATACCAGGGCATGGTTACCGTACATCTGACGGACAACTTTATCCGATGGTTTACGTGCCAAATTTTGAACAAACTTTTCTACGAACGGAACGAACACCGACGGACATCGCCGGACAAGAAGCGCAAACGCCGCATGATAAACGGAAAAGAAACGCATGCAAACGGACATGGACGGATTGAAAATTTTGTTATGCGTTGGACGTCCGTTAACGCTATACGGTGTAGTGTGACTGAAGCATTATTGGTACATGTATATAGTGTCTAAATATTTCTAAACTGTTTCACAACATGGTATCATTATAAAGAATAAAACATCTTGAATAATTTTCAATATTTTGTTATTTATACTTCAGAACAAAAGCTCTAAGCAAGGAGAAGAAACGGACGGACACACTCTTGTATCAGATGTTACCCCGCCAGGTGGCAGAACAATTGAAGCAGAACCAGGAAGTGACGACAGAGGAATTTGTGCACGCGACGATAATGTTCAGTGATATTGTTGGCTTTACACAGATTTCCTCAAGAAGTTCACCTCTCCAGGTACATGTAATATCCACAGAGATTAAAACATACCCATTTTTATTGGTACTTAGGTAACAGTGATGTATTTTTATTAGATGAAGGTAGGCGGGACCTGCGATGAAATGTTTCTTTATTGTATTGAATACAAATCTAATATTTTTTCAGAAATTACCTTTTATTGTTTACAACAACTTTCGGAATCTTTTAAAGGCACCTTATGCCTCAGAAACAAATATTTTTTCTTTCTTTAAAAAGGGCAAGCATGAGTTTTATAATGTTAAGATAAAGGTTTAAAGAATGTTAAATTCTTATCATCTGTCACTTGCCCCTCACCCCTGTGGGCTCGAATCCCGACAGGGACTTTTTTTTTTTCATGTGAGGAAGCTATCAAGTAAGTTTACGGAACATTAGTGGTTCTACTCGGGTACATGTACTCGTTCGTAACTGAAATAATGCAAGGAAGTGCACCTGAGGTCTTCCTCCACCAGTAAAGCTGGAACGTCGCCATATGACCTATAAGGTGTCGGTATGATGTAAACCCAATTAAGCAAACAAACTTAACACCTGGGGAAAATAACGCTGAATTTGAAATTATTTGACACAAAAAGTAACAAAAAATGCAAACAAACTAGTATTTTGACTTCCATGCAAGCTCTATAATAGTACTAATTGCCAATAACCAAACAGAAGCAAAGTACGATGAGTAACCTTTTGGAAACTATATAGCATATATATACTTTATTTCCCCCAGTTTTAAAGAGTACAATTTAATTTTCTATTTATAGATCGTTGAAATGTTGAACACCATTTATTCGTGTCTGGACGACAGGATAGAGCTATATGACGTATATAAAGTAGAAACGATTGGCGATGCTTATCTTGTTGTGTCAGGTAAATCTCATTTTTTTGAAACCTAATTCAAATAATCTTAAATGTTTTGACTGTTGAATATGACTGGCGTGAGCTTATCGGGAATAATCGGCGCAATCATCGTATATTTGAGCTTTCTTGGTATTTAAACATAATGTCCATTCTTTGGTACTTTTTTGTAAGTAATCTCAGAAATACTAAATATGGCTTCAGCCATTTATTTTTTGTTTCAGGCTCACGCATTTTTTCACTAAAAGGCAATACGTCGCTTTTCATTAAATGACACTAAGTCTTATGTGTGACATTGAAGATTCAATGATAACCGCCATATTAGCACAGCTTCAAATGTTTCTGAATTCAAAAATCTTACTACTGTATGTTAAATGTCGAATTTGTTTAAGCCGGGGTGTGGGGCATGGACAGTATCTTAGACCACCAGTCCCGTTCATATACAGACTAATTCAAACCGAGTAACATTTTCAATTTTGCTGGTTTGGACGTTCTTTAAAGATTTCCCTTTTCTATCATATAAATTACTTTTCTTTATTTTTATAAGACGTTACATAATTAAACAAAGTAAAAACATTCAATTTATCTAGGCGTTCCAAACCCAAACGGAAAACTGCACGCCTCTGAGATTGCCTCTCTTTCATTGGATATTCTGGAGCACGTGAACCGGATGGAGATTCCACACATACCCGGAACTTACGTCAGACTACGTATCGGCTGCCATAGTGGTCAGTACATGTACTACTTTTTTTCTAAGCATTCTAAAGTGTATTGACGAGTCATCTTTAACCACAACCAAAGAGTTTGTAACCTTCTAATCATAATCTGCAGATCACGGATTTTACATTTGCTTAGTCTTTGACGTAGAATTTCACCCTAAAAGGCGGCCTAAATTTGAAAAGTACCGATTGTTTCTCAAAACTGTCTTCAATAGCGTTTATCCAACTACATTTTATGGTTATTCTCGCTTACGAAAATAATTTCAAAAACTCAGCCAGTGGTACGCTATTAGAAAAACACGTTTTAAAGATGCATGCTATCAGATGAGCCAAAATTTTTCTAGAGAATCAAACTTGACAGAAATAAAAGTTTTGAAAAAAATTAAGAAAATTTAAAATCCAAAAAGTAATTTACACGTTATGTGCGATTAATGACTGATTTTGCAGTATTTATCACCTTATTTCTACTGCGTTACTAACGCAGTAAGGGCTACTTTTGCATATATGACCTCTTTCTGGTATTTAACATGGATTGTAAGTGCCCTTTTCAATGTACACTATACTTTCTTTGGTCACTTCGCAATATTTTACTTTGAAATACATTTTCAAAATTTTGATGAAAATTAGCATGAATATGGAGGTTTTGAACAACTATAGTTGGTCGTTCTACGCCCACTGTTTTTTTCTTACGTTATAAGTAATTATGCTTCATTCCTGCAGTTAATAACTTAACAAAGATTATTTAAAAACAAATTGAATTGCGTCTTTCCTCTCCAACCATCGAGACTAGAACTATGTAAACATTTTTTTTATCTCTTGGTCGAATCTTGAAAATTATGACAATTATTTCAGGTTCCGTGGTAGCAGGTGTGGTAGGAACTAAGATGCCACATTACTGTGTGTTCGGTGAAGCCGTCAATGTGGCGTCAAAAATGGAGGCTCTAGGAAAACGTATGTTTTTTGCGAAGTTTCTTATTTAATGTCATGAATATCAATGCATTTGTAACCATGCCAACAAAAGTAGAACTAGAAATATATTTTTAAAACTATATATCGAAACATATTTTGTCGAAACCGATTGGCTATATAGTGAATATGCATATGTGCTGTCGATTCGTTTATTCAGTTTTCTTTTCGCTTTTTGGTAATGGAAATCACTTACTCATGTTGTTATTATCAAACATTGAAAACAAATGCTTTTTAGTTGGGACGTAGTCCCAACTAGTGCACTTACAAACCCGAAATTTCCAACCATACAGGGTAACGCCCACTGCTGTGACGTTTCATAGCCACTCTATATGCTATATTGTATTCTAACATATCAACGTAAGCTGAATTCATAGTGATCACCCGACCATGACCGACGCATAACCGCCGCGAGTGAAAAATAGTGCTCTGAATTTCTGAAAACTTCGATTTATTGCGAACAGAAGAGGAGACAAGAAATTTATTTTTTGAAAATAATGTGCAATTGAGCTTGAATTACGGTATTAGAAACGTAGCGGATATAATTTGAAAGGTCACATAATTCTATGAATGGGACAGTAAATTAATTGGGTCATAGTGCTTGACGGCTTGCAATATTTAACTTACTCATCCGCCTTATCATCACATTTTTTTGTATTATATTCCAGAAATTTTTGAAAAAGACATTATTTATCGGATAAATTGTGTAGTTTATAATTGCAAAGTGGATATTGAAATAGAAATGTAGATCATCTATTCGTCTCTGAATTAGCCGATAATTAGGTTAAATGAATCCAACAACTTCCGGTATATTTTTTGACCTACTTCACGAGCATAATTATCAGCCTGTTAAGCTCATAAGGTAAGTTATAAAGCAAAATATGTTATGAATTTGATGAATAATAATATTAAGTTTATTTATTGATGCCAATTTGTTTCCGAGGACTAAAACTTTCGTAAAGAATTTCGAAGTAATTTGGAGATCTCGAGTCTTTCGTACCCAAGACATTTCGACCATACTTAGACTGCAAATCGACAGATTTTACAAATTGATATTACACAGATGTCTGCCTTTACAGGAAAACCGGCATATACGCCTACAATTTTTTTTGTCTTAATTGTCACGGCCGTTACGTCTCTACCAAATGGGGCACATTCTTAAATATTTCAGAATAATTTTATTTTGACCTTTATAAATTATTATATATATCTATTTAAAGTCTAGCCATTTCATTTTGGGTCATCTTTTTACAATTTGAATAATTATTCTGGAAAAACGAAGTGCGCAAATGATCTAAAGGTTTGTACAAAGATTAGTGTTCTAAACATTCATCAAATGGTACATTTATCTGGAAAAAATATTTCAGTCCCATCATGACAAAATACCTCAATGGAACCCCTTTAAATTGAATTACACTTTTTTTAAATGTATGGGTAAATTCCATTTTCAGTGGTTGAAATTTTTCCTCTTTTCTCATTAATCAAGCTATAGTTTCCCATTTATAAAGCCACAGGTTGTTTTGAAAGTTGAAAAAAAAATCACTGCCACCTTGATAATTGTTAACCTGAAAAATCTTCAGGCACTTAAAGGGATTTGAACCCCAGACCTCTTGATTACAAGGCAGACACACAACCATGTCGCGAAAATGTCAACACAACAGCAAGACTGTTGGAAATGATCTATACTTGTTCTCAATACATGGTTGAAGTAATTTATCAGTGTTAATTAGACATTTTATATGATTTAACAATTTTTGACACTACTGATATTCACATTTTTTTCACAAATCTACATGTAAAAAATAAATATCATAATAAAATGATAGAACATTTTCTATTTTAGTGGTAATACTGTGGAGTAATATGAAGAAATATTATTAATATTTTATTATCATAAATTTTTCAAATTTTAATTATGTCATTACATGCTGTACACAATCATATTATTGTGTGAACATATATATACATTGTATAGACACATATATACATTGTATATACACACACTAAGAGAGTAGTATTAGATGAATTTGAAAATGAAATCTCTAAATTCATATTTTCAGGGAAATAAAAGATCATTTACTTTAATATTCACTTGGAAAGGCTGGTACATGTAGCTAGAAAAAAAGTACAGTATAAGATTAAAGAAAGACTAGAAGATTATTACAAACAACAGGTACTTATATAATATTTAATGTATATTTCACAAACCAAGCTGTTTTCCAAAAAAAATTAATGAAAACAATATTTGACCTAGAGTCATAAGATTGACAGAACAGTGGCGTGTGGGGGCATCCGTGTCCTATGGACACATTTCTAGTTTCACTTATATACTATGTAGAAATTTTGTGGACGCAACTCCTCTTAAACCGGATGGCAGATTTTGCTTAAACTTACAGGGATGAACAACCTTCAGGTGTAGATGGTAGTAAAGGAAAGAATTTTTGCTGCGACCAAATTTTACAGAATTTTGGCCCTTTGTCGATTTTTTCACTATATACTATGTAGAAATTTTGTGAATGCAACTCCTCTTAAACCGGATGGCAGATTTTGCTTAAACTTCCAGGGATGAACAACCTTAATGTGTAGATGGTAGTAAAGAAAGAAATTTTTGCTGCAACCAAATTTAACAGAATTATGGCCCTTTTTTGATTTTTTCATTATATACTATGTAGAAATTTTGTGAACGCAACTCCTCTTAAACCGGATGGCAGATTTTGCTTAAACTTCCAGGGATGAACAACCTTAATGTGTAGATGGTAGTAAAGGAAGGAATTTTTGCTGCGACCAAATTATAGAGAATTATGGCCCTTTTTTGATTTTAGTTTTCAACTTGTGGCACATGTAGTCCAAAAAATATTTGACCTAGAGTCATAAGATTGACAGAACAGTGGCTTGTGGGGGCATCCCCGTGTCCTATGGACACATTTCTAGTTTTCTTCTTAGTGTGCCTTTATTGCTAAGATCTATTTAATTGACAGACTGTTTTTAAAGTTTGAAGGGATAATCTTTGAAACATTCAGATTGGTTATTAAACTAACCATTATTTACTTTATTTGTAGCCAATAAGTAATTATACCTTTAAATTGTATGCCGTCGAAACAAATTAATTGTATACTGTCTGAATTGTATACACACCAGTCTCTCACAACGCATTACTCACCCCAAATGAGGGTAAAAATAACTCTGACATAAAGAAGTCTGCGTAGGGATGACAATTTTATTAATAAAACACAATATATTGTTCATTGCTTTCAAGGGCTCATTGTTTTTCAGAGTTAAATATTGCAAGTGCAAATTTGATAGTTTGACGATTTCCGTTTTGTTCTATCACTTCGGTGTTAAAGCTGCCATGTAAAAGTAGTGCGTTCCATCATGCTTAGAGTGGTTTCACACAGGTCAGTAAGACCGGTGTACACAATGTACTGTCTGCACATATGTGTCAGAAAAAATATCACAAAAAAGGAATTTAGTATTACTATGAGTATTTATTAAAGAAATTGTATTTCAAATATATTTAAATAGTATTATTGAAAGTCATTTTGTATGACAGACACACAAATCTAGTGCTCTGCATTATAAATGTAAGAAGAGACAAATAAGATAAGCATTTTTTTGCAAATTATTGCACTTCATATAATTTTTATTGCTTTTTTTTAAGGTGGACATGTGTCACTGTCAAGCGAATGAAGATAAGCATCACACTCGGTGGGAATCTCAAGTTTCCAGATGTAGTGATCATAACTGTATAGGCACCATTAACACTTTGGACTAGTTGGAGTATTTTAGAGGGCTAGTCTGAACATTGTGTTGAAGGAAAATGTTAAAACTCGGATTTCCCGCTTAACCAATCATTACTTTACCTTATATTCAGTGCGGTAATGTAGGAAATGGTTACTTTATGGAACGGAGCTGTCAATTATTTTTAGTTTTTTAGCTTGTTAGCGTTATCGTCGGACAGTTGTGAAGTAAAGACATCGCAGTTTGACTGTATACAAGTTGCCTTAAAGAAAGTATGTCGAAATCTTAACAGTTATTCGTTGATTTTGTAGAAATTGACCAGAATTCACCTTTGTTTACACGCATCGCTTGGACGTCGAAAACGACATGCAATGACATTTCAGTGAAATTTGGAAACTTGCTCGTATTTTGGAGCATTTTGTAGGATTTCGATGAAGTAAAAAGTGTTTATGATAGGATACATTATTCCTAGAGACAACCACAAAAATAAAATAGTGATCTGGTGTATTTTTACCGAACAGTTCTTGTTTGTTTTGCATGATATTTTTCTCTCGTTAGGGACCTTTATTCTTTATATATAGTATTATGAGCGTATATGGGTAAATGTGGTATATAGTGCCTGTGGTTTTATCATGTATCTTAGCTTGCCTGGTGTAATGATAAGTAATAAACCTGAGAATTGAAACTATGAGAATAAATTGTTGTTATAAGTCCCCTTATATTTTCATTAAGAGGGGACTAAAGGCTGACCCATTTCTGTATGTCAATGAAAGCTGAATTTTGCTATAACTTAAATGGTACAAAAGTAAGGTTCATCATACTGGTATCTGATATAGAACTATACAGAGATTTAGCATGTTATTATAATTTATGCTCCTGAAAGGGAGGGAATAAAGTTGCGGTCTTAACCATCTGTCGGTATGGACTCAAGTAATATTATGGATAAATATCTGTGTTCATTCCATACAGACTTGTACTTTTGGGGAAAAAGGTTGCTCATGGGAGGAAAATATGTTTTTAATGGTGATTTTGAGATTTTAGTTGATAAAAACATAGTCTGTACTTAGGAAGACATTTGTCCTTCACACTCTTGTCCGAAATATGAATATAACTAGATATGTATTGAAGGGATTTTATGTAAACTTCCCAAAGTGATAGAGACTTTTAAGAGGAAGTGCAATGTTCAAGAAACATAACTCTACCTTGCTTCATGTTTTAATTATATCCCTTAAGTTAAAAATGCTTATTCCAAACTATCACTGAATCTACATCAACTTGAACGACTCGAATTTTCCAATGTGTCAAAGAACCATAACTCCATTCCTTAGTTTTTAGCTCACCTGTCACAAAGTGACAGGTCGAGCTTTTGTGATCCCTTTTCGTCCGGCCGTAAACTTTTACTTTAAATGACATCTCCTCATAAACCACTAAGCTAATTTCATCCAAACTTCACAAGAATGTTCCTTTGGCTGTCACCTTTAAAAATTGTGCAAAGAATTTAATTCCATGCTGAACTCTGGTTGCCATGGGAACCGAAAGAAAAAAACTTTAAATATCATCTTTAAAAAAACCCTAAGAGCTAGAGCTTAGATATTTGGCTTGAAACATCCTTTAGTGAGTGTCTACCAAGTTTGTTTAAATAAAAGCCCTGGGGTCAAAATTGGCCCCGCCCCAGGGGTCATTGATTTTCCCTATGTGCATATAGTAAAAACTTTATAAAATCTTCTTTTAAAGAACCCAAAGAGCTAGAGCTAAGATATTAAGCATGAAACATCATCTAATGAGTGTTTACCAAGTTTGTTCAAATAAAAATCGCGGGGTCAAAATTGGTCCTGCCCCAGGGGGTCATTAATTTTCTTTAAATTCATATAGTAAAAACTTAAAAAAATCTTCTTTTAAGGAACTAAAAGAGCTAGAGCTAAGATATTTTAGCATGAAATATCTTCTAGTGAGTGTTTACAAAGATTGTGAAAATAAAAGCCCTGGGGTCAAAATTGGTCCTGCCCCAGGGGGTCATTAATTTTCTTTAAATGCAAATAGTAAAAACTTAAAAAATCTTCTTTTAAAGAACCCAAAGAGCTAGAGCTAAGATATTTAGCATGAACATCTTCTAATGAGTGTCTACCAAGTTTGTTCAAATAAAAGCCCCGGGGTCAAAATTGGCCCTGCCCAAGGGGATCATTGATTTTCCCTATATGCATATAGTAAGAACTTCAAAAATCTTTTTTAAAGAACCCAAATAGCTAGAGTTTATATTATAAGTTGAAACATCTTCTAGTGAGTGTCTACAAAGTTTGTTCAAATAAAAGCCCTGGGGTCAAAACTGGCCCTGCTCCAGGGTTGTCATTGTTTTTAACAGTATGTGTTAGTAAAAACTTAAAAAATCTTCTTTAAAAAAACCCAATAAGCTAGAGCTTTGATGTTTAGCATGAATCATCTTCTTATGGATGTCTTCCAAGTTTGTTCAAATAAAAGCCCTTGGGTTAAAACTGGCCCTGCAGGGTGGGGGGGGTATATACAGGTGAGCAACCTCAGAGCCATCATGGCCCTCTTATTTAATTATCTACCTTTATTATACATGTACTTAATTATGCTTGTCCAGAGAAATACTGGAAAAAGAGTTGATGAAATTTGATTAAACTTTTACACAGCGAAAATAATCAAGTGAAAGAAAGTGTTTTTTCAAATAACCCTAATTTTTGTGTCGCCTTGAAAAGGTGACATATAGGGGTTACTTTTGTCGGTGTCGTTGTCGGCGTCCCGGAGCATAACTCAGTCACTATAAGTCTGATTGACTTCAAACTTGGTATGCATGCTTCTTTTAATAACCCGAAGTGCAGTGCACAAGGACCGGTACTCTGCAGTTCTTATTTTTTGAGTTATTGCCCTTTGTAAATTTTCATACTTTAATTTTGTCCGTGCCATTTCTCTTCAACTAAAAAAGCTATGGACTTGATACTTCATAGGATGATAGATCTCATTAAGAAGAAGTGCAGTGCACAAGAACCAGTACTCTGTACTTCCTAATTTTTGAGTTATTGCCCTTTGTTAATTTTCATACTTTATTTTTGTCCAGGCCATTTCTTCTAATGAATAAAAGCCATGGACTTGAAACTTCATAGGATGATAGGTCTCATTAAGAAGAAGTGCAGTGCATAAGAACTGTTACTCTGCATTCCTTATTTTTTGAGTTATTGCCCTTTGTTTATTTTCATACTTTAATTTTGTCCGGGCCATTTCTCCTTAAGTATAAAAGCTATGGACTTGAAACTTCATAGGATGATAGATCTCATTAAGAAGAAGTGCAGTGCACAAGAACTGGTACTCTGCATTTCTTATTTTTTGAGTTATTGCCCTTTGTTGATTTTCTTTCTTTATTTTTGTCCTGGTCATTTCTCCTCAAGTATGAAAGCTATGGACTTGAACCATCATAGAATGATAGATCTTATTGATAAGAAGTGCAGTGTTCAGAAACTGCTGCTCTGCACTTATTATTTTTTTAGTTATTGCCCTTTGTTATTTTTCATATTTCATTTTTGTCCTGGCCATTTCTCCTAAACTACATTGTTCACAAGGCGACACATCCGATTCGCGGAGTTCTAGTTTCTAGCTTAATTTTACAATTATCATCTCTTAAAATACATGTACAACAACTTTTAAAATAATGGTTGTCTGGAGTAAATCTTTTCAATGATATCACACTCAAACTAAATACAGTTGTAGAGACTATATAGTGAGCAGAAGTCTTTTGTCAAATAACCAAAATTCTACATTACTTAGTTTTTGAATTATCTCCGTATATATTTCATGATACTGTTCAGAGAGAGGATTAAAATATTGAAGGAATTTGATTGAAACTTAATAAACGTTATACAGTGAAAGAGATTAGCATGAGAATTGCAGTAAACAAAGGCCATTATAAGTTCTAATGACATGGTCACATTCATATAATGTGATGCAAAAAATATTGACCATTTGAGTGTTTACTTGATACTGATACAGAAAATTTGATATATATCACAATTGATTATTTTTTCATAGCTTTGTCTCCCTTTATAATGTCATGTGTTAAAATAGTCAAGCTTGCAGTTTCCTCTGGTAGCTCTAATTTCACTTGTTGCTCTTGTCAAAAAAGGCCAATAACGGTTTATGATGGACCTACACGTACATGTAACCTAAATATTATATTTAACATGTGTGTCATAGAATAATTGTATCATCTACTGTTCATTTACTGAATTGTGCACTTTATATTTATCAACCGGCAACACCCTTCACTCATTGAATTATCTGCCCCGAAATAGAAAAAATAGTTATTTGATCCTTCATACGTCCCAACTGCAGTGCCTTCAGCACTTTGATTTGTATTTAAATTAGTTGTCAATAAATAGAGGATGTTGAATAACTTTAGTTTTAATACTGAATTAATTGAATGAGTTGAAAAAATTTATATTATGCAGGCTCTGGCGAGCATGTTATAAAAGGCATTGTTCAGTACTGACCTTATCAAACTCGTGTATTAAAATTATAGTATGCGAGCCTCTAGCGAGCAAAATATTATTTTATTGAACAAGTTCAATAAATTAAGTAAATACCATTTACGAATATCATATTCTATTTATCACATATTCAAAATAAGCACTTTTAACAGTAAAAAAGAATCACTTTTTCATTAACGCGCTCATAGTGTTACGCTATCACTTTTATGGAGTTGCAAAAGCTGCACGGGTATGTGATAATAATTATTCTATTCAACTATGCAAATGACGTAACGTCATAATATATACCTTACCTGACATTAAATCTGCACGGGTGTGTGATAAATATTTTTCTCACTAACATTTTTCAGCTTGTAAAATACATCTGAGCGAAACTACAGCTAACATTCTAACAGAACTTGGTGGTTTTGTACTTCGTCAGAGGGAAAACTTTCAAGAAAAGGTTTGCACTTTATAAAAAGAAATATTTCTAACCAATACCCTCTCTTAACCTAATTTATAAAAAAGACGTGTCCAGTTTTGAGTTTTGAATACTGTCCAGAAATCTGATCAAACTATTTGGATGAGCATTCTGCATGTATATTATAGCTGGTATCAAATCCTTGTAGATTCTCAATTCCGACGTTAAAGGGACTCCACTGACGTTTTTTTCCCATCTCCGATTTTTTCCCATCTCCGAACTGTTTTTTGTAGATTAATGTTTTATTTGAAGAAGGTCCAAGCCAAACAATTGTGTGCAAAATTTCAGTTCACTCGCACACTCCGTTTGTCCAGAACAATTATTCTAATTGTGTAAAATGACTCAAAATTGAAAAGCGTTGCAACGCTTTTCACACTTATCCGACAAAGAGTAGCAGAAAAATACTAAGTATATTTCTTAATCATCTTTTGCATATCTATTTGTTTTAAGAGCCACAGCTGATTTATGTAACAAATTCAACTTTTATGTTTTATGTTTTTGAACCTCAATGGAGATCCTTTAAGGCATCTTATCTCTTGATCAATGATAAAAAAACAGGCCATGTACATGTATATGAAACTCTTGCAAGTACACTAGCTACATAATCATTAAGAACAACCGGCTAAGACCATCAAATAATTTTTTTAATATTGCTTCGAAAGACAAGAAACTGGGTCTTGTATGTCAGCAAGAAAAAATAGAACATTTCAAAATTTCAAATTAAATTAAATTCTAACGAAACAGATACTTATTTACTTACTTTATGTAAACCAACATGGGTTTGCGACCAGCATAGATCCAGACCAGCCTGCGCATCCGCGCAGTCTGATCAGGATCCATGCTGTTCGCTTACAAACCCTATTACAAGTAGAGAAACTGATAGCGAACAGCATGGATCCTGATCAGACTGCGCGGATGCGCAGGCTGGTCTGGATCCATGCTTGTCGCAAACCCATTATGTTGGTTTTGTTGTGACACGGGTCATATTCTACACATGTGACCAGTGCTTATTAAAAACAGTCGGTACTTCTGTATGATCTGATCATAGTCTGCTCTGCTCGGTATTCAGTTAGTCAGTACTTATTTTGAAGAAAGTTTTCTTAAAATAATTAATGGTTTTGTCCACTATGAACGATGGATAAGTCCATTTATGGTGTTTCGGCTGTAAATGCTTATTTATGATGAGTTCAAGTTATGTAGTATTATAAGTATGATAAAAATGCACAAGGAACATATTTTAATTTACATCTTTAAATACAGGAACAATAACACTTTATTTTTTTTTTCAATTTTTATTTTCAGAACGACCATGACTTGATGATGGCTTTTAAGGGTAACGTACGCACGTATTGGCTTATCAGTAAGGAAGGATTCGCGCCTTTGGACTCGGACCATTCGGTTCAAGACCTTGCCGAACCTGAAAAAGTGTAGGTATGACTTATATAAAAGTATCGGTCTGGGGAAAATCAGGTTGGGTTTGAACGTCAGTGAAGGGACCAGTAAATAAACGCGCCTGGCCACCCTGCGAGTGCATGCAGTATGCAATGAAATACTGATACCCTTTATTGAGTGCTTTTCATAAAACAGTAAAATATATTTTGCCGTGATTCTGAGGGTAAACTACAAAAATTACCGTCTCAAATTTTTCGTAAATAACACAACACCTAACCTCTAAACTATTTAGGAAATAGATCTATTCTATATTGATGCACACAAAATCTATTTCGAAATTAGTTGTGGATTATTTTACAATGATCTTTATGTCTCTTTGAATTTTTCAGTTTGGAAGTCGGCACCGGTGGACAGGATGAACAAGAAATTGTCACGCCTGGGAGCATTCAATGATAGGAACATATATTGATGATGTCAGAACGAACAATAATATTTTGCGCATGCGCTGCTAATTTATATCATGAGTCCTGTCATTTATTTATGAATTAGTTTCTTTTTTAATATATATTTCTGTAACAGTTTGTATGATCTTCATCGTGATTACAGTAAGTTTTTTTGAATGTCTGAAGTGCGATCTTTATCACCGATCATAGAAAATACTGTTCAAAAGCGATATTGAAAAGGTAGGAATATAACTAGTGTCTTAAATTTATCTATATTTAACATTCTTGAAACGTTATTCATTAAAACCTATTAAATTAAATTCTGAAAATTTAAAGCTATAGATCTATTCAACATAATTATCATAACACAAAGACAGTGTATAAACGAAATCACTGTACCCTGTCTTGCGAGCAGATAGTTTACAATTTGAAATGTGTATCCTGTCGTGCGATTACAAGAACGTACTTCTTCCGATCACTGTACTTTACTTTGGAGCACATACATTTTAACTTGCAACTTTCTTACGATAACAGAAAAATGACTTTTTTACATTGTATATACTGTCCAAAATGAAATATCCACTTTCTATTTATGTCATCATGCATGACGTCATCAGCAGACTACTGCAAAGTTTCTGTCTAGCGCACACTTCTATGGAACACGAAGTGGAATATAATTAAGAATTAGCTAGTAAGATTTTGATATATTTCATTGTGAATGAATTATGCATTTTTCTTTTATTTTTCTGTATAATTCGCAGAGAAGTAACTTTAATGGACCTTTACAGATTTTATTTTTTTTACACACACTTATTTTTTGTCTTGTTTTGTTTTATCCATATTTCATTTCATTTTACATTTATTAAGGTAATAGATTTGGCGATTTTCATTTTCACGCTCTTTATAAAAAGACGACTCATAAAATGAATAAAAATATCGACAAGAGTACTGAAAACAACAACAACAACAACAACAACAACAAACAACATATTTTCAATAAAAATGTGAATCTAGTCAGTATAAGCACATTGTGTAAAGACGAACCATGTATGGAAGCGCCGAATATACTTTTTTAATAAGAAAAACGCTTTTAAAGATCCGGCTCGAAATTAGGTTTCAGGCTGTCAAATTTATGCGTATATTTGTAATATAAATAATTTAACTATTTGTTATCGTCAGCCGGCTATTTTTAAATAAACAAACTGTCACCGTACATTTTCACAATGTTCTTCATATTTTTTTTTAACATAGAATCTAGGAACTTAAAAAATGTTTGTTGATAATGGTTAGTTATGAAGATTTTTGAAAGTGGATATTTTATGATCAGTTTAGATGTATTTGTTTTCTTTTTTTCTTATGTGCTTTATCATATTAAGTGTGTTATATGTATGTTAAATTGTCGTTTAAAATGCCATTGTATCAGTCATCAGTTTTAAATTTTATTATTCTTTATATACCATTATCTTCAAAAAAGTTTATAAGATATTAAGTGCTTGACAATGTACTTCTTCTCATAATGGTGTTTTTTTTCAAGACGCTTTATTATCATTCGTAGAGCGTCTTATCAACGCTTATTAACTACGTTATTCGGAATGTTTCACATTTTCGGTCTTTATGATAAGTTTTGCAAGGGATCACTGCACCTACAAATATAGAAAAAATCTGATTTTTTAACACATTTTGATAGACTATATGAAAAATCAAGTATCTTTATAGTCTGAAAATACATATAGGTTAATTAAAGATTCGTGCAAAAATTGTTTCTTCAAATCCATTTAAGAAATTAAAGGTCCTCGTTTATAGGTTGAGGTGGATTGTTTTCTTTTCTTAAAAACTGGATGAATAAGGTACTGTACATGTGAATCGTAGTTGTAGAAACAAATTGGAAAATGAGCTGCGCCATGACAAAATCAACATAGTGCGTTTGCGACCAGTATAACTCCAGACAGCATAACAAAACCAACATAGTGGGTTTGCGACCAGCATGGATCCAGATCAGCCTGCGCTTCCGCGCAGTCTGATCAGGATCCATGCTGTTCGCTTACAAACCTTTGTACAAGTAGAGAAACTGATACCGAACAGCATGGATCCTGATCAGACTGCGCGGATGCGCAGGCTGGTCTGGATCCATGCTGATCGCAAACCCACTATGTTGGTTTTGTCATGGCACGGCTCAAATAATGTTTGTCTTGTTTATTTGAAATAAAAATATCCAATGAGGACATTGTGTTAATTTCATTTGTTTTTCTGATACATACTGGCTTATATTATACAATATGAACTTTTCACTTGATGAATATGATGTGATATGTACTGAAAAAAGTAATATACGTTATTGTTCATTATCAAAATATATAAATATCCCATTGACTGGACATACATTGTAAGAATATCAAGAGTTATTTGCCATTAAACTGTCTATGGTTCACACGTTCATGCATATGAATGATGTAAATTATGGAAATTTCCAAAGATCATGGAGATTTTCAAAGACCATAGGAGTTCCAGAGATAATAGCACGGGACTTTCCAAAGATCGTGGCATGGAAATTTCCAAAGATCATGGGATTTCCATAAAAATTGAGGATTTCCAAAGATAATTGGAGTTCCAAAGATTGTGGCATGGGGCTTTCCAAAGACCATTTGGATTTCCAACGATCCTGGCAATTAAAGATCATGGCGATTTTCAAAGATCATGGAAGTTCAAAAGATCGTGACATGGGGATTTCCAAAGATCATGACATGGGATTTCCAAAGATCATTGGGATTTCCAAAGATCATTGGGATTTTCAAAGATAATGACATAGAGACTTCCAAAGATCATCGGGATTTCAATGCTTTGATTCGGACTGCATCATACACTTTTTAATTTAAGGTTAGATGGTGCACCACGTTGAACCACGAAGATACAGTCATGTTATCAGTAATTTATCAACTCTAACAAACCTTCTTTTACATTAAGGATGACAAGAAATTCAGTATATACACTGTTAGAGTATGAGCAATAATAAATTGCATTTAATCTGAAATTGATTCCATACATTTTAGTTATTGTAAGTTTCCATAAGTTCAATACCATAGCAAACAATTTCGACTTTTCCCTATTTTGTTTCATTGTATTTAACTAAAACGGGTGCTAGTGGTCTGAGATTTGGCTTTTGTTTCTTAACAGATAAGATTCAAGTTTACAATTTTTATTAAATGTATTTATAATTCACGATTTCCCCTTGTTTGCTTTATACAGTGAATCTTTTACAAAGCGATACAACAATGCAGCCCTTTTGTAATATATTTATTGTATAAATGTCAAAGCCAAATATATTTACATATATACATATACTAAAATTCTCTTCTGTTTTTACTATGGTGGTAACAAAACATGGTCTATCTCATGAATAACACCATTTGCCATAGGAATATCTGTCATCACAACTTTTGCATTGTTTACCATAACATCGCCTGCAGGAGAAAAATGACTTGTCATATAATTATGTACCATTCGTTTGAAATTAAAAAAGAATTGAAAGAAAGAAATAAATACACACATTGATCTTTTTTTTCTCTTAATAAATCTTTGCGACTTAAGGTGACAACGTAGTCAATTATCACTGAAAATACCTAAAATGAGATTTTTTGCTTAGTAGATTTATCAACCTTTTCTGAACACATTCGTGATTTAATTTTGGAAGCAGTTAGTCCGAAAAATGTGTTTTCAAACGTTTTAAAACGGTACCTGTACCATTTTTACCTGCTATTCGCGTAACCTGTCAATTATCGATAACGCTCCGCCCCCTGTTGAGGCATCAATGAGGGAAATCGGTAGTTCCATATATCAGTGAATTACCGGTCCATACTGCTCGTAATTCATGTATCGTACAAATACCGTACATCTTTTATGAATATCGTCTACCTTTTATTTGGCATTTTTTATAAAATAAGAAATTGTCGGCCAATGTACGTAACATAATGTATGAAACATAAATAATTAAGCATAGTGTCAAATCGCACGACCACGGGGTTGATTAAAAATATAGTTGCTAAAATATCCATAATGTGTGAAAATAATTTGTCTGTCCCGTTAAACTGATAGATATTACATTGAGTTTATGGACTTTTGTACGGATTCAACGGCTTGCTTTACATTCAACCTCGTTTTCTAACAATGTCAAGTAAAACAACAACAAAAACAGACAACATTTTTTATGTGAACGCCTATATGACTTGTGGTACGGTGTCCTTGACAAATTTCTAAACCATTTTAGATTGTTTAAGGATGATTATTTCTCTATGAATCAATAAAAAAAGATATTAATATATATTATCAGTGAATGCTTTGAATAAATTGTTCGCCAGTAAATCGAACACAGTTCTAATAAACCTGGGACAAAGTATGGAATTTATTGTATATCCCAGTAGAAACTGGATATCTATACCGTGCATAGATGATTTTCATGATAATAGAAGTCAAGAAGATCAGATCATAATGATTGAGTGATACCTTGTATTTCTATTAAAATATGTGAAGCATTTATATCAATTTGGAGGAAAAAATATATAATATCCCGTTCTTATTTGTACATATACCGTGGCCTTTAAATATACCGTCCGAAGCTCAGTTTTTTGTTATTTTAATTTATATTTTGACGGAATTTCATACACGAATACACAGACAGAGTGACACTGGTATAATATAATAATAATGCTGATGAAACTTCAAAAGTGAAACAATTAAATACCCCGCTAGCGGTGCGCAAATACGTTCCATTTCCCCCCACCGAGTGCCTCAAATTTTACCGAAAGTCACGTGACATGTGCGACCGATACTAGTAAATCACGTTAAGATTTGTAGAAATTTCTGTTATAAACTGATATCAATCAGCAACTTTTTAATTGGTCAGATGTCACTGGGTCATAAAATGTTGTTAGAGTATGTTACCGCAACCTGTGACCCTCTCTGGTGCGATATTTGTGTATTATGCAATTATTTAGCGTGAAACGTAGGGGTCCCAGAGAGAACAGCCGATTTATGACACTTCGTTTGATGCGGGTCGGACTAACTTTGAATCGGCATAACTTTTTTAATAATCAAGCAATTAACATGCGGTTTAAAGCACATGAAAGGGAATTATAAAAAAATAAAAAATGACTTTGATATGACGTTTTAAAATTTTAGGATTTTTATTAAAAATCAATCATTTACAAAGGCATTTTTTTCAAATATGTTATTTTTTATGATGATCAGCGACATTTAATGCACAAATATTAAATAAATAACAATTATTACTAAAATAAGTTGGTTTAAATGACATTAATGTGAGTACCACGGAAAGTGTCTGTTGTCACCTTAAGGGAGTCTTACTATAATGCTTTCCCGCCAAATAATGCTAACATCGGCCAATATTGTAGCAAATCGGTTATTTCAAAATCTTGGACATTAGATTATTTACAATCACTCATACTGTTCTAATTCCGGTTATAAACGGTTAAATATTATTGAATACCGAAGATTGTGAAAATTGTGAAAGAAATAAAAACGTTCCGGAAATGACCGATTAATTACGATATTGTATGGAAGGGTATTAACGCAAAAATTACATCTTGCTTTCTTACGTTACATCGTGCATTCTAACTTGTACATCTTGCATTCTGACTTGTACATCTTGCATTCCGACTTTTACATGTTGCTTTTTACATGCACATTATCCTTTATGCTGTGTGCGTCTTGCTTAATTGTATGTTGATATCGTTGTTTAACGATCAATTATTATTCATTTGTCGATTCAATAACTTAACCTGCAACTGTTTGTATTTGGGTATATTTACTCAGCTTGAATGACGAATGTCATAATGTAGAATTACGCATAACCGAAAGCCGAATGAAGCAAGCTTAATACGACTCGACACCCATATTATGCTAACAGGTGACGCTACACTTATATTCTCGGTATAGTCCGTATTCAGTTTACCAAGTTACGTCCCTTTGTTTTAAAATTTCCATTTCTACTATGGAGGAAATAAAGTAAACAAATATACTAAACTTTGCATTTATTACTGAAACTCTGTGGGTCAAATTATATTTCCAGCTGACATTGACAAGTTGCACATTTTCAAATCAATGATTTTAGAATTATAAGAGCCTGCCTTGTTGTATTGCACACAGTGCGTGCTTCAATGTATTATCTATACATGTATAATCGATTAACATAGGTTTCCTATTTTTGTATACATTAAATGTAGACAATTTACGATCATTATAATTAAACTGAACTTCAAACATATAACTTTAACGTAGACAAATTTGAAGATAGTCAAAAACGAACTATTCATGCAATTTAAAGCAAAATGTGCAAGTCATAATGCAAGATGTGCAAGCCAGAATGCATTGTGTGCATGTCATAATGCAAAATGTAATAGTAAGAATCCAAGATGTACAAGTCAGGTTAGAAGGCAAAATGTAATTTTTGCGTTAATACCTGATTATTTAACTAGAAAGTTGAAGAACTATCCTGTAAATTTTATTTTAAAACTATCCTTTACATTTTATTTCATAATGGCAAGAACTGTCCTTTACACACTGCAGTTTAGACCTGTATTAGAATGACAAGAGCTATCCTTTACATTTTATTTAAGAATGGCCAATGAAATTCCCAAATTTCATTTTTAACTGATTTTGTAAAATGACCAATGAAAACTCTTCTTATATTCAGTTCTTTCAACTGAAAATAGACGGAAATAAGGTAAAACGTAAAATCATACCAGACGACACTTTAATTGCCACAGATCTTCCTTCAAGTGTTTGTGCTGTTCTAGACGTAAAGCCGGCACTGTAGATACATGCGTCAACCACGTGATATTTCAAGACATCTTTAAAACAGATTATTGTAATCATGATGACAACTGATTTTTGAAACATGGCCGTCTGATGTAAAATAAGTTGAAACATTGAAATATATTAAAAAGATCGAATAAGCTGAATTAATGTTATTTGAAATATTGTATTCTATATAAGAAAAAGTTGACATATAGCATCGATGAACATAAGAAGTGATGACATAAATGAATTGAGTGGCACAGGAAAACTTATGGTAAAATTGAGGGACTTAAAAAAGTGCAGGAAAATGGTAGAATTGACGGAGAGAAAGTAGATTTGATCGACATAGAAATAATTGTGGTAGAACTTACGGATTAGAAGAAAAAAGCGGTGGTATAAATGACAGTCGCAGAAAACACTTATTGTAGAATTAATGGACATAAAAATGTAGATTTCAGCGACGCAGAAAAAAAAAAACTGTGGTAGAATCAACGGATGCATAGAATTGATAGCATAGAAAAAAATATTGATAGAACTTATCGAAATAGATTATTAAGATGTTAAATAGTAAAATTGTTGGAAGAATTGATAGACGCAGAAAAGAAGAAAAAAAAGCTTCCTATAGAATTGATGGACATAGAAAAAACAATTAGTAGAATTCATAGACGCAGAAGAAAACGTTTGGTAGAATTGATGGGTATAGAAAAAACTGTTGGTAGAATCGTAGAAATAATAGGCGCAGGTAAAACCTAAAGCGGAATTGATGGACATAATAATGTACACAAGAAAACAAGTTGGTTGACACACAAAAACAATAATGGTAGAATTGTCGGGCATAGAAAAATGATTGCAAAAATCTAAAAAGCATAATAAAATGTTCCTTGTATAGAGTAGGTTTGTCTCAAATAAGGAAACATTTTGAAGCACGACTAATACTTCTTAGACAGTCAGATCAAATATAATTTTACACTCAAACTAGATTCATGAAAATGCATTCCTATATTAATTAAATATTTCGTAGCATCAAATTATGTTTGCTCACCTACAAGTGCTGTTTGGTTGCTTAAAAGGTCACTAAATGCACCTGGTGGGAGTTTGTCAAAAGCCGCATTGGTTGGTGCAAAAAGGGTAAATGATCCGATTCCTGGATATGAAATAACACTCAAGTAAAGTAATTGTTTTATACTTTTACAAAAAAGAATAATGAAAAAGCTTTTCATGTGCTGATAGCAAATAAAAGTGAAGTAATAAAATATAAGTTGTAATGCAATATAAGATCTAAAGAAAGCAGTGACGGAGGTCATATTGCAAGTAGACACCATAGCGTATACATACATCAATATACTATGTTCTTAAATAATTACATGCTGGTATATATATGGATTGTTTTAAACTCACACAGTTATTTTACAAAAAGTACAAAAGATATTTCATACCAGGTGCACGACCAGTTAGTTGCCCTTGCACAACAGCAAACAGAAGTGTGCTTAGTTCTTTGTATGGAACTAAACTATTTAGGATATCCTCACTAGGTAAGGGATACATCACTTTGTCAATTACGTGAATGACGCCATTTGTCGCATTCTGGTCCGCCATTACTACTTCAGCGCCATCTGCCGTCACAACCTAGATTTGTTATAAAAAAATCTGCATTTAAAACTTCTTTGTACATGTAATTTGAACATAATCCGGTTTTAAAAAAGGAGTATACCTTATATGTTACTCTAGCGTGATTTGAAATAGTATAATTCTCAGGATGACGTCAAGTCCGACAAAAAGGGAAAGTGACTGCCTGAGAGGGTACAATTATGTTTTCGTCAGACCGCTAAATTGAACGGCCTGTAACCGTGAGAATTTCAAAACTGGTAAAAAACATGTAATAAAAACAACAATTTTCAGTACACTTTACAAAACGGTTTGTTAATGAAAAAATTTAATTTCAAACTTTAATCATTATTTTCCAGGAAAGTGCGGTATAATATTTGAAACAGCACAAAGTATTTTGGACCTCATAACATTGAAGTGACTAATCAGTTAGCCTGCAAACATTTAATGGACCGAAGCCAAAAGCTGTTAACTATTTCTTCAATAAATATGTACCTATTTCTTATATACATATATAACCTTTCCATAAACTAAAGACGAAACTATTAGGAACAAAAATCGACTTTCCCCCGATTTTTTTGCTGGTTTTGACCTTAAGTCCTTCGAAAAGAGGTCTCAGTAAGACTTTTAATTGTAATATAAGTATCTTGCACCCAAAAGAAAGAAATACTCATGAAGTGTTTAAAGGATGAACAGTTTTGTGCTATCTCTATAGAAATAAACATAATAAAATCTAAAGGTATATATTATACCTCATTTACATACGCCCTTCTATATTTAATATGACGTCATCCGGTCCATAAACCGCATACAGACCGGGGTCGGTCCATAATTCTTATATGGACTGGATGACGTCATATTAAATATAGAAGGGCGCATGCAAAGGCGCTGTAATATTTTATTTTGTTGATAATAATTATTTTTACTGAATTTGTTTCACATAAATTTATTACATGTTGATCAAAAGTCATGATTTGTCTTTAAATTGATTATAAATTTTATTTATACAGTTTGCGAAAATCTTAAAGTTCGGGTTTTTTTTGCCTGTTTAATTTGATTATCAAAAATTGAATAACACAAGAAGAGCATGATGTTTTTTGCTGTATCGCTTGAAAATGATAATAAAAAACCGACTAGGGATTGAGTTATTTCACACACTGAACAAATAAATTATTATTTGAAAGCAAATTTTTATAGTAAAAATGACAGCAACAAAAGGGATGAAAGGATTTAGATTCGGTATAATATAACAAATAAAACATGGCCTTTCGGGCAAAATGCAAGTTTACGGACTGGTTGGTCAGACCTCGGAAGGTATATGTCCCTCAACTGCGCTTCGGGCAATATACCTTCCTTAGTCTGACCAATCAGTCCGTAAACTTGCATATTTCCCTCAAGACCATGTTTTATTTGTTAAATAAAAAAATAATGGCTACGTACTTTCTTAGAGTCATTGCCATAAATGTTGACTCTGATACTAAGCGATGGTTCAAGTGATTGAACTATCAGGTTGTTAGAAAGTTGGCTAGAATATGCTTTTCCACTTGTAACATGAAACATCAAAACTTTCTTAAGAAGCTCTGTGTCAGTCGTTAGCTTTTGTTTGGCGTCAGCAGGAAGAGCTTCAAATGCTGCATTTGTTGGTCCAAACACAGTGAATGGTCCTTATTAACAAAATATACAAATTTAGACTTGGAATTCATACAATGACGGTTTTAGTGACCATTGCTTCTTTGGTCAATTGTGTCATGTACAGTGTATGTATCAAACTTGTGGAAAGATAAGATTTTGCCCTAAATCCTCTATTATCTATAATGAATTAACATAATCATAATCAAATTATTATTTCGTCTGATATTAGTTTCTTTTTCTTGTATTTTGAGGTTCGTTGAAATACATTTTTTTGAATGACGATTCCCTTATTATGACCACAGTGTTTTGTCACATAGTGCATTACAAATATCTTCCTTAACCAAAGTAAATGCATTGATCGCTCTTAAATTATCTATAAATTCGAGTTTTTGTTTCATAATTCCATGCTGTTTTCTCCACCTTTGAAATAAAAATAGTACAGAAAACTCACCTGTCCTAGTCAAAGTGCTCTCTAGACCAGCTGCCTTTATATACGAAACTAAAGTTGTAGCTCCTAACTCTTCTGCAAGTTTTACAATATTTTTTCCGTCAGCATTGTGATTATTAAGTACGAATCTAGAAGTTTTGCTTTCAGCAAAACAGTATGGCAAACAAAGTGCAAAAATAATAGAAGAAAATTTCATTCTGTTCTAATTCCTTTTTTAACTGTCTATAAACACTCGATAGATGCCCTTTGATAGTCGAACTGTTGATCTACCACCCGATTGTCTACATATGACAGAAAAGTGTTTACAAACATGTACTCAGTATATAGAATCGTAACGACTGGTATTTTCGTTATGCAACGAATTTCACTCATACTTCGGAACGTGAGCGCTTCGTTAAATTAAGATAACTTTAAATCTGAAACACGTGATAAGAATTTGTCACAAATGACTCCATTTAGAAAGTACAGAGAGATAAAGTTTTATATGGTGGCATATTTATGCCACCAGATAACCATATAACTAACTAGTTAATTAAGAGGTTAACTAGTCACGTAATAGCTAGTTACCCACTTAATTTTAAGCTTGTAAAATAATAAAAGGATGGCAGTTGTAGGCAAAGTATTCATATTTCACATAGTAATTGGTCATAACTAGTAGAAGACCCATATTTATTTTGGGGTCACTAGGTCAAAGGTCAAGGTCGCAAGGGTCTGAAATGTTTGAATGGTTACCGCTCATTATCTTGCTTACTATTTATCACAAGTCTTTATATTTCACATATTGATTGGTAATAACTAGAAGATGATCCCTATTGATTTTGGGATCACTAGTTCAAAGGTCAAGGTCACAGGGACCTCGAATGGTTGTATAGTTTCCGCTCATTTTTTGGGTTACTATTTATCTTGTATTTAAATTTCATATACTGATTGGTCATAACTAGTAAATGACCTAGATTGAGTTTTGGGTCACCAGGTCAAGGTCACAGGGGCCTTACATGTCAGAATGTTTTTTGCTCATTTCCTTGTTTACTATTTATCACAAAGTCTTCATATTTCACATATTGATAGGTCATTACTATTAGATTAACCTTATGGATGCTGTGGTCACTAGTTCAAAGGTTAATGTCACAGGGGCTTAAAAGTATGGTTTCCGCTCATTATCTTGAAAGCTACATATCAAAAAGTCTTCATATTTCACATTCTGATTGGTCATAACTAATATGTGACCCCTATTGTTTTTTGGACACACTAAGTCAAAGGTCAAAGTCAAAAGGGCCTTGAATTGTAGTAAGGTTTCCGCTCATTATCCTGAAAGCTAGTTATCACAAACCCTGCATATTTCACCTTTTGATTGGTCATAACCAGTAGATTTCCTCTATTGATATTGGGGTCACTTGTTCAAAGATCAAGGTCACAGGGGCCTTAAATGTCAGAATGGTTTTCGCTTATTATCTTGAAAACTATTTACCACAAAGTATTCATATCTCACATAATGATTGGTCATAACTAGTAGATGACTACTTTTATTTTGGGGTCACTACCTCAAAGGTCAAGGTCACAGGGGTCTTAAATGTCAGAATGGTTCCGCTTATTATCTTGAAAACTATTTTTCACAAAGTCCTCATATATCTCATATTGATTGTTTATAACTATTACATGACCCCTATTGATTTTAGGGAAACTAGGTTAAAGGTCAAGGTCAAAGGTGCCTTAAATGTCAGAATGGTTTCCGCTCATTATCTGGAAAACTATTTATTACAAAGTCTTCATATTTCACATATTTATTGGTAATTACTAGTAGCTGTCCCCTATTGATACTAGGATCACTATGTCAAAGGGCAAGGTCACAGGGACCTTTAATGTCAGCATGGTTTCTGCTCATTATCATGAAAACTATTTATAAGAAAGTCTTCATAATACACATACTGGATAATGTATATGTAGAAGATGTAAATTGATATTGGGATCATTAGTTCAAAGGTCAATGTCACAGGGGCCTTAAATTGTTAATATGTTTTCTGCTTATTACATTGAAAACTTTTATCACAAAGTCTTCATATTTCACATAATTATTAGTCATAATGGGCTCACTAGTTCAAAGGTCAAGCTCTTTATATTTCAAATATTGATTTGTTATAACTAGTAAGTCTCTTTTTTTTCTTTTTTCCATAACTGAACACTTACATGTACCCAATTATGGCAAGTTTCTATAACAAAATTACCAATAAAGTGAGTCAAGGGCTAGAAAGGGACAATAGGACAAAAATACCGGAAAATACCGGTATTATTTTGTCCCAGAATTAACTTATGAAATTGATATGTATCATTGGCATATTAATTAACGTAAAGGCGACCCATACAATCATTAATTATACCACGGAAGCAGCTGTTTTATTATGAAACAGCGATTGAAAGTTACAGCTATGATCTAATAAACACAGCTCTCAAAATATTTCGGCGCATGCATTACAAACTTCAGTTGTCTCCAGCGTTTATTCACGATATAAACGTATTTTATGTTCAGTGGAATTACTTTGAAATGTGCATAAATGTTTAAACAAACGTTTTGTATCATTAATAATTTGAATTAATATCAAACATATAAAACAACAACAAATAAAATGTCGAAAAACACGTGGTTAGCTTGGATACTTGTGTGGAATTTAATGTGTAAATATACAGAAGGTAAACTCAGAAATCCCTATTTTATCGTTTGTGTTTATTTTTTCTATTTAACTCAACATCACTAATTCCGCGTCAACACTTATTTCACGGTAATGGCATATTTTCATGTGGCCAGTGTTAAAATATTATTTTATTCATACACCTAAACAACAAAATTTGTGTGCAAAATATTTTAAATCTCTAAATGTTTACGAAAACAGAACAACATTTTACATATTTCTTCAAAAAGCAACAATAGTCCGTTAAATTTGTGCATACGTGTGAAACAATCATCATTTTCTAAATGTTCCTGTTTGTTGAAAAATTAAATTTTGCGTTTCGAGGTAAAGATAGTTTTTATATTTTAAATTAGCAGCATAACATGTAGAAACTTTAACTGAAACATGACATGAAAAAAAAGAAGTGTAACACCATTTACCGCGATTTAAATGATGACATAATGAACTAAAAAAATAACAGATGTTGATGGACAGTAGTTCACATGTTATGACATTATGACATCTTGTTTTAAAATTCGTAATATTTTCATTTATCGTGCACTTATTTTTACGTTTTACCTCTGCAAAGCAGCTCTCTGGCATTTTAGAACGAGTTTTTTCTAGAGCAGTAGAACAACGTGTTTCTGTAACTAGGCGTAATTTCTATTTTTCTATAACAGTTTTATCTTCACTTTAAAGGAGATTCTATCCTGTATTTTGTTAAGTGCATGTAATTAAACAGATGGCTTAGTTTTAACATACTTACATTGTACGAGAATATTTCTAAGTACATGTGCAAGTTATACATGTACATGAATGTGCTTGTTGTGAACTCTTATAGATATTGTTACATGTAGATTATATTAGTTATCGTGGTGCATGCGTTAATCATTAATTAAAACGTGAATGCTTATTTGCTTCATCTGTTTGAAAATAAAGTTTTTTTTTTTTTTGTGGGGGGGGGGGGGGGGGGGCTAGTGAAGTGGAAACTAGCGTGTTGGAAACAAACAATCAAAATTCAGGCTATTTCTTTACGACATTTTTTTTTTTCTCAAAAAAAAAAAAAAAAAAAAAAAAAAAAAAAAAAAAACAGATAAAAACTGTACGTATTATTTAATGTTTAGTATGTTAAACCGAAATACAGTGTTTTTTTCCAGTACAGATGTATGCCTAATATTTATTTTGGCAAAATCACATTCATATAAACAAAAATTTAATTTTTTAGTTCTTTTAGTCAACATCTCATTCGTAAAAGGCTTTTTCTTTTCAAAAAGAATCACAACGTTCAATGATAAGGACATTTTGGTGCATTTGATAAAAACCTATTTTTATATACATGTACAAAAACAGGATATTCTTATTGTAAACAGTAATTGGACACTGTTACAGAACGGAAATAATTATAGACTAACATGAGATATTTGAAGACTCCAATATTAAATGCATTATACAAGTGGTTTTTTGGTGTGACAAAGGCCTGTCAATTTCAGCAGACGAGTGGAAATGCCATAAACAATATATTCAGAATTCAGCGCTATATCATGTTGATTTATGAAGATTTGTTATTTTTCCGTTACTTTCTAGAGAAATTCTTTAAATGGGAGACAATTAAAAAAGACACAAAATTAAAAAGAACACACAAATAAATCACAACATAAACAAAACCACAGGTTAGAGACAGGGTATAAAACAGACAAAAACGTACATATTTTGATTTAAAATTAAAATTAGATTCATTCAAAAGGGAGTATATTATGTAAATTAAGTCTTTTCACAGACGTTTATGATCCATTTTCTTTTTAAAGAAATATTGTAAAAACATAAACTTTCTCATTCCATTCATAATAGCAAATGATATGATTATGATTATTTTTAAAAAAAAAATCAAACGAAAACTACATACATGAGCCGTGTCATGACAAAACCAACATAATGGGTTTGCGACCAACATGGATCCAGACCAGCCTGCGCATCCGCGCAGTCTGATCAGGATCCATGCTGTTCGCTTACAGACCGTATAACAAGTAAAGAAACTGAAAGCGAACAGCATGGATCCTGATCAGACTGCGCGGATGCGCAGGCTGGTCTGGATCCATGCTGGTCGCAAACGCACTATGTTGGTTTTGTCGTGACGCGGCTCACATGTATATATACCTCTGTAGAGCAACAACATTTTGGTTGTTGTCGAGATGTGTTGCTCTTGTATAAGCGAAATCTTAAACGACATGTTTAAATTTCAAAAACGTGCAGCAAGAATAATACTTGATAAAGATTTTGATGCGCCTACTGATGAGTTATTTTCTGAATTGAACTGGATGAAATTCTCTGATAGAGTGAATTACAAAAAGGCCATTTTAGTATACAAGTCCCTAAACAATCTTCTCCCTGATTATATGCAAAATCTTTTTACAAATACAGAAAATAAATCATTAAGATCATATGAACAAAAACTTCTTTTAGTCCCCAAACCAAGAAATTGAATTCTGCAGAAAATCCCTATCATATTCAGGCTCAAAATTTTGGAACTCCCTCCCTTTAAACATACTAAGAAATTCTTCCAACTTACAAAAATTCAAAACTAATTATCTTAAATGGTGGTTCTCTGGTGGGCACCAAATTATCTAGCTATGTTTTAATATCACATATATACATGTATGTCTCATAAAATGTACAATTGCATACTTTCAAAATGTTTGTATTCATCTTCTTATTGCATTTTTCAATTACTTCTACTTTTCTATGTTGTATAACTTGTATACATTAAGTTTTCTTTCTTTGTTTATATAAATCTTTGTTTGTAACTGTATATATGTACATTTTTGATAGAGGCCTCATAGGGAAGACTGGGCGTGCCTAACTATGTTGCCTCTTTAAATAAAGTCTTTATTATTATTATTATTATTATTATTATTATTATTATTATTATTATTATTATAAATGTATATAGGAAAGAAAAAGTATAAAAAAGAGTCAAGTATCGTGAAATTAAAAACGGAATGCATGACAATTATACTGAGTGTATGATAAACACCATGCATGAAAATGGTAAACCACACACACACACACACACACGCACGCACGCACGCATGCACACACACACACACACACACACAACCGAAAACAAAAACACACTTTAACATACCAATTTGCGTACTTTTTCTCTTATAGACTTCTTTTCAATATTGGATTTAAAGAATATAATAAAGATTCAATATGATTAATCTAAAACTGCATTAAAACGATTTCGACTTTATAAATGAATAAAACCGGTCGCGAGCACAAATCAAATAGTAATACTTAGTAATGAGAGAAATATCGTGTATGCAAAATTCTTGAAGATGAATTTCATTTGTTATTTTTTTATGAAATTCATGTTCAGCAAAAACAATTGCAGATACTAATTGTATGATTTATCTTTCAGTTTGAATTACTTTTATTACAATATCTTATCTTGACACATCATAATATATTCAATACTTCCTCTAAAACAATGTCGAAGTCTATTTATTTGACAATCTGATTGTTTAGGAACCAATTTTCGTGGCCGAGTGTTTTTAAGGCCGTTGATTTCTAATCACTTGTCCCTCGTCGCTGTGGGTTCGAATCCCGCCAGGGACTTCGGAGTCGTTATGTGAGGACGCCTCCAGCTACATGTAGCTTTCGGAACTTCGGTGCTTCCACTCATATCTGCAATAATGCATTGTAGGACACATGACGGGTTTTCCTTCGGCAGAAAATCTTGAAAGTCGCCATATGACGTCTTTTGTGTTGGTGCATCGTAAACACAAAGTTTTCACCAATGCTTCACAACCATCCACACTCCGACATTATTATTAAAAACCAATCAAAACCATGTTGTGCTAAATATAGAAACACTCGTTGGTGTGTTGGATGTTTATAAGCGGCATGTTCATATTCATGTAATACACTTATATTTTACTTGATCTTGGCAGGGGACCGAACTTGATATTGTACAAAATAAAAATAACCTATCTTAATTTCACCTAAAGTGACCCTTTCATGTTCGTTTGTAGCATGAACACGAATGTTATATTTTCGTAATTCTTTGTTGGTAGTTTTAGCTATTCAAAAATGTGTCCAATAATCTAGCAAATATCATATACATGTATAGATATGACAGGAATAAATGAATCAAATCCGTATACATATATACATATATTTATATATTTACAGTTTCTGCAGACACTGAAGGACCAAAGTGCGACCCACCATGGGAAAAGCTTCACAGAACGTGTGTACAGTTCATGAAAGCGAAGCCATTTTTAACTTGGCAAAAAGCTCGCGATTCCTGTATAAGTATGAATGCTGACCTTCTCAGTGTTAACGACAAAGAAGAAAATGTAAGTGTTTATAATATTTATGAATGTTTAATTTGCGATTGTTCCCTTATGCTTGTACAGTTACTGGATATTACATTAAATTATGAATGGCATCACAAATGACGTCTGGTTCCGTTAGTCAAATTTATCCTGACGGATCATTTTGCATTCAGAATAGCCAAATCTACTGGTGCGTCTTCTGGCTGAAGGGTTGCCTTTACGTGTTGAGGCATCAGAATTGCATCCACCATTTATCTCTGTGTGGTCGTAAGAGGCAGTTTACTAAATGGCTTTGAATTACTGGAGTCTATGCATCTCAAAGCTCCCACAGGTATGGTTTTGACCCCTGGCGTTACTTTCAGTTTTTAACGCCCGATGTTGGCCAAAATCATCATTTCTGTTTCGGCGCCATATGACCATATGTTTTGGTGCTCAGTAAAACCAAATCATACAAACAAACCGAAGGTGCTATGGTTATTACGTTTATGTTTTTAATCATTTTAAAAATGATACGTGTACAATGTTGCAGTCAATAATCTGATTTTCTCCAGGCATGTCATTTGTCTAAAGCAAGGGGGGATAATTTCGCCTCGTGCCCTAAACGAGAAAACAAAGGCCGGAACTAAATAAAATAGAATTTTGAAAGGGATCAGAGGTTATGAAGCCTGTATATCACAGATAAGATAAATTTAAAAAGCAGGCCACGTACCATAAAAGTGATTCAACAGTATTCAAGTGAGATATACTGGAACTACCCAACAAGAAAATACCCGAATAGAAAGAACTAAATTACCACAAGCACAAAAATAATGTCGTGCTGAACGATCTTTAAGGATAGGAAATATAACATCTTGAATATACGGGGCGACTGTTTACAGCCTCGAAATGACACTAACAACGCTGATTATAATATATCCAAAATGGCTTTACAAATTCATGATACGGATACATTGTTATTTGTTGATGATTTGACACTTAAAAAAACGAAGGTGAATTGAAAAGGTACTTACAACTTGGTACTTATTTCAATTATATTGGCAACTTTCCTTCAAACCAGAAACACTTAATTGGCAAAGGTCTAAATGCATTGAATGTTTTACTGTATACATTTGTAATACATGTAGTATAAAATATTTAATATCTTAACTTATTCTACTGAAGTATGAGGTCGTTTTTAAATTTGAAGAAATTAGGCAAACACACGTGAAGTTTAGTAAAAGTGTTTTAAATGCCATGACTCTTCTTTTTTTCCGTTATTATGTGTAATTTTTATGATAAAGGTTAGAAGTCTATTTTATTTCTTAGAGGATATAAAAGGAAATTATAAAGTAAGTTTTTCAGCTGGTTAAGCATCTGTCCTTCGCTTTGATAGGGTCAGTGGGATAGTAAGAATCACTAGGTAAAATATGGTATACAATGTTCTATGAAGTTGCCAAATTAATGTCTAGCACTCTGTGTTTAAGATTAGAATTTGTATATGTTTTCAAATAACTCACCTGATAAAAAACAAATGCTCTTTACATGCTCTGTTGTCATATTGTATTTTTGTATGTTCATGATTACATGACATATTATTGTTGTTTTGTATATTTGCTTTATCAGTTTTTCCTGCTTTTGCATCGTTATAAAAGCAGACACTGCTTTGTAATAGCTCAGTCATTGAGAAACGTCAGTCCAAAAGATAAGATAAAATTTGACTGGCAAAAAAGAAACTTCAAAAATTCTCCTGTGATCATAGAATATTTTCATAAAAGTAATGTTTAACTTAAAAATTTTATTTACAACTTACTTGAAACTTGACATATTTTTCTTAAATCATCACCCACACATGGTTCATGTGTGTATGCTATTTTCTTTTTACTCGATGTATTTCAGGGAAAGTTGAAACCTTTAGTGAGGAGACATGTGCGTAGTAGGGACTTACTCTATTGGTGGATTGGAATACGTGAAGTTGGGCACTCCTGGCTGTGGTTGGATAATGACGAGCAATATGCAAACATACCGTACGTTTGTTTCCATTGATATATTTATACAGATTTATACACTTGAAGGTTATAAAATGCATTATTTTTTAATGTGTTACATTGTTTACAATAACTTATCAAAACTAAAGTAGGATGTACAAAACACAGAAAAATTTATACAAAAGTAAACTTTTCAAAATAGAAACATGAAAAAGAAGTTAATCTCTCTATTTTTTAGTATTTCATAAATATACCCTGTACTTGATTTTTCCATGAGACGCTGGTTAGGTCTATTATTTTGAATATTTAAAAAATTCAGACGCGAAATTGCTATATACTACAGTGTTCCGTTTGGACAATTGTGACTTTTTATTTAGTCTGTACCCGCGATGCACGATGGTACGATGGCGAAAGGGCAATGTCACGATAGTACGATGGTGAAAACACGATGGTACGATCATGAAAACGCGATGGTACGATGGTGAAATCTCGATGGCGCGATAGTATGATGGTGAAAACGCGATGTTAGCGATTTCACCATCGTACCATCGCGTTTTCACCATCGTACCATCGTACCATCGTGTTTCCATCATCGTGCCATCGCGTTTTCACCATCGTGCCGTTGACTTTTCACCATCGTACCATCGCACCATCGTGCCATTGCGTTTTTACCATCGTAACATCGCGCTTTCACCATCGTACCATCGCGTTTTCACCATCGTGCCATCGCGCTTTAACCATCGTACCATCGCGCTTTCACCATCGTGCATCGCGGTAACAGACTTAATTAGAAATCACGACTGTCCAAACGGAACACTATAAAATACGACTTAGTCCAAACGATTTATTGATTGAAAAAGTAAAGAAACTCAGAAAAGCAAATTCCAAGAAAAGGGACTTTTCTATATTGACATAGAAGAAGGATTCCATTTTATTCTTAAACGTAGAAAATATGACGATTTGCATACATGCAAAAAGAATTAAGAAATATTCTTACGAACATCCAAGCAAATTTATAGAACTTTTGAATTAAACAAACAAAACAATAATTACGAGGCATGCTCTTGATATAAAAAACATTCCATTTTACACAAAAGCCTGTTTAAGGTTTATGTTACATATGAAATAAGACAATTTTTTGTTGATGCTTTTTTGCTGATTTTTTTCTGTATCTCTACTTTCACTTAATTGTAAATATTTATTTGTAGATAATTGCACTATTTGAAAAGCGTATTTAATCTATTATGTAATTATCTGTTTATGCTTAAGAGCTTTTGATGCTTAAGACAAATAAACTTATGCTATTGTATGTTAACATTTCTTTTTCATTTTATTCACTGTTTTACAATAGAATGTATTTTATATCAGTTCTATTCACTGTATTCAAAAAGTAATATACTTCTATTTTGCTTTCTGTTAAAAATAACATGTATTTATATGTTAATATAATATGTTTATGTCGAGTTTTGTAATAATATGTAAATATTATATGTTTATATAATATGTATAATTAATTCCTCAGTAGTTACATTTTATACTGACTGTAAACTTAGCACTATTGCTTTATAATTGATTGGGTTTTTAATTTTACACATACATTTGTATATACAATGAATTTTACAGAAAATTTTTGACTTTGCCGGTGGCGTGGACGGTAGGTTGCACTTGACAGTACCGTCCACGAACAGGCTCAATCAAACCGAGCCTTCAACATTTTCAATTTTGCCGTGTTGGGCTTTCTTTAGGGATTCATATTTTCTCTATTTTGACTTTGAAAATTTCCGAATAAGTGATCGGATAATCAAATATATGTACTTCTTGGCAACTGTCCCAGTTGTTTAAAAAATAATATTGATCAATATATTTCAGTGAATGGGCAGCTGGTCCAGGTCGTTTTCACACAGGAAGATGCGGACTTTATAGTTTCAGGGGAACTCTGGAAAATGTGGAATGTGAACTAGAGAAACCTTACATATGTGAACAATTTAAAGGTAACTGAGACCAAGAAGTACCATAATTTATATTTTTAAGTTTACGTATAAATGTTGAAAAGGTCAAAGTATTCAACCTTTTAGCATATATAAATAAATCAGATAAATAGAGGATATTGAATGAGTGTAGGTTTAATACATGTACTAAATTTATTGATCTCGTTGAATAAAATCATATTATGCGAGCCTCTGACGAGCATACTATTGTTTTATTCAACGAGTTCAATACATTATATTACAGGCGCGTCAATGAATAATTACTCTTCTTTCACTTTAAACGGTCTTTACTTTGGGTATGTGATAAACAGAATATTAAATTTGTGTAAGCTCATTACTGAATTTATTGAACTCTTTGAATTCAATTATATTTTTCAACTCGTGCAATAAATTCATTATTGAACGCACACTCATTCAATATTTTTTTTGTTGTTTGTTTTTAGCTGACATGCAATTTGTTTAATATTATTGAATGTTTTGGCTTTACACGAGTTTTATGTTATTATTTCTACTGTAATTACCGTTTGACAAATAAAAACACGTTTTCTGTATGAATCACTGATATACTAAAACACCAGGTATACTCTTTTTCTAGCAAATTATCAATGTATTTCAATTTGTAGATATATATCGGTAATTCAAGCAAATGATCAATATATAAGAATCATTTCGTAGATATATATCAGGCAAATGATCAATATATTAGAATCATTTCGTAGATATATATCAGGAAAATAGTCTATATATTTTTTTGTTTGTTTGATTGGGTTTTAAATCGAATCGACACAGTATAGGTCAATGGCGACGTTCCAGCTTTTACTGGTGGAGGAAGAACTCAGGTGCCTTCCGCACATTATTTCAGGCACTAACGGGCACCTGAGTAGAACCACCGACGTTCCGTAAGCTAGCTGGATAGCTTCCTCACATGAAAGAATCCAGTCTCTGTCAGGGTTCGACCCCATAACGGAGAGGAGAAATGGTTTGAAGTCAACGACCTTAACCATGTGGTCATGGACGCCCCCTTATCAACATATTAGAGTCATTTCGTATATACATGTATGTATCAGGCAAATAATCAATATATTAGAATCATTTTGTAGAAATATATCAGGCCAATAATTAATTTATGATATTCATTTTGTAAATAATAAATATTATATCCGGCAAATGATCAATATATTTCAAGCATTTTGTTTTTACATTATATATCATACCGACACCTATAAAATTGAATCTTTAGATATGATAAAATGTCATTTCATATCAGTAGATTGTCTGCTTTTTTTGTTGACCAGCACATATTTTATTGTATATATTTCTATTAGTGACGACTGATTCAACGACCTCAACAACAACAACAACAACAACAACAACAACAACAACAGAAAAGGCCACTTCAGCCTCAACCGATAAACAAACTCCAAACCCAATTACAGAATCATACACTACAACAGTCATTAACAAAGGGCCTCTAACAGACAGAATAACTGGTAATTTAACCATGATTTATATTTTTAAGTTTACATATTAATGCTGGAAAGGTCAAAATATCCCACCTTTTAGCATATATAAATAAATCAGATACAGTTCTATTAAGTTGCCAATCAACCATTGATAGATATATATGATTTTAACCTTTGTTGTAAATATATACAATTATCCTTGAGATAAACAGTGTATTTCAACCACTTTATAGATATATGTAGATATATACATTGTATGTATTATATGCTTTTATGTGAAAAGTGAAATTATTGTTTTATCAATTCCATGGTGAAATTATCAAAACATAGTTTATCTGAAGCTATATTTGAATGCGGATAAAAAAATGTATAGTAAATGAATGGAAATTTGACAGAAATACACTCCACCGTTAGTAAAATATGCATGATTACGGAAAACCATTTTCACAAAACATGTTCTAATGTCAAAATGTTCGAGCTTTTTGTAAAAGAAATATGCCAAGTCCAACGTCATTTTAAGTTTTATAGCGCGCGAGAATTGGAATGTGGAGGGCAGAATAAAGGAAAATTGACAGTTCGTAGAGACAAAAAACCCGGTAAGTTATCAGTTTCTCCGGCTTTTTTAATTTCTTTTATCATTTCTGTGCAATACATTTTGTCAATATTGATTTTTTCATGATGGTTTGCTTTGTTAGATAATTTAGATTTTAGAAAATTCGTAAATACTATTTTAGATGTAGAACTAAAGCTACTTACTCACAAAATGCCATTAACAGGCAGCTCCAAATTTATGGAAACAGATTGACAGAAAACACCACATTTATTGAGTCTGACTTGCAGACAGCACCACATTAATTGAGTCTAATTGACAAACTGCACAAAATTTAGGGAGAATAATTGACAGATAGAACCACATCTTTGAATGATTATTCTAATTGTGAAAAAATGACCCGAAATTGAAAAGTGTGGCAATGCTTTTCACTGAAATCAGAAGAATAGAAATGTTATTTTTAAGTTTATTTCCTAATTATATCTTGAATAGTTTTCTATTAAAAGTGCCCCAGCTCACATTTGTAAGAATTTCCAATGTTAAGTTTTTAAGCTTTGCACGTCAATGGAGTTTCTTTAAAAATCATTGTAAGCATGACATGTACATTGTTATGTTAATTGTCATGGGTCTTGTTATAGTGTTGTCATGCTATAAACTACGAAAGCTTGTTCACCAAAAGAGGCATTCGGGGTATATAACTTCTTACACATACACATATTTCCTGACCTGACAGAATGGTACTGCAAGCTCGAAAAGTGATCTTTTAATGGGTTCTCTGACTATTAGTTGAATAACAGTTAGTTGACAAATCATTAAACATTATTTCTTGAATGGCGGAACCAAACATTCTGGCATAAGTCTGAACATACGTAATTGTGAACTGTGAAATAATTACGTAATTTCTAATCAAAATCAGCAATATAAATTGTCTATGTTTTGAATAGAATTCTATTGATTTATTGCTGATAACAGATATTAATATTACAAACATTTTGCATTTCTTTGTCTATTGTAAATATATTCTCAAATACAATAAATGTCTTTTAACTGTAATAGATGACACACAATGAAATTCTAAAAAATAATATTTAAGATCAGATTCATATTCAAAATAGATATTAGATGTTTCAACGCTGACCTACGGGTGTGCAAAAACATTTTTTTATTTTTGTACTTATGGCTTATTAAACATATTTCAGTACTTTATATCTTTGTTACTTTATATCTTTGTTACTTTTTATTACTCAGTGTTTGCATAGCCGTTCAACTTCTTTTTTTGTACATCTTTTTTCTGCGCTTCTATGAAACAGTCGTAAGTCCTGGTTTCTGTCATTAACTTATCGTCAATAACAATTTGCATATTATAAGCTGTTGACGAGATAAACGGCAGAATATTGCCTTGCTTTTCAATGCTTTTGAACATGATTATTTTCTTTATTGGAGAATAATATATTACATCCTAATGCAAAATAGTGTGCAGCAATTTGTGACCTAGAAAATACCTTTATATTCAGCATTTTTTGTCACACAGGGTATGTTTTACGGACAACCTAAACATGAATATTGAAAGGGTTCCTTTTGCAGAAATAAGAAAACTCTAAATAGTTAAAATACTATCCTTATTGATTTTTTTAAAAATTTTATTTAAGAAAAAATAAAGCAACATAAAAACAACGTTAAACTAACTATGAAACTACATAAATTACATTGTAGAAAAATGCATATAAATGTAATGTATCTTTCTGTTCTTTTTCAACACTTATACCTTTATCATCTATTTTTATAATACTTTTAATTTTTTTTTATTACACTTGTTATCAAAAGTAGCATTATTAAGCCTATAAATACATATGATAATATAGTATAGGTCCTAGGAGATACAAAAAATAGGTTCACAGAAAAATCTAAAAAAAACAACACACTTGTTGTAGTTTGAACAGAGGACTCTTGGTTTCCCCATTACAGCTAAGTTGTAAATTGTATCTTTTAAATACTCTTCAAAGTGAAAGTAATACATAATTTGTATACTACTTAAAGTGTCACAGTAAAGTGTTATAGAATATTTTAAGAAGTGCATCTTATAAAAATATAAAACAGCATGTAATGGTATCACATGACAAGTATTCTTTCATGAATATCAAAAGATTGTATAACAATGCGATCAAAAAGAAAGCTCTTATGCATCACAGACTGATTAATATAATAAGCATGTCAGTACATTACATTAAACAAAAAAATAAAGAAACTACATTAATATGTATCAAAGAATAGGTATTATAACATAAATGTGACAGGGATTATATTACATAGAGAGAAAAAACACGCAAAACACAAACAAACAAAAAACCTCTAATGTATCACATACTTAATAATTTCACTGAATAATATAAAAATTTATAATAATATATATAATAATTTAAAAAGCGGCTTTAACAATTGGAAAAGAATAGCTATTTTATTATGAATGTCAAAGAGATTATGTCACGCAGCATTCAGATTATTTTTATCAAATAAGTATTATATTTAATGTTTAAGCATATACCCCATTTAATAAATATATTTCACATATTAAAATAACTATAATAAATGTATAAATTAAAAGTATTTATAAACTTGTACAGAACATTTATCTATGTAACTAAGGTAAACAAACCCAACCGGAGTGGTTTCCTGATATGTACCCATTTTGATAAATGTTTTATTTATATTACTGTTGGGACTGTTAAAACCATGAATAAAATGATTTTGATGATGAAAAAATTTTTAGGGAGATGTTTAAACTATTTATTTGCCTTCCTCCTGTTACAAAACCCGGACTATTAAATAAATATAGAAGTTCAACTAATTGATCTCCCCGTTTTTAGGCCAAACTATGAGAAATTTTTCCCTGAGAATTTTAAAATTCCCATCCAAGAGGGATTTTAAAAAAATATAAACCCCGTTGTCCCCAGTTTTCCCCCCAATTTGTCCCCAATCGGAAATCCAGATACCCCTTTCCAAAGGAAAACCCTTTTTGATGGATTTTAAATGCGGGATATAAAAAGAAAAAAGGGGAGGGCCCAACCCAAATTTTTTAAATGAAACTATAAAAAACAAAAAAGGACATTACAAGGGGCCATCCACCCCGGGGAATTTTGGGAGCCCCACAATCTTGACTGGATTTTTCAGCTTAGGGAAAATGGATTAAAGCTTAATCTTTCCCTTTTAGATCTCAGGAAAATGTGACTAATACATAAAATTTGCCCAATTCAAACCTTTATCCGGAATCTAAAATTACTGGGGGACCCTCCTGCTATCCCCCTAAAAAACAAAGTATTAAACTTTTATGAAAATAATGTGAATTTTAATAAATTTTGTGGAGGGTATCATTTGTTTTAAAATGCAAATTTTTTCCCTTAATCAACTATGAAAATTTTAAAAGGTTTATGGGGCGTTTTGTTTTTATAACTTTGGGTTATTTCTATTTTCTTAAATCAGACAGTTTTTATACTTTTCCCCCACTAAACCCTGTTAAAGTAAATTTGTTGCATAAAATAATCAATGGGGAAAAATCAGCCCCAGGATTTAGAAAAATCCAAAGGATATAGAAACCAGATGAAAAAACCCTTTTAGATGAACAAATCCCCAGTTACCCCCACTTAGAACAGAAAATAGAAGAAATAACTTCAAAAAATAAAAATGACCCTGTCCAATGACAATCAAGAAACACAAACAAGGCTATTAAGTCTTGGAGAAGATATTGAGAAGCTGAAAAAGAGTAAATATCCACAACAAACTAAGAGTGACCACATACTGAATTATACTAACCGAGAAACCTTTCCTGATCCAGAAATTGATTTTCCCCTCTTAAACCAGCAGAAGGACACACCTTACACAGAAAATCATCTAAATATGAAGATAAAACCACCAACATTTGACGGAAAAGAAGATTTATATGAATTTCTTGATTCATTCAAGATTTGCTGTGAAATTAATCAGTGGAACTACAATGCAACCGGGCTATACTTAGCAAGTTGTCTAAGTGGCAATGCAAGATCACTTTTGACTGAATTAAATGGTACAGAAAAGAAGGACTATGATACGCTCATTAAAAGCTTACTGAAAGATATAGATGTCTAAATAAAGTAGAAGTCTTTAGAACACACATAAGGACAAGAGTACGTTAAAATGGTGAAGAAATTTCAGAACTTGCCCGCAGTATTAAGAAGTTAAGCCAACAAGCTTATCCAGATGCCCCACCACAATGGACAGACACAATTGCAGTTGACTGTTTAATAAATGCAATGCAAACTACAGAGATGAAAATGAAATTAAGAGAAGCTAATGTAAAAACCTTATCTGAAGCTGAACAAACTGCCATACGCCTAGAAACTTTTCGTACAGCTGACCAACAAAGACATCCATCAATAACTGTAGCTGCTACTGGAATGAAAAATCTGATACTAAACCTTTCAAGACAATCAGGATAAACTGAAATCTATTTGTGACTCGTTACAAAACTTAATCCAGCAGTTTCAAAGGATGACACAGAATCAAAAGCAGAACAACTACCCCTCCTCTTTCACAAGAAATGAACAACAAAGACATCAAAGCAATAGAGACCGGAGTAGATGAAATCAATTTCAACATACTTCCGTTGAAAATCAATTTAACAGGAACTCTACACACACAACAGACAAACAACTAATGTGTCGGGAAACGAGAACCAGTCTTTCTTGAGGCCCACAGGCAGACAGAAAAACAGAGGCCACAGACAATAAATGAAATTACAGATCAAGCAAGTCAAGAAGGATGTTTCTTATCTACTTTTATACAAAATCAGCCTACAAAGATGTTAATAGATACACGATCTAAAGTGACTATATTACAAAAGAAAATGATAGATAGTAGGCCAAAAGATAGTAGGCCAAAAGAAGACAAACCAAGAATCCAACCTGTAAATGCCCAATTACTCGGAATAACTGGCGAAAAAGCACCTTTTCATGGAAAAACTATAGTTAACATTAAAATAGGAGAACAAAACTTTGATGTACCAGTATATGTAGCAGATATCCAACAATAAGCACTCTAAGGAAGAGATTTTATAATGACACAAAAATGTGAACTTCGATTAAGCGACCAGACTATGAACTTAAATGGAGAAATAATTCATTATTACAGCGTAACCAATTAAAATGTTCCTTGTTATACCATCATAACAGAAGACCTTGAAATACGATCATCACATCAGGTCGATTTTTATCAAATATGGTAAACAAGATCAACAAGGAAAGGTGGCGTTCAATGAATGCAACCCCCATATGACCCAGCAACATGAACCAGTGGCAAGGAGCCCAGGCGGACCCCAAACAAAAACAGGGCAGGGCACAAGTCAGCACGGACAGTTTGTTATTCAACAAATTGTATAGGTATTGTTGGGGGAAAATTCTTTTTAAAAAATAAAAAAACCATGACTTTTTTGGGGGAACCCAGATTAGTTAGCCCAAGAAAAAGGCTTTTATCCCTTTTTAAAAACCTTGAAAAATTTTACTACATCCCAAAAATGATAGGGCAAAAATTTACCTAACTACCCAAATCTTAAACCCAGTTCAATTTTTCCAAAAAAATTTTAGAAGTAAAAAACAGTCCAAAAAAAAAATAAACATTAACAGGGGGTTTTAAATGGGATTTTTCTAATGAATGCCCAAAGGGATAAAAAACCCAAAGTTTTAAAAAATTTAACTGACGGGAATATCAAAAAAAATTTTTTCGAAATTGAAATGACATTGGTAGGCAATTATAAAATTTCACTATGTTTACCGGAGAAAGCTTCATGTCCAAAACCCCGTATAGTTTACCCCAAAAAAAGGGAAAGTTGCAGAAAAAGAGATACAGAAATTATTAAAACAAGACTTGATTGAACAAGCACAGAGCCCATGGCTGTCACCTGTAAGTATTGTAACAGTATCGATTTTCAAAAAATCAATGGCAAAGTCAAATTTGACTCACATCCTTTACCTAGAATTGACCAATCGTTAGAGTCATCAGCAAACAAGAAATATTTTTCTAGCATGGACTATAAGAAAAAAAAATCTGGAAACAAAGTAGTCCCTCGGTAGCATAAATCAAAAAAAAATTACACAAGAATTGCAGACTCGGTTTGACTGAGTCTGTACATGAGGGATAATGAATAAGTGCAACATCCCTCACGCCCCCTAGCACCGGCTTGAGCGGTACTCAATTCTCAACACTTAAAAGTGCTGGCATCAATGATCCAGAAGGACCAGAAAATATAACAACACTGAAGTGAAGTAAGGGGCAACTTTTTACGGCTGCCACACGGCACTTGACACCTGCTGTTGTGAAGTACAAAATTCTGGAAACAAAGTGATCCCTCGGAAGCATTTATCACAACAAAATTACACAAGAATTGCAGACGCGGTTTGATTGAGTCTGTACATGAGGGATAATGAATAAGTGCAACATCCCTCACGCCCCCTAGCACCGGCTTGAGCGGTACTAAATTCTCAACACTTAATAGTGCTGGCATCAATGATCCCGAAGGACCAGAAAATATAACAACACTGAAGTGAAGTACGGGGCAACTTTTTACGGCTGAAAAATGCTTCAATACTGATGAAACTTGGCACAAATGTTGACCAGACCATAGCCTCTGTAACAGCATGCGCAATCGTAAATTTCCTCTTACCATGGCAACGGGGGACGTCTCAAAATTGCCAAAAATCACTATTTTGCATTGTTTTTTTCATCAAAACTGATTTCAAAGTGCTGCAACTTCTCATTCAATGAATTGAGATAGAGTTAAATGCTTTTCAGCGTCTGTTACTAGTTACCCTAAAACATGATAAACAAGATCAACAAGGAAAGGCGGCGTTCAATGAACGTAACCCCATATGACCCAGCCACTAAGATCGGCCTGAGGCCATTTTTAGCCTGTCACATGTCCAAAATTTTCTTGGTAATGAGGGGGACTCCGCTCCCCTTCAAACCCCCCCACCAAACAGAAGGGGGCACACAGATGAAAAAGAAACAACAGAAACAAAGTAAAAAACCCTGAAAATAACAAAAGAAAACAACGAAAATGTACACCAGATAACTTCAGCATATTAAGGAAATCTAATCCACAAAAAGAACAAATCACAAATAAAAATGTTGAAGGTTACATATTGAAAGAAGTAATAGACAACCAATTTAACATTAGTGATACAAAAATAGTGATATCAGAATACCAAACAACACCAATACCCAGTGATTGCGAATCCGAAGAAGAAACAGACGACCCATTCCAAATGGAAAGCGACTACGAAAAACTCCAACTTATTCAAAGACAACAAGAATAATTCATTCAATTAAACATAGGCGGGAACTAAAAAAAATTCGCCTGTCAATATTCAGAAGAACTGTATATTTATAGACAGAGAACCATGCCACTTCCGTTTTATCCTGAACTACTTGAGAAATGAATGCCATATACCAACAACACTATTCCCATCAAACCCGACAACAATACAAGAGAGTGTATTAGACGCTAAATTCTACAACATTAAAGAACTCATCAAGGACTTGAAGAAGATACTAAATTAGAAGCAGTAAACTAGAAAATTGTAAACAAAAATATATGTAAAGAAAGATCAAATCCAAATTTCACTCTTTATCACTAAGTATACTTACCATTTCACTCTATGTTAACCTGTTATTTCTGGGGAGCGGAAGAGAACCAGTCCAAACATTTGATCTTTCTGTAACTAAAATTAACATAATATTAACAATATACTTGTACATGTATATTACAAAGACATTTTTGTTCTATTCAAACTTAAAATTATTATGTAAATTAATACAAAAAGTAGGCTAGGTATATTAAATTAATATATTTTACTGTACGAGAGATTTTCTCAAATTTTTATAATACGTTGAGCTACCGCTTATTTTATTGGTGAACCTTAAATATTATATATTTTAGCTAACTTACAAATAGTTAAGCTGTGTTGGATAATGAATGTTTTGAGATATACTCTAGACTGTTAGCATAAGTAATAGAAAGAGCACCGAAACACGAGGCTATCTGATTTGTACGAGGGGGCGTAGCCCCCCGAGTATAAATCAGATTGCCGAGTGTTTTGGTGTTCTTTCTCTTTTGTATCATAGTCAAACATGACAGCACGTTCCCTGTTGTCATAATATGAAACCCGAGAAAAAAATAACCAATGAACGAGCATTTGAATATGATAGTTCTGCCCCTTTCCCTTTCTCTGCCGACACAATATGTAAACCCCAGCAAAAATGAACCAATCAACGGGCATTATCTGGAGTGCGGGTAACTGATACCTGCACTCCAGTTACCGCACTGTGCATGTATATGTATGCGATTTAACTCTGACACTTTTTCAACAGAAAGGTCCCCAAACTATGATACAACTTTTATTCAAAGTATTATCTGAGAGATAAGTGCAGCCGTTTGAAATTAAAAATAAACCATTTGGCATATTCACTCCTCTCAGCTAATCTAGTCCAATTATGGTTATGAATAAATGTAAAACGGCTCATATTAAATAATTATGTATCTAATGCCCTGTGATGGATAGACTCCTACTTTTTTTCCTACATGTACAAGATTATTAATCATTAACATATATTCATTTATATTATGATGACAGTATAAAGATAGTTTTTGAGTCTTAAGTATAGTTAACGAATAAGTATTAATAATATAGAAGATTGTTAATGAATGTATTATTATGGCATGACTTGTATAGTTCTGTGGCGGTACCCACCATCGGATATCTAAATTTATGTGGAATAATGATGGAGGTGAAAGACTCCTAGTGGTTCAACCTTGAAGTGCTGAGAGGTAGCTGTCCTTAGTAGCCTTTTATATGTAGTATAACTACATTATGTATTGCTCCGTATTCATAAGTTTAGCATGCTTAAACCATAATTTTATGTGAACTCATTGTTGGATATCATACCATCATATATACCTATGCCTAGAGAACTCTTGTGGCCAGAGAGTATCTTCAACAAAAACAACACCTGTCTCAAATGTCTACCAAAATCCTACAAAACATAAAATAAAAATCTTTGTGTGAATAAGTGATTATTAAGAGTAAATGATTATATTTATGTGTAACAGTGTGTATAAATGAGAAAATGTTTAGCATGTATTATTTTATATAAATTGTTCTATACATTGTTTATGATGAATGATTACAGTCTGATAATCTTGGAATTCATTGTGTTAGAATAATTCAGTAATTAGAAAATTTGATATTTATTTACTTAATAATTAAGATAGTATTACTTACCAAAAGTACTGATTCATTAAGGATGCTCTACAAACCAATGTAATTACTGAAATTTAAACATGTGTTTAAGATTAATACATGAAGATTAATCTCGCCCAAATTCAGTTATATCAGTATATGTTGTATAATTTAATTGTTAATTGATAAAATATTTACATGTATGGCTATACCATACAGGGTAACAAAATATAACTTTCATACTATCATATATGTATGTAAAACATTTCTTTAAATAACTACAAATGTATGTACCTATTAAAGCGTAACTTCATACTATGTATGCAATTTAAATTGTATTGAAACTAATGTTTATTTGTGCATTATTGTAACTTAGGATAAATATCAAAGACACTCAGACTTACAGTCTATGTTCCCTATCATACGAATACACGTATTTTATTTGTAATTGTTTATTATTGTTAAACCATGGTGTATAAATGAAAAGCTTATATGAGAAAAGTAATTTGAAAACGTTAATAAAATTTCGTACGACGTGAAATTCACACATGATAAATTCCCATTTTTTTCTGTATATAATTAATAAATCATACTTACCTTATAACTCTGAATCCTTTGCGGGATGGGGGTAATGTTACGAAGTTCATTTCGTCCAAACATCACGACACTTTTTATAACTACGGAAACCACGTTAATATTTGTTGACAGTTATCATATTTATTCTGATTTATTAAGATATGTATAATACTTGATGTTTACGTCATATTGCCTATTTGTAATCCCTTATTTATTGCTACATAACTCATAAAACTTGTGTCATGCCTTGTGTTTCATCCATTATTAGTTGGTACTGATTAGAATTCCAGATGCAATCGCAACTACTCGGCCCTTTCCGTCAGTCGTCGGATAAGGACCTCGAACACAATAGTATGAATACACAGCACGGATGCGCTATTCCGGTCTAACCTACGCTAAGAAATTAAACATGTAAACAAATAGTAATTTAATGCTGGGAGTTGTTAACAAGTTTATTTCCAATATATGTAGTAAAAGTCCACCTAAAATAAATGAATTCATAGGTACAAAATCAAACAATACATTATTTATATATTTATCATTATGGTTGTAGAAACCGAAAGTACAAAGAACCAACCTGTTGACATTTACTTGGATTTGTTTAAAATTGAACATCAGTGGGCATATTTAGATAACAAATTGTTGTCAGACATATTTTCAAGCATAAGAATACCGGAACAGACATAAGATGTCAAATATATACATTTGTTTTACATTATCTCTGTTTCTGTTTACATCTGAAACCACGTGGTAGAACTATTTTCAGTCCGTATTGTTTCCGAGGTTATTATAGATAATAGCCGAGGCAGTTCCGAATGTTCCAGATGGAGACCTAGAATGACAATGTGACGTCATCAAATACCTCACATGAAACATCTGGGTACTCAGCACGTCATTATATGAAGTCACGTTACTCTTTCAAAGGGTCATGTGACCTTTTCCTATAAATACCCCAGATTTTGTCTTGAACTTGGTCAATTGTATTGTCCGCTTTACAGACGCAACCTATATGCACAATGCCTTATAGAAAATATCCATCTGGAGAGGTAGTACCCAGAATCATTTAATAAATATATTTCACATATTAAAATAACTATAATAAACGTATAAATTAAAAGTATTTATAAACTTGTACAGAACATTTATCTATGTAACTAAGGTAAACAAACCCAACCGGAGTGGTTTCCTGATATGTACCCATTTTGATAAATGTTTTATTTATATTACTGTTGACTGTGTATACATGAATGAATGATGTTGATGATGAATAAATGAGATGTTGAACTAATTACTGCCTTCCTCCTGTTACAACATACCCTGACTATTGAATACATATAGAAGTTAAACTAGGATCTACCCGCTATATAGGCCTACTACTGAGATATACATCCTGAGAAGTATAAATTGTTACCCGGGGACTAGCAGGCTCTCGCCGGTCCAATACATACAAAATGACAAAATTACTTTATTTACAAAATAGCATTATTTACAAATAACTATTTACAAAATACATGAACCTTTATTTACAAATTGACATAGCTTTATTTACAAAAAGCTTTCTCAATAAAAAAAGTGTAATCATTGGATAATAGTAATGGTTTGAAAAATAGTGTATACCCTTTCATATTATACCTTGTGTAACATCAATATACTTATTTATTCAACAGAACAGAAATAAATGGATATTAAACTAGCAGTGTAAGACAGTGTAACTGTCTTTATATGGCTGATAATGTATTTTTGTATTTCTAAATACCCTTCGCGTTCGCTTAAAATTTTAGCAAATGAAACAGTGATACTATGAATTATGATCTAAAAATAATAAACATGTGAAGGCCTTATTATAGGTTTCATCCAGTATCCATTCCTTTGTTTGTTTCATTCTTTCATTCCTGAAAAATGTGAACATTTTAAATTGAGAAAATAGGATTGAGAAATACATTTACACAGATTTTAAAACATATACAAGTAAAGCAGTAAGTTATATATGTGTTCTGTGGTTAAAATAAATCAAACTTGGCCACTGCGGTATATTGAACATATTTGAGTAATATCTTTCATTTATTTCTTATAGCAAGATACATCTAAATGAATAAGAGCAAATTAAATTATTTTCCTCATTTGAATGTTGACAGTTATTTAGATTTATTTACAAAAAAGTTTATTATAAGACATGATGTTGTCAATCATTTGTAACAGAATTACCTCCCTTGAACTTAGAATTTTTATGAAAAAAATGTTGTCGTTTTTAAATAACTTCTTTATTTCTTAATGTATCTACTTCAAACTTCATATATATGTTTCTTATTTTCACTCAACATTTTTGGGAAGGTTAAATACTCTAGCAAGACTATTTCCAGAATTATGTCCCCCTTGAACTTAGATTTTTTTTCGAGGTATTGGTATTTTTTACTCCAATTTCTTCATTCCTTATAGGATTTATTTTAAAATCCCACATCGTAATAATATGACAAGGTTTATAAATCTAGAATCCATATTTCTAACCGGTAGGGGACTTATGGATTGCTTGCAATACTATGATAATTGCTTGTTTAGTAAACAATCAAGGGCATCAAAATTTACAGTATACTTTAGTCAGATGTAATATGATTATGTAGAAGAATTTCATAGAAATGAACTGAAATAATACATTACGTAACGTAACATATGTGCTATATTAATTCTATATCACTTGATAAATACAAAAAATACTCTAGTATTGTTTGGTTTTATTAACCTGTCAATTACATACTGATTACACGGTCGATGCACACAGTATATTAATCTTCGGGAGATGTTCGGTAAGTTCCGTGAGATGTACGCTGTACGATGGAATTTAATTTAATTTCTATCTCTAAACTAAGTGTACCCAGCGTTATAGCCCAATAGGGTAAATCACGAATTTATAATCTAAGTGCTACACGTGTTTTAAGCTCGAGGCCGCGTTGGTCCATGTTTTTTCTTAGTAATACTTCCAACATTATTGAATTTATATATGATCATTTTATGTTGTTCGTATTGTTTGATTATGTTTTACTTAATTTTGTTATGTATATACTCTTTTTAAATAACATGTTTTTTTAAGAATTCATGTTTAAAATTAAAACGGAGTAAAATCAATAAATGTCTTTTCAATGCCGTAAAACACACTACAAATCTGTTCCATTAAAATATGCTGCAAAAATAAAGAGTATTAAAACAATGGCAACAGTTAGGATCGAACCACAGACCTCTCAATTATCAGGCATTCTCTTTACCGACTGTCCTATTGTGAATTAACGAAAACCTTCACATTAAGCTGGCGTGACTTTCAATCCATGACTAATATACTCCACATTAATTCTCGTAAACTACACGGACCAAACCGAAGTGGGATCGAATATTTAAATGAGTCCTATAATGTATTCATAATTGACAGGTCAATAAAATCAGACTATAATATAAACCGCCAATAATATATCGGTTTCTCAACATAACAAATACACATTTTACAAAGAAATATATTATTCAATATATAATTGATTGAATATAACGCAAAGTAGACCTTACCAGTTTTTGCTAGATATGCCCGAACAGTGCCTTTAATATATTTCCCGCAACTTTCTACCGAGCAGTATCTAATCTTAGGTGCACAAGTTTCACATGTAACTAAATGTCCACATGGTAGAAAAACGATGCATACATCATTTTGTTTACATTTGGTACACAATGATTGTTGTTTCATCTGTTCATTCTCTTGTTTGAGCTTTTTCTGTTCCAATAATTGTGACTTTTCTAAAAGAGAAAATTAAATAACATTTGCTTAAATTTTATACTGATTACAATGTATTCACTCAGGCATTTAATTTCAAAATTCAATTACTTTTTGAGCACAGTTTCCCAACTTTAAAGCACATTTTGTGACTCATGATTTATTATTTGTTACCAATTATTAAGTAAAAAAACATTGAATACTTTATTTTTTGACTACTTTATTAAACATACTGATATTTTACAATATGACTTAAGGCTTGGGTGTATATCCTCTTATCGTATTTATGTAAAATTTAGAATAAAGTTTGGTTTGTTTATTTCTACAACCTACCAAAAAATACATATACTGAAGAGCTGTAGCCCCTTTTGTCAGTTAATTTTCATTCATCTTCGAACAATTTTACTTTTTTAGCCTATACAATATACAACTTTCTATAATTTGTTAGTCACATCCAAGGGGAAACCAATTAAATGTTTTACATACTATTTTGAGGTCTGGTTGCTTCACTGCTTGCATTTGTTGTTAAGGATGCTTGGGAGGATTTATCCCCTACTGGAGCCGACTGAGTCCTTGCAGAATTTGATGATGCTGAACCAGTATCAATTAATACTCTTTGGCTTTGGGTGTTATTGTTAATTGTAACTGGTGCTTGAGCAATTGCATTTGACTGGTTCGGAGGTGTTCCTTGGACAGGTTGGTTATTTTCATCATTGGCCGATGCTTCATCTTCTAACTCGAAGATTTTCTCCATCAAAATTGTGGCGTTTAAAGTTCGCCCATCTTTTAAAATATAAACATGATATTTTTATCCTCATGTAAAACAAGATTTTTTTCTGCACATTAATGATTGTGCATTAATACTAAGTAAATGTTTATAGTGTTTTTGTGATACAAACAGGCTTTGTTACATAATAAGCATATCAATAAAAAACAAATTATAATTTCTAATGTAAGTTAATTAAATGTGTGTACCATTTCCATCTCTCAATGCACGTAAGGCGCTTCGTATGACATGTGGAGTGTAGCCCATCTCTAGTACACTTTGGGCAGCATCTGTATGCATTTGGCGTTCTAAATCAGCATCAGACGAAGACCCTGTTTGATAAAGAAAGTACATGTCTTAATTATTGAAATATAAACATCCTATTAACACTTTTATAACAAGAAATATCGAACGACACATATGACATCATATTAAGCTGTTGACTCACATTATTGGTATTTTTGTTATAAAAACTTGCCATAAATGGAAACATGGTAGTGTTCAGTTATGAAAAAAAAGAAAAATAATGTCCTAGTAGTTATAACCAATCAATATGTGAAATATAAAAAACTTTGACCTTTGAACATTTTGACAAATCAATAATTATGTGAAAAATAAAGAGTGTGATCAAATGTTTTCAAGGTAATAAGTGGAAACCATATTTACATCTAAGGCCCCTGTGACATTGACCTTTAAACTAGTGATCCTGAAACCAATAGGGGTCATCAACTAATCAAGACTAATCTCGGTACCAAATATGAAGACTGGGGTTCAAAGGATTCTTAAGTCATTGGGCGGACAAGCTTTTGAAGATTTTGTGACCAAAAAGGGGTCATCTACTAGTTATGATTTAATCAGTATGTGAAATATTAATATTTTGTGATAAATATTTCCAAGATAATGAGCAGAAACCATTCTGACATTTAAGGCCTCTGTGACCTTGAACTTTAACTAAGTGACTCCAAAATCAAAAGGGGTCATCTACTAGTTATGACCAATCACTAAGTGAAATATGAAGACTTTGTGATGAATAGTTTTCAAGATACTCAGAAGAAACCATTCTGACATGGAAGGCTCCTGTGACCTTAGCCTTTGACAGAATGACCCTAAAATAAAACAGGGTCATCTACTGGTTATCATTATGTGAAATATGAAGACTTTGTGATAAATAGTTTTTAAGATAATCAGCAGAAACCATGTCGTCTACAGACAGACAAAACCGAACGACTCACCGACCGGCATCCCAAAAGGTGGTCTTTTGAGAAAAAAAATTGAGTATTTTAAATAAAAAAGCAATGGACAAACTGCAATGAAACACAAAATTTTTGTCATAGAATGTATTCAATATTATCAGAGCAACTGTTCACTGTTGTTTAGTTAATTTTCATTTTTTTTTGACAAAAAAAACAAAACAACAACAACAACAAAAAAAAAGAAAAACAAATCTCACCGATAGGACTTGCACCTCGAGTCTGGAAGTTTCCATTTTGCCAATTAAAATAAAAAGGTAAACAGTTTAATATCTTAAAGGCATCTACATATTGGCTTAAATGATAGTTTTGTATGCAGTCTCAAAGCAATAAAAAGATTTATTACAAACACAATTAAATAAATAAATCATGTACATGAAGATATATTTACTTAGTACAAGGCAGATTCTTTAATCAGTCTTTTTCAAAAAATAGTTCCAACACAAAAATGTCAGGAAAAATATTAGAAACTTACATTCTGAAAATACTGTACAATATTCACAAACTCTTGACCTCTCACTTGTTTAACAAATAAACAATCCTTTGACCATATACTATGTGTGATCCAAGGATCATCGTCTTCTGACCAATTACGAAAACCTGAAAATGAATGGTAGATCTAATTTAAAAGAAATCAAATAATAAACCCATAATTGACATTAATTGAAATTTCATGTTTTAATTTGTTTTTGTTTTGTTTTTTTTACAAAAAAACACCCCCATTACTAAACTAAAATTCAGTTGTCATTAAGGACGACATATGGCTACTTTTCAGCTATACTGGTGAAGGAAGACTTCATGTGCCTTTCTATTGCATTATTCCAGAAACAAACTTGCACCCGAGTAGAACCACCGATGTTCTGTAAGCTAGCTGGATAGTTTCCTTATGTGAAAGATTCAAAAGTCCCTAGCGAAATTAGAATACCCACCTTGGAGCTCAAGTGGTTCAAAATCAATGACCTAAACCGCATGGCTTCAGATGCAAACAAATGAGAATCTGCTTTCAAATTTTGAGTCAAAGTAAGAGGGACATGCCTTGCATGTGTTGTTGAGACCATACGGAGAGTGCTTGTCTTTTCTCCTTTTCATTATACAAAGCCAAAAGTGAAAGGACATTTTAGCTTTAGCAGCCCCTAAAAAGGGCATATCGCAAACATTAAAGTGTTCCTAAGAATGTTACAGAAATAGTTTTGTGATTATCCATTAATTTGTTCGGTTGGAGAATATGTTTAATTGTTTTTCTATTTGAAATTAAGCGGCCCCTAAAAGAGGTCACAATTAAATGAATATAAACAAAATTGAATAAAAGACTACTTATGAATGCTACGGGAAAAATTTGGTAATCAATCAATTAGTTCAGCAGAAGATGGTATGTTTGTCTATTTTAGCGGCCCCTTTTCATTAAAGGGTCAATCAAGTTAATATGAGCAAATTTCATAAAGTACTACCTAATACAGACAAGGTTTGGTGTTCATTCATCAATTAGTACAGTAGAAAGAGATGTTTAAAGTTTTTTTTTTTATTTTTATATCTGTTGACCCCTTAAAGGGGCAAATTGAAATGGTATGTGCAAGTTTAAGTGTGACTGTCACAAGGACGCTACAGACCAAATTGGAAGAAAATTGACCAGTAGTTTCAGAGAAGAAGATAAATGTTGACGCATAACGACGGACGACGTACTACAGACACCAGAGCCTCCCCCTTCGATACTAATAGCTCACCTGAACTTTCAGTTAACATATTTACACATCTACATTACATTACTTGAAAACCCATAATGTCTCAAAAATAGAAATTTGCTGTCACAAACATAAGATTTTTGGTCAATTCTTAGTTTCCAAAATACATATTCGCTGTTAAAAAGGAACTTTTTGCTTCTTTTGCTCTGTTTGCAATTGATGTTATACTATAATTATAATAAATTAGTATTTTGTATGGATGTCAAATACCATTTTATTTTTATTAAATTGCTACATTAATGACACATAAATATACATTCAACATACTTTCTTCAGTTGTTACAATTCTAACATGCTTAAAATCCATTAATAAAACATTATTAATCGCATGTTTGAGATTTCTAAAGAATAAAAATAATATAGATCTCTGAAGCATACCATGACCATAGATAAAGTTATAAAGAGCTTTTAGAGGTTAATATTGACTTTTCCAAACATAAGTATCTATACCATTTAGATATATATCTTATATTTAACATACCTTGAGCAGATAGTTGAGACGTTGGTCTTAATGAACTTGAACTCAGAACTGGAGAGACATGGATACCATTTGAAGCTGTGACACTATTTGATTGGTGCTCCAGTACAAATGAACTCGCTGATGAGGTCATTACAAAATTATCATGAGCTCTTGACTGCAATCTATTTCGAAATATTTCACTGTTTGCTGAAACAACAGGTGATGATATGGCCTGTGTCACATTTGGAGCAGATTTATTTGCTGTTATACTAGAGAGGCTTGTCGAACCATTTGTGTCACTGGTAGAAGCTGATCTAGTCTGGTTGGCATTTTGAAGAATTTGAGAATATGTTAATCTATTACTGTCTTGGATTAATACTTCTGACATTCGTACAGGAACGTTCACCTCTAAATTCCTTAAAAGAAAACTGCAGTTAGGATTTAACTCTCGATGTATTTCTGAAGGAACATCATCCTCGCGCCAATTACTTTTTCTACGTGCACAGCAGTAGCAAACAACTTCATCATCTGTGTTAGCAAAATAAAAACCTGCCTGAGCTATTTTTGATATATACGGCTTATTGTGTTTTGGAAATGATCTTAAAGTGCAAAATCGGAGTAATTCATAACGCATTGTTATTTGAGGAGGGACTCTTTCTCCGTCTGCTATTTTGTCAATTATATGCATTAATGGCTCAAACCCTAGACTTTCAGCTTGATTAACTTCACGATCAAGTAAGTTACTTGGCTGCATAGCATTTTGTAATGATGAACAGGATGTTTCTGTTCTATTTGTAACTTCACTGCAATCATCTTTTTGTGAATGTGTAGGCATAGCACTTTTGTTACAATGTAGGGTTTTTGGGTGAACACTGTCACATGGACTGACTTTTCTTTTATCAAAACAACCACCATCCATTGAAACTTGGCCCCCACTTGCACAATTTTGAAGTGCTCTTTCTGACCCTGGTAGATCTAAAGGGAGATGCTTTTGATTTTGTATCGTAGCTAAATCAACATGTGTGTTAAATTCATGTGAGCATGCTTCGACAATTTCCCCCCTTTGAATTTCAGATCTCGTTGGTTCAGATTGATCTTCTTGACTTCTCTCCGGTTCGTTTTCATGTCTGAAGACAGGGGCAACATATATATGATCATTCCACACTTTTGATTCAACGTCAGGCACAAACTGTATTTGTTTTGATATTGCCATGGAGGTATAATAACGTGACCTTTGAACACGCGGGATCCATTTTGAACATTCTATTGAAGGTAAAAATGAAAATTTAATGAAAACTTAATGTTGTTACCTATTAAAAATCATCTAATTATATATCAATAAAATGAAATAAAGTATTATCCATCATGAAATGCTTCCGACTGCATTATGAACAAACAGAATAATTAATACAAACCACTTTGTATATGCGAAATGGCATCATGTTGAGCTATCATGTTATCATCTTTAACACATTTTATCTTTGCTATTGTCGGTTCAGACCGCTGCGGGAGCTTCAAAATAAAAAAAAGATATTTACAGGTAAGTCATTATAAGCATTTAAAATAAAACATAGATCCAAATAATTTCGTTTTTTGCAAAAGGGTCTCTGTGTGAAGAATTTCAATAAATTGTGATGATATTTATCTTAATAAATTCGATACATTTATTGCAGTCCATCTGTTCAATCTATTACATCGAATATCTATCAAATAAATGCCATAATTCCTGAATTCAGTGTTTTTGTAATTGTCAACAGATATCAAATGTTGGCTTTTGAAAACATATATGCGTTCAAAATGCCCAACAAGTAATTCTTAATGTTATATAAAATTGTATTCAACAGACTGGGGATATTAAGTGTTGGTACATAAAATGCATACAACAAGTTCGATTTTACCTGATTGATCTGGGCGGTGTACT